CTCAATGTGTGAATATTGCGTATGATTCATGAAATGAAAAGCTAAATCCATCATAGAAAGAAGAATTAAGACTTACAGCAGGTGTAATGGGAGGTAGGTATGTTTTTGGGAATGATTTTTGGGTTGTAAAAGCTTTTGGGGGAATGGTGAATTTCTTTTGTGGGACTGGATAAAAATATCCTTGCGGTTTTTGTGTGCGGGGTGGAATATACGGCTAAAGCAGGAAATATGTGTTGTGATTCAAAGTAGGAAATAATTGCGTTTCTTTAGATGCTAATTTTAAAACTATAAAGTAGTGAACAGTATTAAACTATTGAGGATATAAGTTGAAAGTTGCGCATTGCTTTTTCTTTAAAAATTCATTCATTTTATTATCAAAATTAAATCACATTTCATTCAAAATACTGTCCATAGCTAGACACTACTTCTTCCTATTTCTCTGGTAAAAGATAAATTACGCGTCGATAGAACTGTTCGTGTTTTTCACGTATTTAGTAACTGAGTTTTGTTTTCGACTTCTTCTTAGTTCATGCGGTAATAATTAAAAACGGTACACTGCATCGATTGAAATGAGTATTAATCAGAAAGAGGGATAGCTATTGAGTACATCGTGGATATAAATATTTTGTATCGATCTACTTTTCAAACAATTTTACAAAAGTGGAATAATCCATTTTTTGGAAAACTTTACATGTTTTTCGTTATTTTTCCGCTACTTTTCGACTTAGATCAACTGTAACAGTTTCGATAAATTTTTATTCGATCACGTTTGTTTACGTCATCCAATTGACAGAATCATGAATCTCTGCTATTCGTGTCGACTTTTGATCAAATGTTAATTCAATACGAAAATGACTTCCTTTTGTAAAGAAGGATCTAATTTTTTAATATAACGAGTGAGTAAGCTCATTTGTATGTTGGTACTCCTAATATCGCTGTGTTTTTTTTTGTCTTGCAGTTCAACATTTCTAATGCGATGAAAAACTTGTGTATTTTTAATAATGACAGATCAAATACGATAAATTTTTCGATCCTCTTTAGCATACAATAGCTGTTACTGTCAAACAAATAGCGCGTTAATAGCATTCAAGGTAATTACAAATTCACAACTTTCAACTTATATTTCCAAATTGGAACTTCCAATATATTTGAAATATCAAGTCATTTCCAACTGTTTTGCATATTTATTTGAACTTACTGCGGATGTAGTAGGCCTAAAACAATTTGGATATGATCCAATAAAACCTGCTGGACACTCGGGCAAACGACAATTTGGATATGAGCCAATGAAGCCTTGTGGACACTTTGGTAGTTGAGTAGGGGGTAAATATGTGCTGGGAACCGGTCGTGGAGTGGTCGTTGATGGTGGTAATTCCAACTTGATTACTGGTTTTGGATATTCATAACCTGTTTGTTTAGGTGGTATATACAAGGGCTGGAAGGAATTTTGGAGAAAAAATCATAATAAAGCAAAAAAAAAAAAAAAATACGGTCAAATTCATTGCAATTATTTTCATTTTTGAATATTAGATGAAAAAATAATGTTTTGTTTAAGAAACAATACATTTGATAAACGTCTCACTTACCGCTGATGTAGTTGGTTTAACACAATTTGGATATGATCCACTGTAGCCTGGAGGACAGGCAGGAAGTTGACAATTCGGATATGAGCCAATGAAGCCTTGTGGACATTTTGGTGGTTGAGTGGGGGGCAAATATGTGCTTGGAACCGGTCGAGGAGTGGTCGTTGATGGTGGTAATTCAAACTTGATTGCTGGCTTTGGATATTCATATCCCGTTGGTTTTGGAGGGATATAAAGTGGCTGAAAAGAATTTAGGAAAAGAATTCATAATAAAGCAACAAAAAAAAAACAACCAAATTCATTGCAATATTTTAATATTTGAATATCAAACAAAAGAATAATTTTTCACTTAAAAACAATACGTTTCTTAATTGTTCAATAGAACGTCTCACTTACCGCTGATGTAGTTGGTTTATTGCAGTTTGGATAATTTCCAGAATAGCCAGGTGGGCATGGAGGTAACTGACAGTTAGGATAAACTCCGACCTTTGGCGGTTGACATTTTGGCTATAGAAGTATAAAATATTTTCATTATCCATGGGAAAAATCTCATCCATTCATATCAATTATATTTGCAGTGCCATAAACTTATCATGGCATATTATTTTTATTTTATGACAAATTGTATTATGTTAGAAATAATGAAGAAAATGATTTCACTCACTGCGGGTGTGGTCGGTGGAAGATAAATTGGATTTGATCTCACTGTTGTTCTGGCTGGTGGAGGTAATGGGAATTCCACTTGTGGTTTATTATACACATAACCTTGCTACAATTTTTAAAATAGGCGATTCAAAAATGAAAAATATTAACAAATAAAAATTCACAACGGAATCATTCTATGCGGAAGTGTCATTTACTTTGATGTATTGTGAACATTTTCTTTGTTTTGCAAAAGTTTATGAATGGAATGACCATCTTTTGAGATGATATCAATACAAAGAAAAATATTTTGGTGTGGAAAAAATCGAATTAATTAAATGATGCTAATTGTTTAGCCAAAATAAACAAATAAATGGTATTTATGATACATTACAACATTTTAACTAAAATATACCCGAATTAGAAGATAACTCTCGATTCTTTTGTACTGCAATGGGAGAGTTATTTGAAATAATAATGAAATATCTTGTTTTTTTTCATCATTTTTCGAACAATAAAAACCATAAAAGATTGTTCAAACAATGCAAAATTAAAAATGCGACTATTTATGTTATCGGTATTCGGATGTGGGTGTTTGTTTATATTCCGTTAAAATGTATGTGAGATTATTCAGAACGATTTCTTGTGGCGGTACCCCTTTTTTGCACGTAAAATATACGGTTTTTCTTCTCTGTTTCTTCCACATGTAAATGGTACTGATTTAAAGCATACGAATAACTTGGTTCCATTATTTACAATGTTATCTCTAAATGTGCATGTTGAACATGTGCATAAACAAAATGTTGACGTTTCTTTTTAAATAAAAAACATAATAAGTTTTCCCACGGCTCGTAAACAAATCGTAAGCAATTAGCATTAAATCAAATTCTTTTGGCTTACCGGCTCTACCACCGATTTTTCGGGATAAACCAGAGGATTTTTCGGCTTCTCATAAACATATCCATTGCTTACCACACTTTCAATTGGTCGCGACTCAAATGGGATGGCAGGTCGTGGATATTCGTAACCATCCAACGAATTACCCCGTGATAAATGCGAAACATCTGCTTGAACAGCCGCTATTACGGCCGAAATAAGGAGAAAAAATGTCTGCAAAAAAATAAAAAAATGTTTATTTATTAGATAAATTTCTTAGTGTTTTGTATGAACTCATTCCAAAAATACCATCTGTCCAAGAAACTAATTAGTAATTTGGCAACGAAAAAAACAAAATGTTTGTGTTTCTCATTTAAATTGAATGTGAAAAAACAGTATAAAAAGAAAAGAAAAAAAAACACTATGGTGTTTACGAATATTAAAATGCATCATAATGGGTTTGTTTACGTTTTTCAACGCGCATATTTGCATTACTAAACTGTGCCCATTGAGTCAAATAGATTGTGAATGATTTCAATAGTGTCCCGTTGATTTCATTAATTTGTGCGAAAAAATGTGCAAAATGTGAGCAATTTTTCACACAAATTTAAAACGTTGACCGTTGACAACATATTAATCATACACCATATAGCCTTGATATCAATTCGGTGATTTATCGCGCGATCATTACGCACATCGATTTAATTGTACTGTAATCAATATGCTATCGTTCAGTATTTATCAAATCGCTGGCTTAAAAATCAATGGTCGTGTTCTAAAGTCAAGTGTGATTGATATTCAGTTGGTTAATTAATATTCACTGATTTATATGAAACTATAGCATATTGGGAGTATGTGTCTTCTTTTGTTATGCGTCTTCTTTAATGGAAATTGAATGGCAAGGTCACAGCGGTAACAGCAACGATGGCGGCAATAAATACATAAAATAGAGACCACGAAGCGAAAAATGTGACTGTCTGTTGTCTCTTCAATTGATTCGCTTGTTTCACGTTCATACCGCTCCCGCACATATTATGGAGATATCTCATTCAATGTGTGAATGAAAAAAAGACGTCTTTTAAATCGGTTCGTCAAATTACTTATTTAGGCAATCGGTCTGGATTTGGTTATTTATTGGTGCAAACTGGTTTTTCGGCAACAACAACAAAAAAATCAAAGCAGATCTATTTTAGGTTGATAAACGGATCAAATTATGCAAGAACGTTAATTCCTAGTCATGCAAGTTATACAGTATGTCATTTGCGTATTTTTCGGTCTTTTTATTCATCTCACGAAATAATGTACTGTTCGTCATTGGGACGTAGAGGAAACATCCATTTAGATATTAATTACACAAAGACAACAATCGCATTTTTTATCGAAATTCATTAGCTTTGGGTCACCTTTAGAATTGATATTACCAAATTGAAATAAAAAAATGTCAATTCTTTTCTCTCTTTAAATTGCCTTATGGATGACGGAAATTATTCGGTTTTATTTGATGGACTCATTTGCATTAAATTGATCAAGTGGAAGTTTGTTGCGACGACGCGTGGAATTTTTAATGATGTGAATTTCACGGAACGAGTTACATTAGTTGACATATTATCAATGCATAATGAACATTTTAAACACTGAATACCATTAAATCGATCAATTTTTTGTTTGCTCCTTCTGCGTCAAGATTTTCCTTCTGAGTTTTTGGTCAAGGTGTGTTTTGTTATACATATGATACGATTTGTTTAAGTCCATGCCGAAAAAATACACTTAACTTTTAATGCCGTGCTGACGTACATTCTGATAACCTTTGATAGCCAACGGCTCGGAATTATTGTTCTCTTCATTTGACCACCAAGAAAACAATCAGACAAAACACAAAAGGTAATATCACAAAACAACATCAACTAACAATAAAAACATCAGAAGATGAGATTTCTGATAAAGACGGAAATATGAAACAACAACAACAAAAAAATGATAATCATAATTTTATGTTGGGATGTGAGCAAACATCAGATAAATTGTATTATACCTAATTATTTTAGCAATTAAATCATACAATACAGGACGCACCATAATTTTTCCGTTGATGTTCTATGTGTGCGCGCGCAAGAGAGCACAGTAAGTGTTTTGTCATTTAAAAAGAAGAAATGAGCATAAAACATACAAAGTTTCAAGAATGTAAACCACACACCAGCAGCAAAAAGGTATTTCTATAATGACAACATATATAAATTTTATCACATTTTATTGCCCGGTGGGTTACGCTAATTAATTCATTGTTAGTGTTGAAAAATTTAGAGCCGTTAAAACAAAAGACGGTATTTTTTTTGCTGTTTCGTGTGTGTAAAGCGCTGACATTTCTCATGCCACAATCCAGCTGGCGCGTACAACGTGGTGTGCGACAGTAGTAAAGCAATAACAATGAATTTTATTTAATATTTATTGTTGGGAAACATATATATGCTATCAACACATATAACAAAGCACAATTTGTTTTTGATGGTCGCATATATGTATTATGTATTGCAAGTGGAGTGCAAATGCCGAAAAATCAAAGAAAAGATTCAAAACACCAAAAATGCTGATATTCACAAGGTGCTGAAAATATCGCACATAAATAATGCTATAAACATATATGGTTTGGTGGGCTCTCGTGTGCACTGTTTTTGGCTCAAGCGTTGAATCACACTAACAGTTAAGGTGTTTTTAATTTTGTTGTTTTATTTTGTGTCGTGATTTTTTTTTTCTTCTCTCTTCTGTGATTGTTCGAAATTTGGAAAAAATAAAAGAAAAATGTTAAATGTGATCCTTAGCACAGTTTGGAGAATAACTGCTTCGGTAGTGAGACAATGTCTTAGACACATCAGTTGATTTTCAATCGGTATGAATGATTGCGTAAATATTAATCGAGAAATAATTAAATTGTGTGTTGACGGCGCTTTTTTTTACGTAATAAATAAAACAGTGGCGCTTAAATTGTCAAATTATAAATATACACACCGCGTTGTGATAATACGTAATATGACGATAGCGAAGATGAAGTTGATTCTTTAAAGAAAGCAAACGATGACAAAAAAATATACTTCATATTATTTATTAAACTTGTTATTAATTTCAATTTGATTTGCATATATTAACCTTGTGAACGGTTTGCCTTATAGAAAAAAAATATGCCGATGAACTTTCATGTGTGCGTTCTTCCCAAATCGGAATTTTGCGGTGTATTTTGGTCGCGTCTTTGACTGTTATATTCATTCATTCGCGCCTTTTTTTTACACCGCACTGCATGATTTGAATGAATTTTTAAATGCGTACGATATATTCATAAATATTTCGTGTTACCGTGCTCCCCCGTAATACCATTGATGTCATTAATCTTGGTATTACTTGTTTTTTGGTCAATTCGGATTACGATTGATGAATAAGTTCATGAGTTTGATATTTGTGCGTACTCACGACAACTAAAATTCTAATTAATAATTTCATGTATGCCGATATCGATGCCGATAAGCCATGCACGAATATCGGAATTAAGGAAATAACATTTGAAGAAAAAAACAATGAATAAATGATTGCGCGATCGATTAGTAGCGAAAATGGCCACTTGAACAAATCGATATAAACAAAATCATCACAATAAAAATGGATAAAATAGACAGGTACGAGTTTGCCGCCTCCACGAGATGTTTTGATATTTTGAATGACGTATACATGGAATATGCGGGGCTAAAGTATTTATTCTATCTGTAGGGGTTGATTTATTAGATAGCAGCTAATTCTATTGACCGGACATTCACATTCGGCACCATATTCGGCAATTTGAATGCCAAAACGCATCGCATTAATCGATTTTATTTTGTGATGCACAAAGGCGCTTAGTTTTTTTTCTTCTTTTTTTATTTGTTTCATCTTTCGTGTGTCACATTGTTGATGATCACTCAAATCGTTTCATTTCACGATTATGTGGGAGAATTGCAATCGAAACTGAATCATCAATAAAACACGAACTTGATCTTTCATCACTCGACTAGAGAAGTTCCATGCACAAATCATGTCCAATGGAACTCATTGAAATTAATTTTATTATTTTATGAGCATAGAAGATGTAACTTAATAACGTTCAATTGACATTGTTTTTCGTTTCATCTCTCACAACACTTTTGTTTGTTTGCGGGCGCGCGTGTGTGTTATTTCCTTTTCTAGCCAAGAAACCGATAGACAAGAAACGAAGCATTCTCAACAGTATTGATGTGACACAATAATAAACAATTTTGTAACTTATTACCATTTCGATATTATAAATCCGTGTTGTAGTCTCTCTAGTTAAAATGCGTTGGAGTCACTTTAGTGATGTTCACTGTTCTGCAGTTGCACACTCACACACTTTATTTTAATTTTTCTTTACGCACACTAGGCACTATTTTAGTCTCTGCGCTGTGTTGTTAGTTATTTATTTTATTTTATTTTTTTTATTTTGAAAAAAAAAAAAAAAAAAAAATCAAAATACAAACAAATAAACAAAAAAAATGTTTTGTTCGTCCAAAATCGGACCTCACGTGTATCCGCAAACTTTATACTGCGAATTAACTGGCTTAACTGAGGTGTCACCTGTAAATCTCAACGTATTTATATATCTGCCAGCTTCTATGGGCCGCAGCAAGCGATCGAGATGTTGGTGCTGCTGTTTCACCTGTGTATACGATTCTGCGGTGGTAAAACCGTTTCTGTGTGTATTGATGGTGTGCAAATGAACCACTTTAAATTTCGTTACACACAATTCGACAACGATGAAGACGACGATACCGATTCGATCTTCATGCACACCAACTTGATACATATATCAATGTTTATCGTTCCACTCCCTCTCTTATACACGATCTAAAAAGCTCTATCTATGTTCTATTTGCTAAATTATTATGCTCATTTTTTTTTGGCTAATAGTTTTTTAATGCAAAACTATAGACGAAACACATTCTTTTGTGTCGGTGACCAAACATTTAAATGGATCACAATAATATGATATGAACATCCGGAAGCCTTGCAACGATTCAAGTGATCCCACTATTGTGTTCAGCCTGTAAGTCATCACATACTTTTTTTTAATAAAATGTTTTAAGAAAAATATGAGCTAAAACTCATGGACAACATTATTATTGAAATAAAGTTGGAAAAAATTCAAATAAAAAATTGATAACAGCATAAAAAATGGACGGATCACTTCAAACATTCACTTTTGTTTCAAGAGTGGATATTGTTATTCTTGGATCATCGTTAAAATCTCTTTCTAAAGAAAACGAGCATAGAAGGATGACGATGAATTCATTAGAAGATTAAACAACAAAGTTTTTTTAATCGATTCATCAAATTCAAATCGTCATTGATTGGACAGCACATAATACCGGTGAATTATTCATATTGGTTCTTTTTTTATCACTTCAATCTTCATTCCCACTGAAAGTGAAAACTATTATTTCAATAGATCTATTCCTCCATTTCAAAAGTGGTATTCATTTATTCTACTAGATTATTGTATGGAATTTTGAATATGGTATCATTCAAATATTTTTTTTTCTTCTTTATTATTCATTGTGGTAAAGCGAGTCAAGCTTAACAATCGGTTCATGCACACCATGGTCAATAAAACGAACAGAGGAAAGAAAAAAGATCACATCATTTAAATGTTAACATAAATTGTCTAAAAAAAAAAACTCATTTTCTTTTAATTTTTTCAAATTAGCATCGAAGTATATTCTGGTTCTTCTTGCACGATCGAGAGTCATCTGCATCTTTGGAGTTTATATAAATTTTTGTCGTCGAAGCCAAAAATATGCCCAAATAAATTTCGAAAAAACGATAAGTTATCACAAAATACAATGGAATTGAACCCGCAAATAAATTTTATCATCATGAGCATCAAATTTACCATTAAGAAGCGACTTTGCCGAAAAATTTCTTAGACAGTTCAATAGCATTTTATGGTGATGTGAATATATAAAATGTAAAAAAAAATATTTATATATTTTTTTTTAATCCGCTCGTGCGTTGCTTTTTTTTATCTTTCTATCTCTCGCTATTTCTTTATTTCGTTTTCGTGCAAAAGAAAAAACCCGAAAAACCTCAACGTTTATATGTTTGACCGAAGTGAATAGCCTTCTCTGAATCTACAAAAGTAAAATTGATTTGATCTCTATCGTAGACGTCGTCTTCATCGCAACAATCAATTCATACAGACTTTTTTTTCGGGTGTTTAAAATGACATGCTTGAGTGGAAACGACTGATCGATGCTTATTCATCAGATGTATAATGATATGGCGTAAAATTGAAAGTCGCGTGCAATTAATTTGATTAAAAAAAAAATAATATTCACTTTTATCTTGACATAATGAGTGTGACGCGTCCAGAATAGCAGACTTCACACATCCTGGACAAGAGAATGTTATTTTATTGAAAACAGACAAGATGCGTTTCAATATTCCGGATAATAGTAATGTACATGTATTTCAAAAGCATTTACAATAGTCATTACAGGTAGTGGCCCGATATTTAAATGCTCTTCAATTAATTGTGCAATAAAAATAAAATCGTGAACGGAATTCTGTGCTGCGCTCTTCCCCGTCACCATTGTCCATAAATGCAAACAGGCCTGTAAACGGGCAACAAATTAAAGCGAACAGAGAGAAAAAAAAGACACACACAAATAAGTAAACAGGATTCTTTGCAAAAATTAATGAACCATGCGTCAACACACGGGCAAGCGGCCACATATCATTAAGTCATAATTAAAAACGATTTTTTCGTCCCATTTCAATTTGCACCCTGTTGCCATTTATTTACAAACATATAAATATAGTTTTCCTTTCTCTTTCTCTTTCTCTCTCTGAGTTCAGTTTATAGACCATTTCAGTGTTAATGATCGCACAAATAAAAACGGAAAAAACAATTTATCCATAAATGATAAAAATTGAAATAACACGGATATAAATGACGAGAGAAGCTCAGACAAGAGAATTCTTATTAATTTTCAGCCTATCTCATCATCTTTGTCTGCAAATACAAAGTAAATTTAACGTGATGAATGTGACATTTTCAACAAAAATTTATCAGCCTTTAGTCTTATAGTTAGTATCATAAAACAGAAATAAATGAGCCGCACATTACTTCAAGTCAAGAAGAATATGAAAAATAATTCAAAGTGGTACTTATGATTTTGTAAATGAGATTGTCTTCTGTATCAAATTGTGCTATCCATTTTCGCAGTGATCTTTTTGTCTCAAAGTGGAATATGATGATCAGATAAAACGTGTGTTGGGTGGTTAGGTGACTTTTAATTATTTTAATACGATACGAACACAAAGCTCAATTCATAAATTATACAAAATGATCAGTTGATCATTGTGTATCATTTTGGTGAGGAAAAACGACTCGATTTCAGCATTAATTTCAGAATAAACAACAGGAATTGATCGAGATATAGAAACGAAGTGAATCTTATAATCGACATACATTCGTTGAAATTCGATCGTAAAATTAAAATGTTACACTAAAAAAAAGAGCGAAAAAATATGGACTCAGTCCAAGTTTGTTGAATGTTGTCTATAAACTAATGCCAAAATATAAAAAAATCGAACATCAAAATGGAATTGAAAGCAAACCGAATCGCATTTAAAATACAACTAGAATTGATCAAATCCGCACTAATTTACATCGATTCACGTGTTTGATCATCATTTTTCGTTATTATCGAAGTTTTCTCTTTGAAACTTCCTTTCAATTTTAAATGAGATTGCAACCTTATAAAGGTGTTTTTGCAGATGTTCTATTATCTAATTCTGAAATCCTTTCATTCTTCTTTTTTTTCTCGCTTGAATAAACCATCAACGTTTATTAGTGTGTAAGATAGATCGTAAATCTGTTAAAACCCGTAAAAAGAAGTATAAATGATTTTGCCATAAGTCGCATTAACGATTCAATGAATTTTTGCATTTTCTGTCGGAATTTTTACAAGCAAAGAGAAAATTGATTCGTACACATTCGTTGCGCATATATTGTCATTTTTAAGTAAATTATAAACCGCAAGTGTTCGAGTCCGACCTCAACCATCAAGTCGAATTGTTATCTAAGAGTGCCGATTTTTGATGTGTGCTTATAAAGAAAATGGTTTATATTTAACGCCGTAAAAATTATTCGTTATGATCTTTCCTTATTCATGCAGAGAAAGAAAATATGTATATAAAAAAAAAGAAATCGTTTAAATGTCTGATTTTTGTATTTTTAGACAAGACATTTTTCTGTCGTAAATATTTTTTTCTGTCGTTTTCTTCTTTCTTTCTTTAATTCTTTCTTTTGTAGCCGCATTGGTTCAGCATGAAGGTTCCAAAAACAGACGCAATCTCATAAATAATTTTTGATTATACAGTTGAATACACTTGTATACTTTACTCAGCTTGACAACATTCTCGCGTATATGGCCTTGACCTATGTTACATATTAATTAAATGTTGTGCATTTTCAGCGAATGGTCGTCGAATCGGAGATAGCCGCACTGAATAAAAAAAACTATATGGCTTATTTTGCGAATGGATTCGTTTTTATTCGACCATCATGATGCCGCATAACTTTGCAATCGAATCAATAAAAATAACCTGAATCGAATGTGATTCTGTTTGGAATAGATCAAATTTAGTGCAGAGCAACAGCGACAGACACTTCACCAAAAAAATTATGGCACATTCTAGATCGCTGAGTACACATTTAATTTACAATCTCTTGGTCAACTTTTATTTAAATGTCGAATGTGAATCTATCGCCTCCCACTTACTTAGGATGTTCGATCTTCTTTCGATTCAGTTTGCAAATTAATGTTTTTTTTTTCTTCTTTTAATATTTCACTTTCCGATGTTGTTACAAATTGAAAAACTCGATCAACAACTTTGAGCAAGATGATGCCCTCGTGCTAAAGAATATTTTGCATTGTTGCGATCTGCACTCTCGAATTCCCATACACATGACACTCTTCATACATCAACGATCCATTGATGATACATGTACATAAAAATCATTTTACGTGAAGCTATCAAGTTCAGTGGCTACCAACCTTCGTAAACTGAATTTAATGAAAAAAAAAGCAGATCGATTACGACACATGTGATATTTTTTTAATGCTTCTTCTGGTGATTTTCATCTGCACTGAATCTCAAATTGACTGACTGTCGTCATTCTTGTTATTGGATGGCACTAAAAATTTAAATAACATGCCAATACACGCCTATTATTATTCGTTTTTGTTTTTCCAGCAACACAGCAAGGTAATACATAAAATGGCTTGTAAATTAAGTGGATCGTTGTCACTGGAAACAAAAAAAATCGCATATACATATAAAGCAAAACAACAAAATAAATTAATTCCGTTTTTTAAATGGATAAACAGATCATTTTATTGATATGGTTCAATTTCGAATGATATTAAACAACGAGAAAACGAGATAAAAAAGATTCTAATCATCATAATTTTGTGTCACATCGAAAAAAAAGATACGGTCAAACGATGTTAAGAGTTAGAGTAGAACGATTACCATGCAGGTATGCCAAAGCGTTTAACTCGTTTTTCTTGTGTATCCAATTCCATTTGAACCTTTTTCCGCATGTAGAAAATGGGGCAGTCACGACTGGTGCACAACACTTCTTCATGCAATGAACCTTGACATCGTTGACACTCTGTCCACAGGCGAGAGAATTTTTCCTCCAATAAACGTTCCGATGCCAATTCCTGTTGATACAATGATGCTTCCTTGTCCTCACAATGTTGACAAACCGCTCTTTGCTCATAACCACTTTGCAAAACGGTTTTGCAACCGATGCACGTTTCTTTCTTCATTGTAAATGCACCAAGTGCACTAACTTTTGATGTAACAACCGATCGGGTTCGCGTATGTTCACCACGCAATAAAATCGATTCAGCCTTTTCGCCCAATATCGGCTCAAATATCCGCAACAATGGTTTTGATAGTTGATTTTCCAAATAATATGTGTAATCGATTGGAATGCAATTTTCAAGTACATAAATTGGATCTTCTGCCTTTTGATAGGCCGGTGTACCTTTGGCTGCCGAACACAATACATACGGTACACGATCGCCAAGCTTTGGTGCATTGCCCGGATCACGTTTTTTCATCTTGGCCGCAAGCTCAACGTGCGCCTGCTTTGCTGCATATTCATTTTTCGTCAATTCTTTTGTAATAACCAATTGCGATATATCGATACGGTTGCACAACAAATCCGAAATGACTTGCTTTGCAAAATTGATGGCACCATCTGGATCTCGATCGATCAACAACTTTTGCAAACAACTATTGATGAGATTCGCAACCAATGGCGAATTATCACGACGCACTGTTTCAATACCTTTGCAATCCATTTTATCATATGTATCCGGACGTGTAAAGTATAAGCCAGCATAACGTTTTTTGTTGATCAATAAATACGGAAAGTATACTTTTTCGAATTCAAGTTTGATTGGCTGTACAAACTTTGCGCTCACATATTCGGCCGCTTCACGACCCAATTCCATGCTTCGTTCTAGAGTTTTGACACCAAAATTTATCATCACCGAATCGGTATCACCATAAATAACAACGGCATCATTATCGTAACCATTTGCCATGGTATAATGTGATTCGACCTCATTTTTGGTCAATTCAATCATGGTTCGACCGTAGGCGGTAACACTACCCGAAATTTCAAGACACGGCAATTTACCGACTTGTGCACCAGTGAAACCATATACGGAATTTGCACTGATCTTCAATGCCAATTGTCGACCATCCAATACGCTACGTTTGAATGGATCAGTTTCACTTTTGAGTTCGGTTTTTGCACGTTTTCGTGCAGCCAAAAGTGATTCCAAAATTTCCGGCAACAATCCCTTACGTACGGTTGATTTAACAAACTGATTATTCGATGGTGTCGTCGTTATGGTATCCGGATTTAATCTGAAGAAATGAAGGAAACAATACAATTATTGCAAACAAGAAAAAAAGGATTGAAATTTCGTTTTTACCGTTGTTTCTCCTTCGAATTAGGCAACAGGAGTGTAGTGTAGCACAGATTATGTGCCATCATAATACTTGGATACAGCGATGCAAAATCAAGCGTTGTAATTGGATCCGAATAGTAGCCACGTTTTGGCTCAATAACCGTAGCACCTTCATATTGATCTTCACCAGCTTGTCCTGTATGTGTTGGCATATAATAACCGGCAGTTTTTGCCTTCCGCAACAATTGACTGACAACTTTGATTTGTTGACCGCGTGTCAGAAGACTTGCCAACGAAACACCGGTCACACGTGCCATTTCCATATAGTTAACGATGCACATCAATTTATTCAACAGACGCAATGGCAGATAAGCATCTTTGATGCAATAAATGGCCAATCGTCGACGTGTTTGGTCACTTTCATTTTGCAAATCAGTGATAATACTATGGTGAACGTCTTCTTTCTGCTCTTGCAAAAAATGATAACTCACCGCATTCAATGTGTATGAACGCAATTTATAGTCTCGCAACAATACAAATAATAAATCAAATGGCACACGACCTTCAAAATTGACAAATTTGTTTTCACGACGACCCATTTGCTTTGATTGAATCACCGTTTCCTTTATCACCGATCTGAAACATTACATTATGAATAATTAACGTTTTTATTTTAATTCGATAAAGTGACAAATTAATCATGTTTGTTCGATATCAATCAAAAAGATTGCTTACCGAATGTTTTTGATACGGCCAAGGTACTCGAAATTTTTCACTTTTAAATGTTGGGCTCGATTTAGAAGATACGGAATATCGAAATTGTTGATATTGTATCCAGTGAGAATGTCTGGATCGACTTCACGAATAAAATTCGACCATTTTTCCAATAATTCCTGCAAAAATAAAAAAACAATTCCAAAATAAAAATCCGGTGGCAAGCGTTTAGAAAACTGCAATAAATACCGTTTCTTTTGCATTAGTAATGACTTGAGATCCAACGATCGGTGCGCATGTGTTCAATGTGAAGACATTACGTAGAAACGGTTCATGTTCGCCTTGTCGAATGACCATATTTGCGATTTGAATGACCGGATCATGTTGTGGTTCTGGAAAAATACCTTTGCGACCAGCACATTCGATATCAAAGCTGAGAATTCGAAATGGTGCCACCTTGGCCCATTCACCTTCTGGTTCGTGCGCGATGAACTTGTCGAATGCAACATCAACTTCGATTTGACATCGAGATTCAATCGTCGGTACACTGAATCTGGATCTCTGTCGATACGTGTTTGGTGGTAGTTCAATCCAACTGCAACCGACAACACCCGTATCGACCATGAAACGAATATCAAAATCGATATTACTTTCGTACGAACGGCAGTCTTGGAAATCAAATTCCGTATAAACGATTGTCTTTTCAAGCAATCGCTTTGCAGCGGCTATAAGACGTGGCAATGCCAATGTAATTTTGATAAAATCAAAGTCCTCTTCACCATGGTAGCCGTACAATGATTTGCCTTGAACAATTGACACTTCTAAAACCGCTTCTTGTACTTGCTCCCTGTTCGATCGCATATCATTGATTACAGCTTTTTCGAGAGCCTCTTTGAATGGTTGACAGTGTGTGTGATCAAATCCGGATGGAGCACCGATATAAAAATACGGCGTAAAACCATGCACATGACAACACACTGAATTTCCATCCATTGTCACACCAAACATACGAATCACAGGAGCTGGACCAGTTTGTGCGCCCGGCATTCCAGCCATTGCTCTTCCAATGTAATTCTCGATATCAATTTGTTGAAATGTTATACAATCGGTTTTTGGATTAAGTTCGGGTGGATCGGGGCGTGCCTTTTAGTAAGAAAAAATGACATATTCTCAATATATTGCGCATCAGAGACAAATCAAATAATTTCTCGATCCGATTGAATCAAACTAAACTAGAAAGAAGTCTGTTTATATACCCATTTGATATTTGTCTGTTGATTTTCGGGTCCTTCGCCAAGCAATTTTGGTTCGTCACCCATATCCATGTTGGCCAATTCCATTTCAAAACCACCCATATCTTCATCATCATCATCATCTTGTCTAAAGCAACGAAAAATGTTTGCTTTTCTCAATATTGTTTACAGTCTACGTTATAGTCCGCATTTACTTACCGAAATCGTTTCTGATAATTATTCGTAGCACCTGGCTTTGGGGAATTATTTGAACCACCCGGTTTTGGCGGATATGTACCTGGTTTTCGTTTGTTATTCATCATTTTTTTACGCTTAATAAATTTGTTTTAAAATCAAATCAAGTTCACTGGGAATTTCACAACCGTATTTTAACAATTTGTTGTCACAGTGAAGAATTGGCGCCAATGTTATTTTGAAGCGCAATACTATCTGTCAAAAATGTGTATTCATTGTCAATTTGTGTTTAAGTTGTCAGTGGAGACGCCGGTTGGATTTTGAAGTGAATGCTTGATTTATTTAATTGTTATTGTCTTCTTTTTTTTTGTTTTTTGTTTTTAGATCAAATTTATGGAAAAGAAATCGGAATAAATTGCATTGCAATAGCAATGTTTTACGACTACATGTTACTCAAAAGACTACCATTTAAATTTTTGTTCGAAAATACTTAAAATATGTTGAACCAAATTTAAAGTAGATATAGAGCGAAAAACAGATGGTTTTCATAACGGTTAAGGTTATTTTTATTAACATACATGTTAGCATCATCTAACCAAGCGGCAATTAAATTACCGTCAATTAATCCATCGATGTAGGATGTATTATGTTGATGGCTATTTGGAAAACATCTAATGGCACATATGCACTATGGGAAGCACATTCGGTGTCTTCATGTCAATGATTATTGATGTAATAACATAATAAATCGGCATGTGTTCTATATTACAGAGAATGCGATAATTGGATGTTAAACTGCACATTAATTAGATGTTATGTGGCCGAAATACCGGTTGACATTCAACTTTCAAATGAATGTACGTTGCATTGATGAAATTGTTTGGATTTGTGCAAGCAGCAGAAATAAGAAACCATTCCATTGAATAGCAGTAATCGCATTGAGTTTTGAAATACACATTAAATTCATTAAATGAAAACAAGACGATTTCATTTTATTTTATTTCTGATCGTGTCATCGAATTTTTTTACAGCGCAACATTAAATTCAATTGCAAAAATAATGGATTGACATTTTATAATAATGTTGATTCAAAAATAATAGTTTTTAATTAAAAAGAAATGAATATACCATTATAAAAAAAATGTATTGTTTGTTGAAAACATGAATGAAGAACAAGCGTTCAGAAAGACATACATTTATGCGAGCAATTGAATGATGCTTGCATCATTTGATGCGCATCGCTAGTGCTTTCGTCGTGCGTTCGGAGCACAATCGACAGCTGTCGCAATACATTCGGATCTTCGGCAGCGCACGAAGTGCTCCGAACGCACGACGAAAGCACTAGCGATGCGCATCAAATGATGCAAGCATCATTCAATTGCTCGCATAAATGTATGTCTTTCTGAACGCTTGATGAAGAAGAGTCAATACACAAAAACCATATGCGTTAAGTTTTAACGGAGTAGTTTGTGTGTTTGCTCAAAATCCTCACATAAATCCGGACACTATCTCAATTAGAAGTGGAAAGGGAAATATTTGACTGATTATAACATACATTAATCTTATCTTTGTGATGATAGATTGTCTAATGATTTGATTTAGTTTCATGACTAAAATGTGCAGTTGTACTTTTAAGTGTTTTGTCATCATGTTCAGTTTACAAGTTCATTGGAAAATACTTCCGTTTCTGTTGATTCAATTGGCAACATTTAATGTTGGTATAAATGGGGCCAATATTTTGGCATGTCTTTCATCCGCCAGCAAATCACATCATATAATGGAAACAACAATACTTGAAGAACTTGCCAACCGAGGACATAATGTAGGTTCAAATGGAAAATCTGATTATTATTTTTTTTTTTCGTTTTGAACTTTGGAATTTGAAAGTAATCTGTTGATTTTATTTAAATGGTATTGCTCTAGGTAACCGTTTTAAGCACATTTACCAGAAAGAAGATCTTACCAGAAACGTACCATCATATTTACATTCAAATATCAGATGAGGAAGAATGGAGTACAATGCGTAGAAATGCGCTCAACAATGTAACTAAAAATGATTTGAATGTATTTAAAGGATTACCAAAAATTCTACAAATTACTTTTCAACGATCGAATTTACTAATGAAACATGAAGCCATTCAAAATTTGATAAAATCCGACCAACACTTTGACCTATTCATTCTTGATTATAATATTAATGATATGATGTTGGGTTTAGCTGGTCATTTTCGCATACCATCGGTTATTCTAAGTACATCTCCACCGATGAAAATGCTTCGTGATATGATTGGTAATCCGGCGGCTATTTCAAGTGCACCCATATTTCGTCATGATGGAAAAACAAAGAAAATGGGATTTAGAGAGCGTTTGGACCTCTTCATCGCATATACGATTGAATATTTTATTATGACATATATAAATTACATTTATTTTGAACCATTCTATGCTGAACACTTTGCTAAATTAGACAATTTCCCAACGTTGAATGATGTGAGAAAAAATGTGTCCTTAATACTTACAAGCACTCACTTTAGCGAGGGTTTGATTCGACCGATGTTACCAAATTTGATTGAAATTAGTGGTGTTCATATCAAAGAGAAAACTGATCCTCTTCCAAAGGTATGTGCACATTTTTCGTATTACGATTTTTGTTAATGTTTTAAATAATATTTCAGAATATTGAAGAGATTCTTAGCACTGCTGATGCGAATGGTGTGATTGTTTTTTGTTTTGGCGGAAATACAAGAAGTGCTGATATGTCCAATGATAAAGTTCAAATGTTTTATACCGTTTTTTCGAAATTGAAGCAAAAAGTCATTTGGAAATGGGAATCAAATATATATCCACCTCAGAAACCGGACAATATTTATATGATGCCTTGGATTCCGCAGGCAGATCTATTGGCTCAGCAACAAGTAAAGCTTTTTATTTCGCATTGTGGCATCGGTGGACTTTATGAAGCTTTGTTCAATGGAATTCCCATTCTTGGGATGGTATGAACTCTTTTGATGAGTTAAAGATACTGTTTTTTTTTGTGTTTTATGAAATTGTTTGTTTTTTTTTTTTAATTTATTTCAGCCAATAATGAGTGACCAATTTCAAAATGCAGAACGAATTAAGAATCAAGGATGGGCTATTATTTTGGACTTTGACCATTTGAATGAAACAATTTTAAATGATGGAATTCAGGAAATTCTCAACAATTCGACGTATAAAATGAAAGCGCAACGCGTATCACAACTGTTTCGAGATCGACCGATGACTCCATTGCAAACTGCCGTTTACTGGATCGAATATGTGATTCGATATGATGGTGCCAAACATATGCAAAGTTCTGCCGTCCATTTAAACATTATTCAAAGCAATTCAATAGATGTTATACTATTTTTAGCCATCATTTTGTATATATTCTTCAAGATTAGCATGAAAATAGTACCAAGAATTTTAAAATATCGTTCACTTTTCATTCTATTACCGTCCATCGTCGTTTATATGCTATTACCGCTGGAAATGCTCTGGACTGAAAACAAAAAGTGATTAAAACAAATACATGGCTCGAATCTATGTGTTTCATGTATAAATGTGAAACATTTTCTTTTTCCATCGTCCAAATTTTATTTCGTGATTATATATTAGTCATAAATATTGTTAAATGTTCATTGACAAATCATTTCCAAAAATCTTTTTACTTGTTACTAATTTTGATTAATATTATTAGCTTATGTAGATTAGCTAAGTAAATAAATGCATCGTTATTGCAATCGTTTTTTTGTTGTTGTTGTTATTCGAATTTATATGCATGGATCATAATTAAGATTTGCGTAGCTGCACACATCTTTGACAATATTCTTTTGTGGCAATGATACGCGAAATAGTCGACCGCCCGGCATGCATACGCATATTTTATATTGCTTTTCCTCCATTTTTAGGCCACTGCGTTCTTGTATAATTGGAATATGTTTGACATCCAAATGAATGCCATGTTCGCTGTTCAAATAAATGGTACCATTTTGAGCGGTTAAAATGATATTCTCTGCATCTAAAACCAGTTCTTCACCATTTAGTTTAACACCTTCACTTCCTCGAATCGAAATTTTATTGGTGATTTTCTTGTGATTTGTTGTATTCAAAACTAATTCGTCATCGATTGCCGCTTTAATGGCACTTGCACTTATACGTTTTGCAATCAAATTATTTGCGCCCGATGGAAGATTATAAGTTGGTTTGTGCGTTGTAAATATCGCTTCATTTGTGGTTGGACTTTTCAATTCAAACTCACTTATTCCACTGAAATGTGTGCCATTCTTGCTCATTAGCATTTTATTGTGTAAATGACCATTTGTTGGATTTATCATATTTATAAAAATATCCGAACGTTCACCTTTTTAACCAAACGAAACAAAATTTAAATGCATTCAGTTCAAAAAAAAAATCCACAACAATACTTTTGACTTCTTTACGGACAGAAACTCACCCGTGACTGTGACTGGAATGTCATAAAATCCCTCAATTTTTCCATCTTTTTTAGTAACTTTATCCAAATCAATTGATTGGAAAAACTTTATGGCACCACTCTCTGGCACCAACTGTGTATCAAAAGAAATGCCTTCAATATGGATTTTAGTTCCAAATGTAAAACTTATTACCTCCAAATATTCCATGCCTTTGCCCAATTTCAATACGCCAAAAATTGTTAGAGTGAGCAATAAATTTCCAATAGTTAAAATACTTATGAGCCAAACGATTATCCAAAACGCCAATGTATTTCGATTGGACATTTTCAGTGTATCATTCGAATCGGATGTGTTTGATTTCATTGTTGCCTTTGATTTCATAATTTTTTATCTGACGAAACAGTTTTTTTCTTTGTAATAAGAAGGAAGACAGTAAACAGTTACATTTAAAAAAAAGAATTTTAAAATAAAAGTTAGTTATTGTTGTGCGATGGAATTTCAGTCACTTTTTACAATTTATAAAAATCAATAAATATTCCTGTATGAGAATGTCACAATTTTCCAAATGTCAGAGGAAAATTGGAAAATTCTGCACATCGACACGTACTTTATATGCGCACACGCACAAAACACCTCCATTCGAATAACCAGTTGAATGGTCATTTTTTCCGTTTAAACACTTACTTTGGTTAAGTACATCGTTGGTGTATTCAACTTTTACGGACCAATAGATATAATACAAACACGAGATTCTTTAATAAAACACCATTTAATTATTTCTTATATCGTTATGCGTATAACAAAATGATTCTATTTGTCTATGAAAAAAAAAAATGAAATGGAATGAGAGAAAAAAAACACACATACATGAAATCTAATGAATTGCATACTCGGAACAATGATAGTATTAAAAAAATGAAAAATGTCGTAAATTTTGAACGTAATCAAATAACTGAATAGCTTATTTAAAAAACGAGGGTAATTTGAGTTCGAGCTTGATTGACTTGCCAAACATTCAACTGTTCGTAGTCATCGATACATTTATCCACTTGGTCGGGTTTGAATCCTTTGGTTGTACAACGGTCCATAATTTCGGAGATTCGAATTGAAGTGCCCGATTGTTTAATTGCTTCTTTGATCAAATTGTATATCTTATCAGACGACGAGTGACGACTGCACGGAGAAAAAAAGATAATATTTATTGAATGACTGTGTTTAATGGATTTTCGCATCAAAATTGATACTGCATTTGATTTAAAACGTAAATTAATTGAAATACGTACTTTACGCCAACTTGTTGATCAGATGTTGAAGCCAACGAAGCCTTTGACATTTCCAACAAACGAAGAGCTTCGACCACATCGTCTTTGTCGACAACATCCGATAGACGTAAACGAGCCAATGCAGTCGATAAACGCACAATACCTAACAAATTACGTGCTGATGTATATGTGGTGTCGGCATTATTACGAGCATCACGACGCAAATCAACATAAGCTCCAACAATGAAATCGGACAAATCGGCTGAAATAGTTGGCTCTTTTCGTTTGCACAATGTAATATAACGACGCATCAAACTCATGTCCAACGGCTTTGAAGCGGTTGGTGGCTGTTTCAAATGAGTGTGTACATATGCAATATGTTTGGCCAAACGTAAATCATTATCGCGTTCAGCTTTGTCTTGAATCAACCACAATAAATCAAAACGTGACAGTAGTGCAGCTGGTAATTGAATATTTTGCTCAATTGTACGTTTGTTATTATATTTTCCGAATGCCGGATTTGCAGCGGCCAAAATTGAAACGCGAGCATTTAATGTTGTCATAATACCAGCCTAGAATTGATGATCATAGTTTATCAAATGAGTGATTGGTAACGTGGCATTTTTCATATTATATGAATGGACTACTTACTTTTGCAATTGAAATTGTTTGTTGTTCCATAACTTCGTGTATAGCAGTACGATCACCGTCGGCCATTTTATCGAATTCATCAATGCAACAGACACCCTGATCGGCCAATACAAGTGCACCGCCTTCCAGAACCATTTCATTGGTCAACGGATCTTTCATAACAGCTGCAGTCAAACCGACACCAGATGAACCACGACCAGTTGTGTATTGACTACGGGCAGCCAAACGATTTATGTAGCCCAATAATTGTGATTTGGCCACACCAGGATCACCCATTAAACAGATGTTGATGTTACCACGGATTTTCATGCCATCGGGACGCTTATCAACACCGCCAACCAATAACAAAAGCAACGCTTTTTTCACATCCAAATGACCGAAAATTTCTGGAGCAATGCTAGTGGCCAAACGTGCATAAAAATCATCTTGAGCCAATTCGTTCAATTCATCGGGTGTGAGTTCGGCATTTTGTTCAGTGTCATCGGTATTGTTGAGGCACACAATTTTCTAAATAAATAAAATTTGTAAATATTGAATTAGGAATGACATGTCTTTCTTAGAAAGGTTCAATATGAAATTTTGAGATGAAATGCATCTTACATGTGCTTCGATGAATGTTTCACTGAGCAGTCCCGATACCATCTGTTTGAATCCGGTACGCATCAACGGCAAAAATATGCCAGTAACAACAACATGATCGCCAGGTTGAGCTTGACGAGTAGCCTCACCACGGCACATGATTGTTACCGAGCGAGGAATATGACCAATTGGCACTTGATCGCTGTGCTCTTGAATTTTAATCTCTTGGAATTTAACGAATTTCGAGCCACGCGTTTGCAAATACAAACGGCCACCAGACTTATTTACACGGCAATCTTCAGATGGACAATCAGCGACTGGCATGAATGATAATGAATTTACTGGCTGATAGGTTTCAGCACCACATCGATCGCATGTGTATGTGGCAACGACCATCATTGGTTTCACTTCAGTGCAACGCGTTACAATACCGCGTACCGAAACCAATTTACCAATACTATCAGCTTTCACTTCACGAATCGATAATGGCTTTTGCAAAGCTGGCGCTTTAAATGACACTTCACTAATGAAAATTTTCCAAATAAAAACATTCAACTTAATATGATGAAACAAAGGTGTATTAAAGTTCAAGAAAAATCAGGAAATCTCAACTTACAATCGCTTCATGAGCTCTGGTGGAAAACGGTTTTTCGCATCTCTGACTTCGTTTGTGTTTCTTATACGAGATTCCATCAACAAACGATGTTCAATGTACACATCCAATGAGTCTTTAGCAACAACATTTCGTTCTTTATACTGTGGCAACAATTCCAAAATAACTTCGGAAAATAAATTTGAATAGCGTCGAGTATTTTGCATGATAGCTTCAACGAGTAGCTCATTAAACTCATGCAAATCATCAAGTTCAATGCTGATTTCAACCTGAAGAATTGAAAAATTTACATGAAAAATCGATGTGTTATAAATGCATATGATTGAGATGAAAGTAATAACTTACTTGTTCACGATGGGCGATGTTTACAAGTTGACTTGCATATTTAAAGAACTTAGCGCCATTTTCATTGGTCTCACAAAATTCCGTGAGAAAAGCCTTGATGGCTTCTATAAATGAAAAAAATAATTTAAAAAACACATTAGTTACACATTGAAACGAATTGCAAATAAAAGTTCGAAATTAAGTGTTGAGAAATGATTACAAAAATATTTCACACATTTTTCGTACCTTTGTCTTGAGCATAATCACGGCGTGCCATTTCCTTCACTTTACTTTTTAATCAAAAATACTCGTTTTAATAATTTCTTTAAAAAAGATACTGCCACAAAATGTTTAATGAATTGTTGTTTGTTTTGTCAGTTGTACAAATTGTTTATTGAATTGTTTTTTTTAAGTTATTTTATTGTTCGAAGTGTTTGGAACAAAGCAGCTGGTGATCAAGTTTAGAATTGTGATGAAACTAAAACATCAGTTGCTCGTTTTGGCGGCAAAATGTTTGTGCATGAAGTTGCCGCTGTCAATTGCGTTTACTAAAACAAATGTACTTTATGAAATACTTTTGCTCAAGCAGACAATATTGAGTAGTCTACTTAATTTAAAGTATTTTCGTGATTACTTGAATTAAAAATTGCAAATTGATAATGTCATAACGTCTATTGCAATTTAATGTAATAACGTATTATTGGGGAATATTTTTTTATTGGTATTGTATGAACTTTTCATCTTAAATGCGTTTGTTGACCATAATTTAGAGGTTTTGTCTTTTTCTCTCGAATGATCTGATGAAAATCATTTTTCATTCAAATGAAATATTCTTTATTTATTTATTTTTATTTATTGTCTTTATTGAATTGCTGAATATAATTTATTGACTTTCTATCTAATATATAAAATATCTGAAAAAGTGTATCCTGAAAACAAACCATTGAACATTATTATCGATATTTAAAATCTTGTTGATCAGGAGTGCACAAAAAGTACAGAAATAAAACAGTCACTAATTCCAAAAAATTACAGAAATTGTATCTCAGTATGTTGGCAATAAATCAGGGCCAGCCAAAAATTGCTTTAGGTATTTTAGAATCCAACAAAAAATCAGCATTTATATCAGTGATTATTCGGCTGATTGTATTAGCCGATTGTGGCCAGAACAGAAAAAAGAAATCCACAAGAATACTCCCTTTCCCAAAATTTAATATACATGCTATCGTGGTGGGTATTGGCACACATTCACTCGCTTCCCATTCCATTCACTTTGGTTGATTTAAAATATTTGTATATTTCATTTTCAGGTTGAAAGAATTTACGAAAATTTGAATAAGAAGTTTTCGTTAAACGTATCATTTTGAAAGAATCGTTTTTCTTGAATAGCAATGCATATAACAATTTGAAAAAAAAAATAATAATATAAAAGCACTATGTATATTGTATATTTTATTTGTGCAGTTGGCGACTCATCTATATAAAAAATGTATTCAAAGTTCCACATGATTCATATAAAAATTAATTTAGCGGTTGTAGCTTTAAATTTTACATATGTATATAATAATTTGTCTAATAAATATCGGTTATTCGAAGCATATGAAAAGTTCGAAGGTCTATGATGAACTTGGTATAGATTTGTTGGCATTTGCTTCGTCTTCTTCTGACTGTTGAAGCAGTGATCGTCTGTGTTCCATGCGTGCGCATTTTGGACATTTTTGATTTTTTCGAAGCCAACAGGCTCGATGAAAAACCGTTTTACATTTTTTACAATGAATAGCTCCATCATCAAATGGAAAAAGCACCTCAATATTACTGCAAATTTCACAGACATATCCTTTTCCCGAGCACAATTCACATTTTCGAATGTGTTGCTCGAATGTTGCAAATAATTTATTCAAAAATTCAATGATTGTCCCATTTTCAGCGCCAATCAAATCAGCTATACTGTACATATTGATGGATTGCACTAAATGGCGTCGAGCACCGATTGCATTTTCCAATAGTTTTGCATTGGTCGCAATTCGACATTCGGTTAAATAACGTCGCATATCATTTAAATTGGTTCGCAATTTTTTCACTAAACTCAAATTTTGTACGTAAATAAATAGTTTGGGATTTTTTTGCTCCAAATCGATGACTGGCCGATCCACAGTTAAATTCATTTCCTGTAAAGTAGCTGAAATGTAAAAAAAATGTTTGTACTTATTAGTCTTTTCTGAATGAAAATCAGAAAATATTTCAAAAATGAATTACCTCGACAAATTTTGTATGGCGTAAAATCCCAGTTGTGCAAAATTCGTGCAAAAATCGGTGCACTGTCGTTCCAATGACACGAAGGACAATAATAGAGTCCGGTATAGTCACAGATACGCGGTTCAACCCAACCTCCCTCTGCCAATTCATAAATTGAATCAATATGAATATATTTTTTTGGGTTGAATATAATATCAGTGTTAGATTATGTCTTCTATTTACCATGAATGATTTGAAAAACAAAATATAAAGCTTAGAAGGATAAAACTCAAACGATAGATATTCTTATGTGGGAAGAAAAGATGCAAAGAGGTGTAAAAAATAAATAAATCAATAGTTGGTGCACTAAGCGAAAGGGAAGTAAAATGTGGTATGTGCGAACAAAAGATGTTAATCGGGATATTGTGCATAGAATTTCGCATGAATCTACCTGCTTTGCTACGTAATCCCAAGCAGTAGAACCAACCAGGAAAATCTGGAAATGTCGATGTTTTTTTTTGAAGTCAACAAAATGGTATAGTGAAAAAGGTATATTACACATTTTAGTCAGATTCACATATATTCAACGCATACAATTTCTAATGTAATGAAATTTCACTGATGCACACAATGATCGATTTCTTAAACTTGAAAAACAAAAAGAATGTGCACTTACTGAAGCTTAACGATGAACTGCACTCAGCGCATTTGTAGGCTTGAAATGAGAGTCCACTTTCTGGGCATATTTCATCCAATGGTTCTTTGCGTTCGGATGTTATTACATGTGCACAGACCCTAACAATGCTTTCCAGACATTTGTAGTGAACACGAAAATTGCAGTCGATACAAATATACGATGCTTGAACAACACTCCAAATGATTCCGGTACAATGGTCACAATGAGGTCGGGTTGTTGTTTGACTAGGCTTTTGATTGTGATGGTCGACAAAATGGTGTCCCAAAATGATCTACAAAATGAAACATTATTAAGGTACGTACACAAAAAAAAGCTAAATAAAATATACTCTGTACGATGCTCCAATTTTAGCGTCATCAACATTGGCGTCTTCCATTTCTCGTAATCGAAATCTCAGTTCAACCAAATGCCTAACCAACCATTTACGTTCTGTTGAACATTCGTCCGTTTTTAGCACTAATTCTTTACATTTTTCAATGGCATTCGTGAGGTCATCGATTGAGGCATCTTCTTCAAGCACCAATTGCCATTGCTCTTTGATTAAACTATTCGGAATGGCATGTGACTTGTCAGAACTGTCGTCTCCAGACACCGAGGCCAATGTATCGGTACTGTCGAATGAAGGACTTGTCGGCGGTAAAAAGTTGGTCCCTTCGACTGGTGACGATGATGTGCTTATCAAATTGCTCAATGCATTTGGAATATTTGCAAAATTTCCACGCAGTGATTGCATTGCTTTCTATCTATTCGAACCAATTGTGTGTGGTTTTGTTTTTATTTTTTTTATAATTTTATACAATTTTCCTTATCTAATCATTCGACACAAATACAGACACTCAACGTCACTTAATATATAAATTTCAAATTAACTTTTCATTTTTGGGTATTTGAAACATTTTCTTTTGTTTTTCTTTTGTCGTTTGCAATAATAATCTCATGACAGCTGACATAGACACAAAACAAAGAAATTTGGACGAACTCAGACAGAAATATGTGGAATGAATGCATTCAATGTCACTATGTGAAACAATTTAATGCACACTTGTTCAAGAATTAAACGAACACGAAGAATGCTTCTCTACACCTATATGATTCATACAAAATTTGACAGAAAGATTTTGTCATCATTGTGTATTGATGATTGCAATAATAATCAAAAGTTTTCACAGTGAAAATAATTTATCCAAAGAAAGAAAATCACAACAAGAACAATTTTACGCATAAAAAAATATTTTCGTGGTGAACAATGGTTGTTTATGAAGCACAACTTTCAAAGTTCTTAGCTGGGGTTGGTTTTTTTTCCATTGTTTATGCATATAAATTTAATTGAGTAGACAATGGCAAAATGTATCGCATTTAAATGATCAATTTTGCTCAAATCTATATGTTCACAACAACATTTATGTTTTGTTTTCCATACTTTTTACATACATTTTTTTTTTATCTTCAATTCGAACTTCCGCTACTTAAAACTGCTTAAAATTATTTATCCGCTATGAGAAAAAAAATGCTTGAATCACTTGATAACATTATCAAACATTAGCCACTTTATTATATGAAACCTCTTCAAAATTTATATATTTTTCATTCACAGTATCAGCATGTAAATCAAACCAAAAAAGATGTGGTAGATGTTGTGGAACAATATCGTGGTTTAACATTTAAGCTTGAAGATTTTGGTTTGTATCATAAAACGAACTGACGTAAATGACGTAAGCTAATTATGTTTTTTTTTTCTACTTCAGTCTTCAATGATGGGAATAGCAAAGAGTTGCTCAATATAAGCGGAACTATACCAGTTGTTTACAAAAGTAAGTACAATTGGATTTGTTTACATATCATCAGATGAACGAATGTTTGTGCTTTTATTTTTCACCAGATAACACCTACCATATTCCAATCTGCATTTGGTTAATGGACACACATCCATATAATGCACCACTCGCGTATGTTCAACCAACGTCCGACATGCAAATTAAGGTTTCAATGTTTGTCGATCACAATGGTAAAATTTATCTGCCATATTTACACGAATGGAATCCAGTGAGTATTCAATTGAGAAATTTTATGAAAATATCTTTATGTATAATTGCATTCGTCCACTACAGTCGTCTTCAGATTTACTGGGGCTTATTCAAGTGATGATCGTTACATTTGGTGATATGCCACCGGTCTATGCAAAACCAAAAGAACAAGTCACACCGTACCCAACACAACGTAGGTTCACAATAGATTGCTCATATTTTATTTTATTTTAAAAAAACGGTTACCATTCAATATCAGCAGCATTCATGCCTCAACCTGGTGGAGGTCCTGGTTATGGTTTGCCATATCCTGCCGCATCGGGTGCATTTCCGCCATATCCAACTAGCAATTTTGGAGGCTTTCCATCTTATCCGGGCGCCAGCGGAGCATCAAACCCACCATCAAGTGGATATCCACCATATCCAATGTCCAATCCATCACACTCAGGATATAATAGCTTTTTTGGAGGTGTAAGTTAACCACAGCATCTCCTTTTCTCAGAAAACTGCTATTGGCATCGTTTTTCTTATTTCTAAAGTAAACAGTCGTCAACAAATATATATGAATAATATATTTTTAGCAATCAAACACATCACAAGATGGCACAATGACCATAACTGAGGAACACATCAAGGCATCGCTCATCAGTGCTGTGGAAGATAAATTACGGCGTCGAATACAAGAGCGTGTTAATCAACATCAAGCCGAAATGGACACATTAAATCGCACCAAACATGAATTGAACGAGGGCCGAGCCAAAATTAACGAAATCATTTCAAAATTAGAACGAGAAGAGGTTTGTTTCCCAAAACATATTTGGAGCCACTTTTCGTTGCTCATCGAGTGGACTTTTTATTCACATAAATGATTTTTCGAATTTTCATAATAGAACGAATTGAAAACGAGCATTGGCGTTCTAGTGGAAAAACAGAAAACATTGGAAAAATCACTTGAAACATTGGAAAAAGTTGACACAATTGATGTCGATGAAGCAGTCACAACAACAGCACCACTATACAGGCAGTAAGTAAATGATCACGGCCGATTTCAATTCATTTGTCTTTAAACATTTCACAAATTAATGAATAAATTATTTGTTATTAGATTATTGAATGCCTATGCTGAAGAGGCTGCTATTGAAGATTCGATATATTACATTGGCGAAGCATTACGAAATGGTGTCTTAGATTTGGAAGTATTTCTAAAGCATGTTCGTCAATTGTCGCGCAAACAATTCGTGTTACGTGCAACGATGCAAAAATGCCGACAAAAAGCTGGTTTAGCTGGCTAATTTTTGAAAACCATTTTTTACAATGTCAATGATATGAACAAACATGTTATGCCTATATGATATATAAAAAACCTATTGAATAAAATAAAAATTCATACGAATACATGCCGGAGTTTTATTCTTTAAAATTTGTATTAAACATAAGTTGATTGAATTACGTGTGCAATCAAGGGGAAAAGTACTAGTATTTTTAATTCAATGTAATGCCAAATAATGCAAAAAAATACCAAGTAAGTTCGAAAAATGCCATTTAATTTTTAATAATTTTTCATGAACAAAAATTAAACGCGTCAATTAAGAAGTAAAACAGAGAGAAGGAAACATTCAAACACCACTGCTACACAGCTCACCTTGTAAATAGTTGCACAAAAACAAACAACTATAAGCAATGGAAGCGTGTCAGTGGAATACAGAAAAGAACATACAAATATACATCAATACGCAAATTTGTGTGTATTGGACATCATCTACTGAGTCGCCGCCAGTGTGCTACGCATTCACAGCAATGCATGAAAGGGATGATAGAATATTTTCTTTTGAATGATCTATTATGTTCAATTATCCTTCCACTTTTAGATAATTATATGATTGCAAGAATAAGTTCACATTCTAATAGGAATATAATTAAGTTGCCTTTCGCTTTTGTAAAAATGAGTGGGAAATCAAGCAATTTATGGTTATATTTTAGTATAAATAACCGTCGAAATTGTATGAAGAGTTAGTTCTTGTTCTTGTTCGATTTCGTTAGTTCTTGTTTACAAAAGTGTATTCTGTTCAGTTTTTGTTTATAAAATTGTGTTGGTGATTTAAATCAAGTGAATTTGGTTTCATTTATAGAGTTGCTTATTTCCTCTCTTAAAAAGGAAAACATCGAACAAACACAAACATACATACAAACAAAATAAAGAGCGATCAATTGTCAATGTGACATTAGCGGTCTCGACTCGTGATTCACAAATCAAAATTGATAATACATTTCTTTTTTGCGAGTCATTGTGAGAACTTTCTTTACTGCAAGTCTCCAGTTAGATCTATTTGAATTTTCCAAAAAAAAATAAATATAAAATGGCACATCGTAATATCAGCAGATTGGTTAACAAAGTAGCTGTTATTACTGCATCCACTGACGGGTAAATAGTTTACAAATATTTATCGTTTCAAATCAATCGTTATGTTTTTTTTTTTTGATCAGCAAAATTGTTTATTTTTAAGAATTGGTTTTGCAATTGCAAAACGATTTGCTGCAGAAGGTGCCAAAGTGGTTGTGAGCAGTCGAAAACCAGAAAATGTTTCAAATGCTGTGAATAAATTGAAAAATGATGGTTTTTCGAATGTGATTGGTGTTAAATGTCATGTTTCGGATGCAAATGATCGTAAAAATTTATTCGATGAAACGCTTAAAAATTTTGGTAAAATTGATATTCTAGTATCGAATGCAGCGGTAAATCCCGTTGTTGGACCTGTACTTGCTTGCCCGGAAGATGCATGGGATAAAATATTTGATGTAAATGTTAAAGCATCGTTTCTTTTGGCTAAAGAAGTTACACCAATTTTACGTGACGAAACGAACGGAAGCATCATATTTGTATCATCATACGCTGGACTCAATCCATTCCCGGTATTATCAATTTATCATATCGTATCATTATTTTGATAACATAAATATATAAATATATGATCTTTAGTTAATTGGAGCTTATTCAGTTAGCAAAACAGCATTGATTGGATTAACAAAAGCACTAGCGCAAAATCTTGCTCCTGAAAATATTCGGGTTAATTGTGTTGCACCTGGCATTATTCGAACAAAATTTGGTTCAGTAATGTACGAGTCGGAAACAGCACATGAAGCGGCTCTATCGATGATTCCGATGAACCGGTAAGAATGTGATTCATTAAAAATGTTAATAATATTTAATTCTTTTCAAATCGATCATCGTTATCAGATTGGGTGAAGTTGAAGATATATCGGGACTTGTTGCCTTTTTGGCATCAGACGATGCAGCCTATATTACGGGTGAAACGATTGTGGCTGCCGGTGGAATGCCATCAAGACTTTAGATATGGGGCTATGATGGATGGGTGTGGGACTTACAAATAAAAAGCATATAATTTTTTGAAAAATAAATATATATTTTTTTATTTATCCGACCATGGTGCGTTTTCTTCCACGCGCTCGAACCTCTTCAAATTTATTGATAATTTCAATGACATTGGCTGTATTGGCTTCTTTATAAGCGTCTAGAATTGTATTGAATAGATATGTTATGTCGCTGTGTGTACTGAGCAATGCCCGTTCCAAAACGTATAAGTCAACACCTTTTACTTCACTGCTTTGATTAAAACTTGATAGTCCAAAGTCGATCATAATTAATTTGTAATCACGAAATGTGCCATCGTCTGTCGCCAATGGATCCAATAAAATATTGGATGTGGTGAGATCACCGTGTATCAAATTGTTGGCATGCATTTTTCCAATGCATGTTCCGATTTCACCGGCCAACTTGTTGATTCGTTGCTTTTGCTCGGCTGGTTCATTGAGCTGTGCCACAATATCATTTATGTATGCCTTTGCAGTGATACTTTTTTCAAAATATTCCATGTAAATTTTTCGTTCATTCAAATCCATGTGTAAAATACGTGGTGCATTCACACCGGCCGCTTCGCATCTTGCTGCTGTTTTCGATTCGGCACGCATTCGTTCTTTTGTGAGGTGAGTATCCAAATCGGGATGTCGATAATGTTTCACAAATCGTTCTTTTATCAAACATTTTTTACCACAAAATTCACCAAGCGACAATTTTGCCTCGGCTCCTTGTTTAATAATAACCATTTTACTTTCTCTCGTTTTTATAACTCGTGATTTTGTTGATATAGAACCGAAAATAATAATAATAATAATACAAAAGCTCTCAGTTCAACACAATGACGAAATTCAGTTTTTTTTTTTTTAAATAGGTTATGTTTTTTATGTAAACTCAACTTCAACAATTGCCAACTTCACACCAATCAATGACACTTCGTCATTACGCCGGCCACGTAAATAGTTTGTCATATTAACAATATACGCAAACAACCAGAAAAACACAACGAGAAAACCCGCACCAAACCAAATTTCCACCGATCAAATTGTAAGTTAAATCAAAATTGTCGTCGTTAGTCAATTGAAATGAATCTAAATTAAATGATTGAAATTTCAGGCAAAAATGGAGTCATTGACACGATACGTATCGCCAATCAACCCATCAGTATTTCCACATTTGGCTACTGTTCTATTGATTATCGGCACATTCTTCACATCATGGTTCTTCGTTTTTGTCGTTTCACGCCCGAAAGGATTTAGCAAAAGTACTCTCATCTTGAAGGAATTGCTTATCAGCTTGTTTGCTGCAATTTTCTTGGGCTTTGGTTTACTATTCCTGTTCCTATCCGTCGGCATTTACGTCTAATATTAATTTAATACACACAAACACTCAAAAAAAAAAAAAACATTCTAGCACTATGATTTTGATTTCAATGAAGTTCAATTGATCTTTTGATTTGTGTACGATTTATTTTTTCGTTTGTTTTTTTTTTTCTCTCGTTTAATTGAATACAAAGATAAATAGATAATTCGCATACTTTCTTAGCCAGCCAACGATCTGCAATTGATGTATACAAATACATTTAAGAAGAAGAAAAGTTCATATAAAACAAATAAATAAACCAATCATATTAAAATAAAAACAAATTGTTTATTCCAATAAATCGCATGTATTATCTCTTTATTGATCTTATTTGTGTCTTCGCCGTTTGTGAACAAAGTTGTTGGTAATGCAAGATTTAGGTTAATTCAAATTAGTGGAATATGAATATGATATTTGCCAGATTTTTATTTAAATTTTGAGGTTGTGCAAGCGTCGGTTTAAATCACCGAATTTCAAAATTTTACGAATAAAGAATTCGCCATAGCGATGGGCCACTTTTGTATCAGCAATATGAATCATATCAAGGTCAATATAGAAATCCAATTCCGAACCGGACACAAATTTGCCATCCAAACCGCTTGAACCTTCGCTCCATACAAGATTTTTCATTTTATGTTTGAAGCACAATAAATGAGTCAATAAATTGTTGATGTCACGTTCGGCTGGCTCTTTGTTCATAAACGAAGCCAATTTTTCCAATGGCAACGTTGTATACAATTTCAAGTATGAACGAATGGTTGGTAATTCTTGTTGTTGTCGAACTTCGTCCATAAATACTTGTGTTTGATGTTCCATGGGTTGCTTGACAAAGTCACCTTCGGTTGCGTCGTTTGGTGGCGGACATGGTGAAATGAATTTTGGACTACCGAAAATAAAGAAGTTGCGGAACGTGTCCAAGTCACCGCATTGCATTTGATACATGCTTTCGTGATAGTTTTTGTCTCTGTGGAGAAAAATGGTGTAAAATTATCATTGATAGTATGAATTAATTGTTATTTTCTCATGTCATTATTTGTATATATTTACCGTAATGCTTGTTGGATTGATTCGTCAATGCATTGTGGATGAAGAACTAAACAAATGGTAAGCAATTGATACATTTGCTCAGTTTGTTTGTTGATTTGATCATTTTGATATGATCGGGTGCTGTACAATTGCTTCGTGCGTTGAATGAATAGCAAAATGGAGCTAAATGTACGAATGGCATCAGTATAGCGACGCATCATCATGTAAGCGAAACCAACATAATAAGATGTTGAAATTTGACAGGCTGGAATATGTGTGTATTGATTCTTCTTGTGAATTTCAATTGGTTCCAACACCTTAATTGCCTGATAGTAATCACCGAGCAATGAATGCAAACGCAGCATTTCGACCAAACTGAAATAGCCCAACATCTTATACAATGAATGACGTCCAAATTCACCAGCAACCGATTCTGGATCACCGCCCGATGCTGACACCTCCAATTGTAATTTAATATTCGACTTATCGACCAGCGAATGCAATACATTCAAAATGCACAAAATGGTCCAGTGATTTGTGTGCTTCAAAATGTTAAGCTCTTCTTCGTTTTTGTCATTGAGACGTGCACGATATTGGGCATAGTTTTGGAATTGATAGACGAATTCGTCGAGCAATTCCCACAGCCAAATGTCCGGCAATTCCAATTGAAATGGTTGCGGTGCCGACAAAATCAAATTGAAGAAGCTACAGTAGTTGAAAAATGAGTCAGCACGCTCATGAATGGTTGGACCTTCGGGAATTCGTGCATAAATATGACGAAAGTATAATTCTTTATACAATGTTAAAAACACATCATCGGTTCCAACGATATCGGCGATTTGATTTTCGGACGGCCATGCACGCTTATCGTAATACTGTTCGCTCAACTTTGGGAAAGTGTTTTCGTACGAATTTTGGATCTCGTAAACAACACCCTCACTGATTACAGTCCGAAAATATTCGATAAAGTTTTTCACAATATCGGGCACTTTCGGCACACTCATGCTGCGTTCATATTCCAAATCAAGAGTTGGATCGCCCGTATGGCTATCTTCGTCGTACATATAATCACGGTCATACTGCAATTGAAAGAAAATTATCAATAATGCGTTTGCCGATGAAACAAAATGGCGTGTACGGTATAGGTTAGGTTCATTTTTACTGGGACTCTAATTACTCGTATTTAATTTATCAAACTAAACACTCTAAAATAATATCAATACTGTTTGGGATTCGATAATTTCTTACACTTACCGGATCATAATCGTCTTGGTCGAGCATTTTGCAATTTTTTTTTCACGGAACTTTTGAATAAATTACTTGATGAACGTATGCAAGTTTTGCCACACCGCTACGGTCGTCTAAGTATACACTTATGGCATGGGAAACACTTTGACAGATTGAACTTATTTACACGTTTACATTTACATGAGTAAGTGGATGTGTGTAAATGTATGAGTGTCAGCATGTGTACTTTCACCATACACCAACATCAAAACCAACTATTTTTATTTTTTTTATTCACTTCTGTTTTGGATAATTTATTTTTTTATGGATTCTTCTGAATTTTGAAAAAATTAAAAAAATATCTCTACATTTTATAGTTACTAAAAATGAGCATAGAAAAAATGTTGTGGTGAATATGCAAACAAAGTGAATATTATTCACCACACATTCCATTTATTTTGACTGATAATTACATTGTCATTATGACACTAAAATTTGCTTCAGCTGAAAAATTAGTCAAAACGACAGAAATCAGGGAAAAAATGATAATCAGCTAATTTGTTGTAAATTCGTAAAAAATCAGGTAATGTTGAAATGAGTTTTTTTCTGATAAAAAATCAAATAAAATACATTTTATTTATTGTATTGCAGAGATCATTATCAAATCAACGTGAAACGAAGGAAAAAACGGTATTTTTGATTTGGAAATGGCATCAAAACGAAAAATGACATCCAGTTCAACGAACATGAACTTTCGTCCGACGGGATATGATCCACAACGTCAAGATACAAAAGGCACACGACCGACATCGAATCCGACCACCGTACGTGAAGTTCTGCTTCAAGTGCTAATGTTTTTGTGTAAAAAAATCATATTCTTCGATGTAAATCTCAAAGTGGCTTTATATTTGGGTAGTTTATTTTTAGTGTCATTAATCGGTGACTTTGCACCATATCCAAAAACGTATTTTGCGCGATCTGATAACATTTTCAATGTTTACTTTGTGAAATGGGGTTGGGCATGGACATTAGTATTAAGTGTACCATATCTCGTATTGACGTCATTCATTTTATGTTGTGGAAATCGAGGGAAACTATTCAAAGAGCATTTACCGCGCATTGTAATTGCAACATTTTTCTGGCTTACGTGGACCAAAGCATTTAACTTTATCGAAACAATGTACGGACGATGCAATGCAAAAGGTGTTGATACAAAAATTGCATGTTTGAAAGGTGGCCACTTTTGGCATGGATTCGATATATCTGGTCATGCATTTATATTGATTTACTCGAGTTTGGTGTTAATCGAAGAGGCAAAACCGATCATCGGCTGGGAAAATATCAAAGAACATCTACGAAATGAGGATCATAATCGAAATACACGTGAGGATTCATCATCGAATCCATTACGAAATCTTGAAGACGATGAATTTCAAACCGTTAAAGAAATGTATGAAAAATATACGCCATTAATTCGAATTTTATTCATTTCAATGACTGCCTTACAATTGTTGTGGGACGTAATGTTGGTATGCACAATGCTCTACTATCACAAAATGATCGAAAAGGTGTTGAGCGGAATATTTGCAATTCTCACATGGTTCTTTACATATCGTGCTTGGTATCCAGCCCATTCACTGCTACCGAATTCGGTTGGCCATGGTAAATTTCTGTATCAAAAAGTAAAACCGCAACCGGCCGTACCGTTTCGAAAACAATCTCTCAACTATGGCAATGCGGGACCATCAAATCGATCAAACGATGTGCCGAAATTTATGGGAATGCCAATTTATCAACAAAAACCCGTCACCGTGACTACAACCGAATAAATCCTCAAAGAACAAAACAAATCTTAGTTCTTAGCACATCCGGTGAATGGTTCCCGATTGTTTTTTCTCAAGAAACATATTTTTTTTTTTGCTTAATTTATACTTAGGTTTAAAATTTGATTGGGAAACTTAATGGTGCCGTTTCAAACAAGATTCAATTGATATTTAACTGCATTTTTTTATCGAATGCTAAATGCTTTGGAATATAAGTTAAATTGTTAAAACAAAACTACTCACTCACTTCAATTAACAGAACTTTTTTTTTCTATTAACATTAGTGTTCTACATAGTATACATATAAATGTAATTTGCGCCTATGGGAATGTTTGTTGAGTGTCCTTTTTGGTCGATTGTTAAACATATTTTTGTAAATAAAGTCTAAACATCAAATGGAAATAAAGCGAAAAAATCAACGAAAAAAATGGAAACTATTTAATTTTTTCTAAATTTTGTAAATTAAAATACCAACGAGAACCGTTGGCAAACTGAACGCACACACTTTGTAGATATATGGTAATTTCATCCAAGCGGCTCTTGCGGTAGCCATCGTTGATGGCAATGATGCTTGAAAGGATTTTTGTCGCATGATTTTTTCATAATACTTTGCGATGTAGGGTTTTTTATTATTTCCCCAAAAATATTTCGCTAAACCGAGTTGATGCAAACGATGCAACAAAATGCCAAGACTCACATCAGCCAATGTGAACTGATTGCAGCATAGCCAACTATTTGATTCTTCTACAAAAAAAATATTGAATAAATTTCTGCTATCATTCTTATATTCACGAAATGAGGCGAATACACTTTGTCGCATACCAGCTTGATGTTGTAACTGAGCCTCAATTTCAATTAATAAAATTCCAACTGAATCGATCAATTTTTGAAATTCATCTGGATCTTTGATCAGCTCGAATTTTTCCCGTTGTGATTTAACTTTCATCAAGAGTGCGTCTTGATGCAATGGATTTGCTTTTGCATTTTCTTCAAATTTATTCAACATCTCTTCTTCCGACTCTGAAAGTATAGGAGATTTTTTTTTTCAAATTTTTTTCTTTGCGATTCATTTCAACTTGATGTGAAAGATAAAAAAAATCTGAACTTCACCTAAAAAGCTGCATCGCAATGGTCCAATAAATGGTAGTTGTGGTGATGAGACAATTTTCGAATGAATAAATGTGCCCAAGCTGATGATTCCAATGGGGATTTGACTGATTTTCCGATTCAAAAAAATGACTTTGTTCAATAAGTTTCGATTTTGTGTCGGAAGTAATGTTGGGTGCTTTTCAACAAAATTGGCTTCCAGGTAGTGGATTATTTGATTTGATGATGGAACAACGAGCATATCATTTTGTAAAACAGGTACATCCATTTTTGGATTCATTTGCATAAACCAATTGGAGCATTGTTCACCATTTGAAACGTCTACTTCGTAAAGTGTGCATGGAATGTTTTTTTCATGTAAAACAAACAACACCTATAAAATAGAAAATCATTTATTTATATCGTTCATCGAAATAATTGTAACGACGTTGAATGAACTAACGATTTGCTAATTGATTTCGTAACGTATTGCATGCGAAATTATTCATGAATTGAAAAAAACGATAGAGAAAGACGAGCAGCTGTGTTATCAGAGAGTTATAAATGCCATGTAAAGATAAATTCAAAAATAAACAAATCAACAAAGACATGCAGTCGCCAATCATTGAAACGTAAGATAAACTGACAAAATTATGAACAATTTAAGAGAACAAACCTTGAATTAACAAACTCAAGCGTAACATTAACTAACGAATTTTTTTTCGGTTCATGCTTTATTATTTAATAACGATCAATATCCATTGGTCATGCAATATAATAAAAAAGAAATATTTGTACTTTCGATACATAGACACACAAACAGTCATAAACACGGTATCACACATTTTACATTGACACATTGGAAACGAAAACAGCCGAAAGAGAATTTGCGGAATTTAGTTCTTATTTAACAAAAACACAAATCATATGATTTTTTTGTGTGAAATGTTAATCACATGATATTGCATACAGTACCCGATGTCTTTGAGTGTGATGCAAATGTGATTTCGAGATCTGATTTATTCAAACCGAGATTTGCCGGTTCATTGTTTTTTTTATTACTCACTTTCTGCGAATAGAAGCTCAACGGATGATAATACAAAATTAATCCACTTCGATCGCTCGGCCTCGATGAAATAAACTGACCCATATTTTATCCTGTTTGATATTTATTCAAATTTAAAAAAAAACTCTCTCTTCCTTTTAATGAATTTAACGATTTTTTTTTAAAACAAAAATGACAAACATTTGGATTTTTAATAATAATATCATTTAGCGAAAGTAAAATAAACGTACAGTCAAAAATGTATATTTTGTTTTCCAGCGGCGATAGCGGCTTACTGCAAACTAAGCTACGAATATACTGATATTGTTTGTATCGTACAACAACAAGAACACTTTGCATCACATGTTCTTGGTCTGTTGACTGTTAAAAGTGAAAATTTCCTCTTGTTGTACAGTAGAAAAAGAATAGTAATTCGACCCTGAAAATGATTTGCAATTATAACCATTACGATAAATAATTTACTGAAGATTTTAAAATAATAATTGCCTTTTAAAGGCAAATGGACGATTAAATCATTTTCTACTATTTGTGGAAAATTACTTTTAATAACTTCTAATTTAATAGTGGAAAAATTACTTTTAAAATTTATAATTTTGAAAAAAAATTCATCCTTTTATTATTTATTTGAAATACAAATTTTCAAGTTTGAAAGAAGGTTTTTCGATTTATTAAAATTCGATTTATATTATTTTACCATTATTTATTTCAACAAAATTATCTTAATTTTTTAATTATCTTTTTTAGGTGTCTTGTTTTTATAATTATTCCTTAAAATAAATAAAAAAAGTAAAAATTATAATCGAAAATAAACTTTCTATTTTATTGAACGAAAAATATCACGTTTATTTTAGTTAAAAAAATTTGCTTCGTTTTTTTTTCTTCATTTTAATATATAAAAGTTATAATAGTTTCAATTTGTGTCTGATGAGTAAATAAATTTGAAATTGGTTCCAATAATAAAAACACAGTACGAGTTGAGAATTGAGTGCGTTCAGTGCTTGAAGAATCACGAGCATTGAAAGCGTTCATCAATGTGCGACTGACACTTCAAAATAGGTAAACATAATCAAAACGTGTTTCATTCATACAATTTGGTGGTAATATTTGAGTTGAACAATTTAATTGATTTAAACTTGAAAATGAGTAAAGCGTTGTTTGATAATGATGATGTGTCGGATGATGAGATTGGTTTCAAAACCAATAAAGACTATGCCAAGTCATACAACACATATCGGCAAAAAGAATTGTTAAAAAAGCGTGAGTAAAATGTGTGAATAATCATTTTGACTCTATCTAACCTCGTAACGTGTATGTTTTTCTTTTTGTTGCAATAGTGAAAGATAAGGAGGCCGGCGATGAATCGGATTCCAGCTCAGACTCGGATAGTTCGGAAGATGATGAAATAGCATTCAATCCAAAATTTGACAATGAATTCTACAAAACGTTATCATCGTTGAAACGAAAAGATCCAACAATTTACGATAAATCAACAAAATTCTTCGATGGAACCAGTCACGATGCGGATGACTTGGATGCTGATGAGTCAGCGCCCAAAAAGAAGACAAAGAAATTAACCATCAAACAGTATGAACAGGATTTATTACTGAAGAATGGTGGAGCATTCGATGAAGAGTCTGATGATGACAATGAGACCAGCAACAAGAGAGCACAATCACCAACCTATAATGAAGAACAGAAAATGATAAAAAGTGAAATTCTCGGAAAAGTTGGAAACATCGATGAATCAGAAGATGAAAACGACATTGGTGGCTTGTTTAGTAAACGTGAAAAGACAAAGAAAGAGGAGGTAAATTTAAAAAAATATTTCGTGTTGCCATTGGTCTGAGCGTGTTTTTTCTATATTCACAGGAAGAAGATGACAAAGAGCAAGAAAAATGGCTGATCGAACATACTGAAATCAAAGAGAAAAGTATCAATGACATTTGGTCGAATAATAAACTTTCAAAAGATGAGAAATTCCTTCGTGATTATATTTTATCAAATGGTTATGCGGACAAAGATGACGATGAAATTCCAACATACGATGAAATTGTCGACGATGATGATTTTGAAGAGAAACAAACTGAATTCGAGCACAAATACAATTTTCGATTTGAAGATCCTGATCAAGAATTTATAAAGCGATATCCACGAACGGTTGAGCATTCGGTGCGTAAAGTTGATACTCGACGTAAGGAAAAACGTGCCGAACGAAGGGATCGAAAGGAAATTGAAAAGAAAGAAAAATTCCAGGAAATCGAAATGTTAAAAGAATTGAAACGCAAAGAGATTGAAGAAAAAATTGAACAATTGAAAGCAGTCACAGGAACCGATGAATTGAATGTCGATGAAATGGATTTGGATGGTGACTTTGATCCGGACGAATATGATAAGAAAATGCAGGCTATATTCAATAGTGAATACTATGAAGTCGATGAAGGTGATGAAAAACCAGAAGCTCCTTCCGATATCGAAGATTTACAAGTTGAAAATTACGATGAAATTGGTGACGAGGATAACACAAATGCGGATCCACACTGTGAAGATGATGATTTTAACATGGATTGTGATTATGATGAATCACAAAAAGACCAGAAAAAATCGTTTCAAGATGAAATGATCGAAAGTACACGGAAACGCAAACGTGGTAAACGTAAATCAAAATTCATGGAAATGTTCGAAGCCGATAAACCGAAATTCGATCCAAACGATGAAAAAACGTTCAGCGAATACTTGGATGAATACTATAAACTGGATTGTGAGGATATAATCGGAGATGTGAAATGTCGATTCAAATATGTTGAGACAACACCATGTGATTATGGACTATCGATTGATGAGGTATTTTCAAATCATTTTGCCTGCTTCAGCCCAATGTATTTCATGTTCTTTTTGGGGTGTACTTTAGATTCTTGGTGCGAAGAATAAGGAATTGAACGCTTGGGCCAGTCTTAAGAAGGCAACACAAATCCGACCAGAGCATGTAGAACGTAATGAACAAATGATTTTTCAGAGGAAAGCCAGGAACGACGCACTTAAACGTAAAATTTTACGAAGTCTTTATGAACCGTATGTCTTCTTTTATCATTACCTTTGGTCACACAATTAAAAAATCATTTCATTTGATATTGACATTTGGTTTTGGTTTGTTTTTTAGGTCGGACGATGAAGCGGAGGTGGAAGAGGGTCCAATTGTTGTTGAATGCAATAAACCAGCTACTATATTAGAAAATGGTGTGCCTATGCATCGTGATGGAGAAAATGCTGAAGAAAAGAAAAAGAAAAAGAAGAAAAATAAAACGAATGTTTCCACTGAAGCAAGTACATCAGTGACAAGTACATCTATAAATACATCTGCAGCAATCACATCGTCAGTTGATATACAACAAGCTGAAGAGATGAAAGTCGAGCAGACTCCACAAAAACAATCAACGGAAGAAACGAAACCTCAATCGAAACTACAACTGAAACAAAAACCAGTAGAAACATCTAAAATAAAGCATAAAGTCACACTAAAAAAGGTGGCCCATAAGACCATTGACAAAAAGAGTAGACCGAATAAGATTATCAAGCAAAAGGGATTAAGTGATGAACGTCTTAAGGCATTCGGAATCAATCCAAAGAAATTCGTCAAACAACAAAAGTATGGTTCACAAAACCAACAGAAAAATTCCGGCAATAAAAGCTCACCAACACAAAACGAAAAGTTCAAGAATAAAATGAAAAATAAATTGAAGAAGGCGTTACAAAAGTAACTTTGCATATAAATAATAAATACAGCCAATAAAGATTATGAAATAAAAGTGTTTGCCATGTTCAATAATTGTATTGTGTTTTATTTGATGTTGATGTTAAATCAATTTATTTTCATACACTCGTTGTTATGAGAGCACAAAAGAGGTTGCGTCGCACATTATACATTATGTGTTGCCATTTAATGTAAATTTTCAAAATTTAATTACGACGGTTGTTGTAATTTTGGGTGGTGGCTTGTGTAAGTTGAAGACCACTGATGTTGTTAAAGTCCAAAAGTTTCAACATCTCCTTGGTTTCTGGATCAACTTCGATGATATCATGTTCCAATGCTGATACAGCTGGTACATAGTTATCACGACGTTCACGTTCTTCTTCTTGCAATTTGATTGAAATACCGCGCACTTGTGAGTGACGAAGACGGCCCATTAAATGCGTAACGTATCTGCATATGAAAATGAAATGAACATAACATTAGAAATAAGATATTTACATTGATATGATGCAAATATGTGGAATTCATTAGAATGACATGATTCACTCGAATCGCGGTATAAATGTGCCATTAATTTGTTGTTCAAAATAAAAATCGAATGAAATTTTATTCTGGATGCGTTAATGGACAAATTATCTGTCTGACTATGACTGTAACAATGACCAGTGTTATAGTTAAAGTTACGAACAAAGTATCAGACGTTTTTTTTTTCACACCGAAAAACTCACATGTCACACAAGCAACACTAGTTAAACATTGAACACACTTTACCGAGTTTTTGGTTATGCCAAGTCAATATTTTGTTTTTGCGCAAATCCTGACACCACACCATGTTTCGGTTTCGTTTTTTTTTCTATTTTCTCTAATTATGAATCGTTCCACTTTTCATTTGCACCGTAAAACAATATGAATCACTTTGAATTGAAAACTTACCCAGCGATTTTGTTACGAAGTGATTTGGTTGGAATAATGGCGACTTCTTCACAAATACGCTTATTTGTGTGGAAATCCATGGTCAAGCGGGTGTAGTATTTTTCAATAATGACCTTAGCGGCCTTCTTGATAGTCTTCGTACGAACACGACCCTAGAATAAAATTGAAACATTAGTGAAAATTCAATTTTGTTCCGGCGTTCATTCATCAATTTCAATTCGATTCACAAAACCAATAAACACATAAGCAATACATTGGTGTACAGTGCCGTTTGTTCACATTAAACAAACATTAAAATCTCGATAAATTAATTTGAAATCACAAAATATTCATTGCAAATACAATGGATAAAAGCACTATTTAACACATTTTATTGGTTTTCGTCGATATTTTGCATGGATGATGGAAATTATTTTCGATAATTTTTCAAGTGAATTTTGTTTAACACCTACCATGTTGAGAAGTTAAGCGGAAAAGACCTGAGAAATGAAAGCTGTCAACGAAGTGTGCTACCGCAAATGTGTGTTTGTACATTTGTGAAATGTCATGTGTCAAACATTTGACAGACGCTCAATTTTGAATCGTATGAAAACTACCGGAGCTTAGAATCTGTTGATACAGTATTAAAAATATGATTAAATCATACTCGAAATAAAATGGAATTTTTAGTTATTAGAGGTTTACAATTAAGAAAAATCCGCAATTTAAATTTAGAAACGAAATTTCATGTAGACCATGGAGCAATTGAGAGGGCGCCACTTTGAAGGTTCTCATATTATTGGAATATGCAGAATATTTTTTTTTCTTTCATAAGTGGTGAACCATAAGATTAGATTGCGATTTAGTATAGCACGACGAAAACATTTCAACTGAATGAAAATGAACGGATTTTCATCTGATTAAAAAAATGCATCTTGTCAAAATGTTCAAATCATTTGCAAAAAGACAAAAACCGAACCGAATCAATTGTATTATGTTCGATTGATTCGAATGTCATTCTAGCTACCAGTCATTGCAATGTGTTTATAAACAAATTGCAATGAATGAAAAAAAAAAACAATATTAAATTTAAATGAAACAGCCAAATGGGTTTTCTGTTGAATATGCATCGATTTTTTTTAAAGCTGTACAGGTACTGCATATTCATTTTTAATATTTTTATTGTTAAGTGATGTTGTTGGTTCCCATGGGTTCTTCCTCGAATATCATACCAGTTCTTATTACATACATCAAACAAATCAACACTTGACAAACACATTTTTGTGTTAAACAAAAATAATCTGCTCTAATTACACATGCATTTTTGGAATTGAATATGAATTCAGTTCAAAGCCGTAGTAGCTAGTCTTCGGCTCATCTATTTCTATAAAGCGTATTGTTGTGTATAAGAAAAACAAAAAGAAAAAAAAAGAGAAACAATAACAATGGAAATACACTTGACGATGTTCGATGTTCATTGAAAGGGTAATATTCACAAGTGCTAAAATGGATTTGCATTGCTCATGAGCGTACAATGACAGGCGCGCAAGTGTTCAACACCAACACACAACACCAAACACACACTCGCACACACACACACACACACACACACACACACACACATACAAAAGCATACATTTGCTCATCATCAATCTTTCGCACTCACTTCGTCGCTTTGGTTTATTCATGTATACGATGTGTCATTGAGTCATTTTTCTGTTCCATTGCAGCCAAATGCGAATTTCCATCGTGAAACATACACGCTCAAAAACGCCCCGGTGTGTTTATTCCAAACTCTCTGCTTTGCTGCTTCAATTTGTAATGTCAGTGTGAAAACAGTATCGATGACGATGTGTTGTGTTTGAGACCATACACATAATGAAATACGCGCGATTATAATATTAAAATTAAGAATTTGTGTATTTCTCTTGATATCTTCTGGACATTTTTTTTTTCGTATAAACAAAAAAAAGAGAGAATAAATTGTATTAAAAAAGCCCCTCGTCTATTTGTCAAATAGAACGAAAGGGAAACCTTCGAACCGAAAATCAATCAAGTTTGCATTGAATGTGTATTAAAATTGAAGTGAATACCAAAATCAAGTGCGTGTAGAGTGTTTGGTTCTTTTTTTTTTGTTTTATAAATATATCTATATACATACGGACGTTTTATCTGCGGTGAAATTTAATCGGGACGCATGGAGATATACAATATCGATCGATTCCTGTGAAGAAGCACCCAATTGTAAGTTTGTGTATACTATATTTCTACTTCTGTATTATAGATGGGGACAAAACATATGGCCGTACACAGCAAATATGTTTGCATTTCAAATAACATACAAATTCGTTAAAATGTTCGAATTGAAGAAATGGCGCTCTACGTTCTTTTTTTTTTTGTTTTTTGCTTTTGCAAAACCATCAAACTCGGGAATCGTTACTCTCTAAACACAATACGGCGTGTGTTATTCTCTCTCCTTCGAATAACGAACGAGATATAAAATATTTTTGCGTGGGCAGAGTGTTTTTAGTTTGAAATTGTGATCACACTTGAATTTGTTTACATTATATGGTAATTTTTTATATCTATTTCTCAAACTATTACATTTCGATCAATATAGATTGTGATTAGAGTGTGTGCGGTAGGTTTTTTTTACTTCTACTTTATTTATTCATTTATTGTCTCCTTTAAAAGATCGATATAGCATTGAATTGTTGACGTTTTTCGTCAGGGTTTTGTAGATGCTATTCACTGAAATTATAAAATATCGAATGCTGTCAAATGCATATTGATAAATGTTTCACTCATTCCATATTTTGAATCAAGAATGAAGCGATAAAAAAATCGATAGTAAAATCAATATATGACGCAAGAAGCCGTTTCCAGGAATGACAATTCCGTCATACACGAAGTTTTGCTACATTTCTACCTAACTAAATGATCTTCCTTGAACGAAAATCTAACACAAAACGAACGAACGACTAAATATACACCCAAATACCATCTTCAGACGTTGAAATTACATTGTTTCAAAATGCCGAGACATCAAATAAATGATGATGACAACAATCATAATAACACAATCAAGTTCATTTCGTGCAATAGAAAAATCATAATTGAATGAACAAACAATTAATCGATGCAAATGAACGGAGTACAAGACAGACAGAGAAGAGGGGTATTGCGATATGCATTTTGCAAAAGTGAACGAACACATTTGTTGCTATTACACTTTATGCGGAAAGCCTGCTTCTTGCGGTGCAATTTATGAAAACAAGTGTGTGCATCGGTGATATTGTGTGGTGACACACAGCTCATTTTATTTTATTTTTTTGTTTTTATGAAATGGAAACAAGAGAAAAATACAACTATGAAATCGATGTGATGAAGATTGGATAAAAAAAGTGCATTGCGAATTGTGTGCGCTCATTGATTCGAAGAGAGACAAATAAAAATGCATTCGTGCATATGTGTTTGTACGTAGTTTCAATTGTATGTGCCTTAAGAGCTGATATGATAGAGAAGCGCACAAATGGCAAAAAACGGCCCGACCGCGCGCTCTATAAATTGTGATCAATTTGATCGAGCAAAGGTGATAGCAATGCATAGTTAGGCGCGCGCGTGTGTGATTCGACAAAGTGAATGCACACACGTTTTGTGTGAATTATTTTATTGTTTGATGATTTTGTTGTTACTACAAACATGGGCGTTTTAAATTGAATTCAATACGTGCATTGCGCACATGAAATGCATTTATAATAATTACGTACGACGCACTCGCTAACCAAAATGGCAATAGCAAGACCAAAGCTGTCGTCAACCAAAAGAAAATTAATTAGAATTTTCACCGCATAAAAAAATGCAAACTTTTTCCTTTAACGCAAAAAAAAAACAACAACAACAAATGAATATGTGTCACAAAGGCAGCGCATCGTTGCGCCATTCTTAATGGCCCACTAACTGCATAAATTGACACTATTCTCTTTTTCGATGACAAAATTTAAAAAAGTAATGAAGAATTATTTATATTTAAGACGAAGAAAGAAAATAACAATGACATTGCTCATCCCAAAAGTTTGTTCCTCATTTTTTGCTCTCATTCACTATAATGCCCCCTATTCAATATAAATTCGTATCTATTTGAATAAAACGTAATATAGTTATATATTTTTCTTTCGTTGTGCTTACCAAAAAAATAACCATCATTATATTAGAGAGAACGTGTTAAAATAACCCGTGGTGTTGATTCAATAAACAAGTTACGTTTATAGCTAAAAATACAAAATTTAATTATCATTTATCAAATAAATTTTTCTAAATGTGCAGTAAGTTTCTCTAAATGTGAGTCAATCGACCAATGTGCATCCATCGACCAAAATGCCAATGTCACGCTGAAAAAAAATCGGTGAAAAAAAAACGCACAAAACAATGACAAAGGTTCTTTTATGATAACCAGGCCTTCTAAGAAATGTGACTAACAATCAGTTTTTGTTTTATCAATCCTATTTCCTTTTCTTCTTCTTTTTTTTCACTGTCAATATAATGAAAACCCTGATAGAAGAATCATCATCTTCATGATAGCAGAAAAAAAAAACTCGATTGCAAGTTATTCGAAATGGTTTATTCGAATGGCATTGTTTGTGGAACATGTATAAAATAGCACCGTATTTAAAGCACCGAGTAGCAACAACAACAACAAAAAGATCAACCATAAGAGAATCACACACAAGTCAGCGATTTACCCGTTGTATGCGAAAACAATGAAATGAAAGTTAAGAATGTGAGTAGTGAAATGGTGTGTATGTGTGTATATGTAGGGAAAAGTTATCACTAAGCGTTCTGTAAGCAATGAGAGCATATTACATGCGAACGTACTGTGAATTGGGGGGTAACAAAAAAAAGTGAATGCGCAATACATAGTAAAATGTCAAAAAGAAAATGAAACGCTCATCGCATCGTATATACATATAAACTGCACCAGCACCAGCAACTCACAATGTCTCTACGAGCCTACGATTTTCAAGCAACTAAAGTCAGTGTGCATCGGACATACATTTAACAAAAAAAAATCACTCTATAGTTCTCATATAAAACTCATCTCTCTGTTTCTCTGTCGTTTTCTTCATCTGTTTCTCTTGGAAAGAACATAACGACAGAATTTATTACTCGTTTCAACTCTTTCTTTTCATATTATTTTTTTATTCATTTCTTCGTGTTTGTGTGATTGAAAGAAGACCAAAATTGAAGAAAAAAGACCATGTTGGGATAGGTATCGATTAATTGGATTCAATAAATTGTTTATTCATCGTGGATAATTTTGCATCTTTTTTTTCGGTAAAATGTGTCGTGAGAGGCACATTACTTCAAGAAATAGACAAAAGAGATAAAAAAAACCAATACAAGGTAGTTAAGCAAATTTTAATACGATATCAAAACTATTATCGTATGCATACAGAAACATCGATCGATTTCACGTATTAACCGAAATAAGAAAAAAATACCGACATCAATTTGAGGAATCTACGAATAAATGATATTTATGACAATCAGTGAAAAGAAGAAAGCTTGATATTTTACTACCGCAAAAACCACGTCCAACAAAAATAATCGTATAATATTTCCCAAATCAAATCTAATCATACAGTTCAAACGTGTTGAAAATCATATTGTCCGCATTTTGTATGTTTTGTTTCTATTTTCCGATTAAGCACTCGGCAATTTATCAAGGTGATTGTATAAGCTGCTTACTGATTCGGTCAAATCAAATTTGATTTATGTCAAAACATGAATAGGAAATGATTTAAAAAATAACAACAACAACAACCAGCCATAGATGAAAGGAGAAAAACAAATGAACTGAATTTAATTTCGCGCGCGTGAGTGTGTGTGTGTGCGTATAAATTTTGATTGGAAACCATCACTGCTCGCCTCATTATTACCAATTATATGTGATGAGAGATGGATTTTATTTTTTTACGCGTTTCATTGGCGAAATAAAAATTCGACTTGATTAGTTAATGCTTGGGAGTTTATGATTCAACGCAACCAAATATTGTATTGATTTTTTGTGTATTTTACTTGTTTTTTTGTATAGGAAACCGAACGCTGTGCAGTAAAATGTCATAGCGACAAAACGATCGAATACGAATCATTTGATAGATTTTAAAGTGGAAATCATATGTGAAGAAAGCAATAAATAAACAGGTGGAGTGGTGTGTACGAAAGAAAACATCGAAATTCGAATGGATTTGCAAATTGTTTGTTTTTTTATTTTTATTTGGAACTACATGCGCAAAAGTTGATCGATTGAAGCAGGTGATTTGTTCGAATATTGAACTTAGCGGTCAACCGCGAACAAGAAAGAAATAGATTGGTAGAGATAGAGTGACATGAAAAGAGAGAATGTCACAAGTGAATGTGAATTATAAAAGTGTATAATGGTTTATGGAAACACGGAAACTCTCTCTCAGAGAAAACGGTATCAAAAGCCATCAACCAAATTTTCACGAAACTAATAGCAAAATGAAGAAAAACGAAGACGACGAATAGCAAAAAAAAAATAACATTAGTTTCCTATTCTTTCAATATTTTTGTTCAGTTTTGAATTGTAACAAAAGAATCATTTGTATATATACGGTGTGGTGAATGCAATAGTTAGTAGAAGATTTCAAACTCAAATATCGATTCGTTCTTCATTCTCGTTTCGTTCGCATTTTCAAATCTAATGTACACGCTCGATGTGCACGGCGCTCTCAACACTGGCCGACTTGTGTTCTGAACGGGGAACACAAAATACGAGTGCGAAAAAGACATATTATCGAAAAAAAAAACAACGGCTACAACAGCAGTAGCAATTTTTTCAACCGAACAATCCAACGCCAGCTAATAATATATTCCGCAACCGTAGCATGAACAGTTTCTACATATACAATTTTTTTTTACATCATTGTCATTAGCCGCCATTGCCATTGTTTCCAGCCGCTTGATTCCATGCATGTAACCAATATATTTTTGAAATGGAGAAAGAAAGCAAACAAAAAAAAAAACAACAACACTAATACCAACAAAAATTAGTATGATGTTCTGAATTAGCGTTTCTGAAATATGGTATATATGCTCTAGAGCATTAGTTCAAAATCAAAAAATGCACTTTCTCACTATGATATGACCTTTTGCATTGCCGCAAAGTCCAATTAATGGTTTTGCCCCGAATCAATGTTTCACATAACTAACAAGTTGCACATGGTGCTCTAGAAACACTATCAATACTATATATTAGATGTTTTTCATCAAGAATGCGCGCACGCACGCACACACTCACACACATATTCATTGCACAATGGCCATGCCCGTACTTACGAAACAGTTACACATTAATATTGTGTTTTGTTGTTATTTTTTTTTTGGTTCGTTTCGTTTTATTTTCATATCAAATTCGGTTTTACGGCTTCCAACGATGCCGTATTTGACGATGAACAATATGGATACACACGATGTATTATTACCATTTATGATAGCCCAATAAAAAAAAATTACATATAAAAAAATAGCAAAATTATCCAGTGCCGTATTTTAAGCGTTAATTTCATTACAATTCATGCCAAGAATGAAATTAAATTGGCAGCAACAAAGAGTAATGGTAATCTGCATAACCTGAATAGTTCGAAAATAGAATTGAAGTTAGGAGAAGAGCAACAAAAGTAATCGTCCATAAGATCACCTGTCACGCTGTGATTTTAAAATGAATTCTTATTATCGGCGATGTACGTGAGTGTATGTGTCATTGTCAATATGATAATCGATGTGATTTTTATTGAATAATTCTCTACATCTCTCTCTATTTCTCTGCCGCGCAGAATTGTGACATATATTGAGTTGGCATTCTTCGTTTTAAGTGGCTTGCCATTCTTAAAGAGATTACTTAAAATTATATCACACCATAAAAATAAAACACTCTATTAAAACAATTGAGATGAATATCAAAAACATACACTACATTTGCCACCTATTTTTTTCATTAACAATGCAAAAACTTTTTTTTTTTTGCATACGTGCAAATGATCATATATGGCATAAACTCCTTATTCTAATGATTCTGAATGTTAATCATTTCAATTGGATAAACGGCAATATGATATACATATATTTAAAACGTTTAATTAGCTAAGCGCATTGAAAGAGAACAAACAACAAAAATCAAACACTGAGTTAATGTTTGAGAAGGTCTTTGAGACTTTGTTTTTTTTTTCTTTACAACAAGAAGCAATAGATTGAGAGAGAAAAATTGGGTCGAGTATGTGACTCATCATTTTAGTCTAGTCTAGTCGAATTATTGTTTGGGCGGATCATATATATTACGTCATGCGCATCATATATACACAACCAGAAATACATTATCTGCCGTCTTCCTAATACGTGTGCATGCTTGTGTGCCGATCATGGCAATTTTAATAACACCCGAACAAAATAAATAACCGCTACCATCGATATCGTCTGACATCTAATGTATATGCTCCATTAAAATGGCAACGGCCATTCGAACGTCAACCGAAAAAAAAAACAGCGCAAGTTCAAATGGTGCGCCATGGCACTGAAATAGTTTTTTTTTGTAGTAAGTTGCGCGTATCTCATATTGTTGTAATAATTTGTCGTGCGTTGCCATTGAATCACGCTTCTCTTTGTGTATTTTGTTTGGCGTGATTGTGCTAAATGGATCGGTATGAATTAATATTTGTGTCAATTTAAAACAAATATGGATGTGAAAACTTCCGAAATCAAAAATAGTAACCATCATTAATATATGTATGGCGTTGAAAACAAATGAAAACAAATTTTAAGACATCTCCTGATACTTCTCTCTCTCTCTCTCTCCATTTGTGACTCACATTCTTGAAGACACCTTTGCTTTTGAAGAAATCATGCTAATCCATCTTCATAAGCACATACATGACAAATTCACAGTCCATCAATGTTCATCTTAATGTAATTGAAAACAAAAGTGAGAAACTTAAAAACAAACGTATCTAAACATCTAACACATCGTTAATTTGGAGCGTCCACGTCCACTGATTCATTTAATCTCGTCATCGGTTTTGTTTTTGTCCATCCAAAAATGGAATTGAAGCTCAAATTGTTAATTAATTTGATGTTGTTCTTATCCATTTTTTTCATCTCATTCTAAATTCGATACTTTTTTTTCGTTTCATTTCAGAAAAACAATCGACCACATTCACTCGTTGAATAAAATACGGAAAAGAAGAAAGAATTTGCAACTTCGTTTGGCATTTGATGAATAATATACTTGAATATTTTATGATCTCCCACGCAAAATCGACTTAATAAATTTAATAAGAAGAATAAAGAACACTATAAATCTGACACCATCAAATGACGACAGCAGAATCAACAGCAACTACACGTTTGAATAATTAATGAGATTTTGCTGGACAGAACAAAAGAAACCTGTGTGTGTACGCGTATGTTGTTTTTTTTTATTTTCAAGTCCGTCAATCAGTGAAAGCGAACGAGAAACAGTGTGTGAAAGAGCGTGAATATGTGTAAATTTAAGCGTTGAACAGTTTTCCGATTCACTCTTAAAGTACATAATATAAGTGTTCATCTTCAAATGGAAAAATAGTGTTATCTTTCATTTCTTTGGATCCGAGAGATCGTAAGCGAATGTGATTGCTATACGCTAAATGGATTCGTCTGTGGGTAATTCGAATTTTCAAAATGGTATAAGTACATATGAAGAGGACCGAATGAATGCTGGTCATATTCCGTTATCGGATGTGCAACAACGACAAAGGCAATGTGAGCAATTCAGCTCAAGTGATAGTGCTGATGATTTGCAGGAAATAAATTGGAATACAACCAGTGCTGCCAACGCTGTCACAACAACAACAACGACTGCGGCCGAATTGCCTTTATCAAAACCAAAACCAGAGTCTCAGGAGATTGACGAACGTGATCGTTACTCGCCATTACGTTATCCATTAAGTTTACCCCTTCAATCGCTTAATGATGATTTTAATTCGGTAATTGTGGGGGACAGTGAATCAATTGCACTAGTGCCAGCAGCACGACGATCATTTGACAGCAGTCGTGTTTCATCAAAAGAAGAAAAACAACGACAAAACGAAGAAAAGAAAACACCGGCATCAACATCAAATACCGATGCAGCGTTGAGCGCATTTGGTGGCATTGATTCGTCATCGGTGTCCTCGGAAACGGTTGGCAGTTGGGAATCAATTTATCCACCATCAAGAAAATCAAAAACAATGGCCTACACCGATAAACCGGTAACTGAACCGCAAAAACCACATGCTGGCGGCGGAGGTGAAATAAATTGTTTCATTGATGCATCGACTCTGTTGGACGATGGTGAAATGTCGTACACAACAAACATGGCATACGAATCGAATCTATCGCATGCAACCACAAGTCGACATGAGTCAAATAGTAGTGGTGGCAACGGTAGTGGTGGTACACAAATAAAAACTTCAACAACATATGGTAGTAAACATAATAGTTTTGAAACGAATGACGATCACATTGATATTAATACTCAACACAACACCTACGGTGATAATATTGAATTGAATAAAAGCAAAGAGAATTTAAATGAAGAGGAATTTGATCGTGACGAAGCCGAAGCATTAGTGATAAATTTATCGGATGAACAAAAATTGAGCACACAAAAGTCATTCGAAACGATGCATCTTCGGCCCGACATCAAAGATCAATATTCAACGGATTGTGTATCGACAAATGGACCAAAACCAGTTTCATTGAATATGTTAAATGAGTATGGATCGCGCGGTGAGAGTGCAAAAATTGGCAGCAGCGGATGTGGTGGTGGTGACACACGCCAGGAAAATGAGCGTAAACAAGGACATTTTCTATTTTCAAATTCCATACAACAGTTTTCCGGTCATGCGATGAGTCCAAAAATACCATATTTAGAAGAAAACCAAAGTGATTTTTCACTACCAAGCATTTATTCCGGTGGCAGTGATTGTGCCAGCACTTTTGATACAAGTTCGCATATAAGTAGTGATCGTGATTCGCACGATTTTGGCGAATTGACAATTTTTTCAATAGGAAATTCATCATCGAAAGGTGATTCCGTTATCTATCCCGATACGCCACATAATTCAATTTTACAAGTGAATTTATCACGAAATAGTTTGGGCCCTAGTGATTCGGCCATTGCATCATTATCATCATCGGAAAGTAATGCAATTTCAATACCACAACGACGATCGCATGATGATACGGTGCCAATAGTATCGGGCGGTGCATCGGTAAAAGATTTTACACCAAAACAATGTGAAAGCCCATCAATGCAACGCAAAACCGAAAATTGTCCAATAATCTCGGTGGGAATGTCGGCATTGGACTTTGAAACCAAGCCAAAGCCAAGAGAACGAATCAGTAGTTTGGCTATGAATTCATGGGTAGTCGATATGAGCGATTGTGGTAAAAAGAATCGCCGACGGGGCAGTGAAAGTTCATCGTTGAGCATTGATTCAAAACCAGATCGAAGTAGTTCGAATAGTTCAACAAAGGGATTTGGTTATTATGTGTCATTGAATGATATGAAGCCGGCCTATTCAGGCGACGAGCATTTATCAAAATCGTTAAATTATCATTCGTCGAGTTCATCGTGTGCATCGGCCGAACCACGTAAAAAATCCACCGGATTTTTTGTTGATTTCTCAAATAATGGTTCACACGCAACGAATACACCGCCACCATCAAGTAACGATATGTCAGAACAAGTACAAAAAAGTGAAGATAAAAAGAATATTTTTTCAATGTTTATCGATTTCGGTAATGATGATATGTCACAACAACAACGCGGCACACCAAGACAACATGACTCAAATGCAAAACCAATTTATAACAATAATGTAAAAGGAAATGATACAAACTCAACCGAATCACCGGTTTTAAGTCGACGAAATCAATCGTATGCCAGCCAACAATCATCAGCGGACAGTGAAAATAAACGACATTCATGGAATGCATCAAAAGAATCACCACATCTATCACATGTACGTGAACACAAACGATCCGTTAGCACATCGTCTGATAAAGGTATCATGAATATTTTGGATAAAATCCCATTGATATCGAAAACATCAAGCATGTCGATTGATACACCGAATTCACCGCACGATGACATCACATCGAAATCACTTAGTAGCTATTCAAATAATTCATTAACATCGCTATCAGTGCAATCGAGTGGCAGCAAATTTATGGAACAAGATGAAAAAGTAACGGGAAGACGTCATCAAAAAGATGCCCGTATCAATGAAACATTTGATAAAAGCAGTCAAGGTTCATTAACGGACGATATCTTGTCGAAAAATTCATCGCCCGCTTCGCATACGGACACAGACGATGCGACATTTCATAATGATAATGATAATGACGATACGTTGCACGGTGATATTTCTGGATCGCATGTGATGATGGAAACGATTCCAGAAACCAAAGAAGCAGTCGTTTTACGTCGACCACAAAATTTAAATTCAACAAACAATAATAATAATAACAATAACAATAAACTTGAACGCCATACAATGGAAACACTACACGCTACAATTGAAAAACAAAAACAACTTTTGAACACCGTCTCCGAAGAGGTTTCATCATTTGTTAAACTTTCGGACATGGATAAACCGGCACCAAAATTCGAATTACATAATTCAGAAAGTCGACCGAAGTCGGTCGGTTCCAGAATTGGAAAATTGTTTGATAATCGAGCTGGCAACCGTAACACATGGCATCACATGTCCAAATCTGCAGGTATATCCAGTTTTTTGTGCGGTTTGAAATATTAAATGACAATTCGTTTTACTTGTCTTGAATTTTATTAGGAAACAACCTTACAAATCTTGCTTCTTCGGCCGAAAACTTTAAAAGTTTAACCCGAATTTTTCCGCATTTGGGCAAAGATTTAAGCAACAGCCTACCAACCACTTTCGATCAGTCTACATCAAATACAAGCCCCAATGAGTACACGATGGATATGTTTCAATCGGATTTTTCTACATCAAGCGCAACATCGAGTTTCAGTCGATCTGGAATTGGTACGTAACGATTTTCATTTTATTCGTATACTTTGTTTTCATTTATATTGTATTTATATTTTAGATTCGGCTGATGAGTTTAGCCTATCGGCGGCTCAACCACGGCGGCTTGGTGAAGATTTGCTTAAAATGTTCCTGCAAGAGATTGCCACCGATGTGGTAATCGAAGTGAATGGACGTCGAATGCGAGCGCATAAATGTATTTTGCGTTCGCGTTGTCAGTATTTTGCCGCAATTTTGGCTGGCGGTTGGGTTGAAAGTGCTGGCAATGTGATCTCATTATCGGGTTATTCGTTTGGTGCTGTACATTTTGCATTGTGCCACATTTATTCGGGTGCCGCACATCCACCGGACGGTATTAGTTTAATGGAATTGGCTGCCCTTGCCGACCTACTTGGTTTGGAGGGTTTGAAAGAGGTGGCCGCACATTCATTAAAAACAAACTATTGTCACAGTTTCCATAAGCCATGCAGCGGTTGCATTGATGGTGTAATGCAAGTATTTCCAGTTGCATTGAATCAAGGTTTAGATGATTTGTATCGCAAATGTTTGCGATGGGTATGTAACGGAATAAACTTACTTTTCATTATATGTTTCCATTACGTTCCATTACATATTGATTAATTTCCATTATTTCCATTCTTTTCTTTGTGATTAACCCTAGGCATGTAAACATTATATGAAAGTTTGGCCATCGCGTGCATTTTCTCAGCTTCCATCGGAATTGGTGACACGATGCAAACAACACATCATTGCGCATATGGTAAGTGTTTTCTCACTCTTTTTGATTACGCTTTGAAAAAAGACAAAGAAAAAATAAGTAAAATATTGATTAAACTTTATCGGTTATCTTTATTATTATTTCAGACATCCGAATCGGTTATTTATACATTGTTGGACTGTGATCATTTGCTCGCGTTGCTTGCACCATGCCGTTGGGCTAGCGGTGTTGAGGCAAATGCTCGCGATATTATTGAAGCGGGACATGTATATGTGACCGATCATTACGCCAGTTTAATTGCAAGCGATGGTTTCTTATCGCTGGGTCAAGGTCAAAGTTGGAACATTTCGCGTTTGGAAAATATGTTATTGCGCGCTGGTTCATCGCTAACACCCGATCAAGCATGTCGCAGTTATCAGCGAATTACGCGTTTGGACTCTGTTCTGAAAGCAAAAGTAAACAAATTACACACATCACGCATTGACAAAAGCATTTTTATGTCGGACTATGAAAATGAAATGGACGGTGAAGATGAAGAAGAACTTGATTGGAATCCGGACTTTATACGATTGGTCACAGAAATGTTGGTTGCTGTTGAACAGTGCATTGTGCGACAATGTTCACGAGCCATGAAATGCAATCAATGGCCACGAATGGACGCTGAACTCCAAAAGAAAGTACAAAAACTAGCATGCCTAACCGAACCAATTGAACGACGCATCAATTTACGACCAAAGGTATATTCACATTGCATTTTTCATTCAAATTCAATTTAAATATTGATCAAGTTCGCATCAAATTGTGAAAACTGTAATTTAATACAAGCAACAATTATTGATAGTTGTAATGTTATGAATGTTGATTGTCAATTGGATGATTTTTCTGGTAAACAAATTTGTTTGCGATCCATTGCGAGTGTCAATACCTATAGACCGTGTGTGTTGTATAATCTTTGGAATGTTCTCACAGTATCGACAATTTAATCAATTAATATGAATTACCCGCATCATTTCAATTCATTTATCTATTAATAACAATAACATAATTCAATTGAATGTCATCATAACCATATCATATATTAACAAAGACTAATTTTCGTTGTGTAAATTTCCCATTCGTTTTAGTCTATTTCGAATGCGAGCAGCGTGCCAAATAATCGAGCCCATGATTTGTATCAAGTCAAAATGGCCATTCAAGCCCATACCAAGCGTTCACAAGAGGGTCATACATCAATCAGGAGTGCACATGTGCAACAGCAAGCTGTAAAGGAAGCCAAAACTGTCAGTGGTCCCGGTGAGTTTTCGATAATCCCAATATGCCCAAAAGCAAAATGAAAATAATATTTATTTCGATGTGCGTTTAAAATTTAGGCAAAGTAACAAAATCAACGTCTCGTGCCCAAGTTCCAGATCTCATTTCAACGATAAAACAACCAAAATCGAATGTACAATCAAAATCGGAATCAAAAACATCGATAACCGCATACCGTCGATCGGCATCCGAGTCGAGTAATCGCCGTATTCCACTTGAAAAATCGAGCAGTTCGGTTGATGCCAATGCACGTAAAAGTAATTATCATGATGTTAAATCACGGTATATGGAACCGCCAAAACGTCAAGCAAACAATAAAGAAACACTTAAAGTGCGTGCACGATCGTCAAGCGGAAGTTCAAGAACATCGAGTCCAATGATATCGTCGCTAATCAAAGACGGAAATGTCAATCAAACAAATAATAAGAAAATGAGTGATTCAACAACAATGTCACGAGATAGCTTGGCATCGCCAGCAAAGAGAAGTGATAAGTTGCATTCGAATCGTGGCAATGCATCACAGCAACAACAACAACAACAGCAACACCACCACCAAATTGATCATGAACGCTTATCGGCTGATTCATTGGGGGGCTCGCTTCATAGTTCGGTCATTACAAATAAAACAATATCACAAGAGTCACTGGTTAAAATTGATTCACGTGGACGACCGCCACCGCTTCCCGACACCACTCGATCAAACAATATCGAAAATATTAAATCAAATCAATTGCATGCAAAGAATGCGACCGGTGTTGTTGGTAAAAATGCTCAGCTAAAAGTATGCAGTGCATTAATTTCACAAACATCATCGACCGTTAATTCATCAACGCCATCGTCGATGACCGTTAAAACCTATTTGTCAAGCAGTAATTCGATAAATTCACCGCGTGATGCAGTTATAAATCGTTTAACAACGCCAGCCAATCAAATCCCATTGAAACGAAGCGTTGAACCAAAACCACCCGTTAAAAGTTTTTTAAGTGCACGTTCACGCCAAATTTTAGCGCAAAAAAAATCACTCTCACATTCCGATAGTGCAAAATCGGTGCCGGCGGTTATAAAAGAGACAACCAGTCTACCGAATGCCGTTAATAAATCCAGTTCAACTTCGAATATTTTAAATCAAAAAACAAAAAACTTCCCAACCACATTGCATCTAAGACGATCGGCCAAATTGAGTACCGCTCAACAACCACCGCTATCACTTCCGCCAGCCAGCATGGCTAAAACCGGTGGTGTTCGATCGACACCAAATCCATCGTTAATGAATCCAACAAAAAGCAGTACCATGAAAATGGCAACCACAAACAATAAAGTTGGCCGAGAAATACGACCGGTCAAAGAACGAAAACATAGCGCTGCTAGTGCGGCCAACGAGCATCGATCTAATCATGACTATGAGGGCGATGTTATCGAATTGGTGCCAGATAAACGTGTCGAATCGAAATTAGAACGATCGAGCACATTTTGCAAAGAACGATCTGACATTAATACGAACGAACTTGAAATAATTGACTAAAATCAATAACACCTTTTTTTGCCTGGCAAATTGATAATGAGTATGAAATATTATAACATTTACAGCTATAGAAATTTAATATCGAAATGAAAACTGATGATAACAAAAAAACATCCGACGAATATTGATAATTCCCATTCATACCATGTTAGAGAGAACATTGTTTAAACAAAATAAAATACTTTCGGCCATATTTCGTTCATTTCTACATAAATAAAAAAACAGATTTGCATATTTAATATAAGCATTGAATGCAATTGATATGGCGTGCTAAAAATGCATCAGCAAGAGATTTTATTATAACGTTAACAATAATAATAAATACAGAAACAAATACTTAAATCTATGTAATTTAATAATAAAGGAAGATGATGATGAGTGGAGGAACACTTAAACGAAACGAATAAAAGGAATGTGTTGATATCGACAAGCTACAAGCCAAGCAATTTCAACATAACTAACTCCTTAATATTTATTTAATTTAAAGTCTAGTCATTTTTTTCACTTAGCTAGTTTACACATATACAAACACTGGAAATAATATTTATTTAAAACCAATTGCTAAAAATATTAAACCAAATGCGATATTTATCATCATCACAGCACTATCAATTTAATGGAAATCGAGAAAAAAAGTAACAAAATTGATATATTATATATTATTAAAAGAAAGAAATAATGTATACATATATATTATTCCAAATGTGAAAAAAAAAAAAGAAAATAATTTGATTTTTTTTGTAAAACAAAAATTTATTCTTCTTTCTTTTGTTTTTATTTTTAAAAAAACTGTTTTCATTATACAGGCTTAACAATTAACAATAAAATGGAAATGTAATTTGAATGCTTTCATGAATATTTGTTTTTATTTTATTTATTTCGTCTTTCACGACAAATATTGATAAGTTTCCATGATACTGTCCATATTTTCTGGCCAGCGATCCTATGTTTGAGTAAAACCTGTAAAATGTATTCGGAACTTGCTCATCAACCTCTTTATTAAGACTGGAGTCTGTTGGATTTGCGCAAAAATTATATTGAGATATTTTCAGGAAGCTGAATCAGCTTAGGGAGCCAACGTCAGGCGCTGAAACGGAATGAAAACAATAGAAGTGATTGTTAGACAGACAGCAACTTTTATTGCTTTCCCTCCATTACAGGGCCTGACGTTAGCTGAGGGTTCGTAGATGTTCGCATCCAACACTGGCCCTATGCTCTACTAGGAGTTAAAGGAAAGAAAAAAAATTGTTTCTTCGATAAAATTAGAAATAAAACAAAAATGGTGTTCATGAAATCAAAATGGTCACGTGGGGCTAAGTTGGCCAAAAATTGGCAAGGCTAAGTTGGCCACTTCATTTTTGAATTTTCATCGATTTCAGTGTTTGTAAAATATTCTGAACACATCCGAAATGCTTACATATCATTTTCTTTTCAACAAAAATTGTCAACAACAAAAACAAAATAATTCAATCGGCAGAAGGGTAAACCATAGAAAAATTGAACACTTAACTCATTATTTTGAAACAATAAATTTTTTCAGATCCGGACTGATGTGATTATAAAATCACTATTTGAAGCAGAATTGATGGAATTGTTAAGATCTCAAGATGGTCTAGAGAATATCTTGGTTTTATCAAATAGCTTATTCTTTACACTTTCCATCCCAAATATCTTTTCTGCAGCACACACAGATATCTTATTCATTGCAGCGTCCACCTGACTGGTATATCGAAAGGCATCGTTTTATACATACTCGTTCAGGATTGGGTCCCATATCCTTACAACTTCCTCTCGTTACAACTATGTATGAATTTATGTGCAAGATTTTAGTTTTTGTCCATATGATTTATAAATTGATCGACTTAATATTAAGAAATTTAAAAATGCAAAAATCATCGCCACGAAAATAGCCAACAATTTAAAATTCATTTTGAATTTCTTGAATTTTTGAAGTAAACAAGCGTTTAATCGTGCAAACAATTTTAAATTGAATAACTTTGTTTCAATTGTATTTCACCTTTTATAGCAAATTTTAAATGTCGAGACAGTGATTGGATAAACAAATAGTAGAAGTTCCAATTGAAAAGCTGATATGCCACAAGTGTTATATTATTAAATAGATTATCACCGATGATAATAAATCATTTGGCGTAAATTCCCAATCACGTGAATGAAAAATTCAAAAATGCATCGCGTCATTGTAAATACAGTAATTAAGTGGATATTTGTTTCAATAATAATTTTAATAAATTACATAACGGTTCACGCCAAAAAATGGTCGATACTTTTTCGGTATTAACCGTTTCAGAAAGCACTATCTATGAACCTCAGACAGCGGTTTTTACAATATGCTGACGATTATAGTCATTGTTTGTAAACATAACAAAGTTTAGCGCGTAAAACAGATGCCAGTTACTCAATCAACAAATAATCTTTGATATTTCCATTGAATATCGACATTCGACTTTTTTTCTAATTCCATAATACGTAGAAACATGTATCCATCACATTTTGGAATACGTATTATAAATATTGAAATATTTGTCGTACATGCGTAATAGCACTTAATCATTGTGGAATTTTAATATAATGAGAAAATATTTGGCGAATATAATCCATCGGGATCATCGATAATTACTTTAGTATTTGTTGAATTCCCATTTAAGCGGGTTAGAATTACTTCATCTATCTAAAAAAATGAAGTGGATTTGTATTTTAGCATTTGCATCTTTGACAATACTTTCTCAGGTAGAATAAAAAAAAACACATTGAATTTTTCCACATCGATATCATAATTTTAATTTTAGTTAAAATTCATTAATGGATACAACATAAATAATCCAGCCTTTACAACATTAATACAAGTCTTCGACCTAAAAGCTAGAGTCCTTATTCAGAAAGATTGGGAAGAGATATTAAAGTTGATTTTTTTTCTACCCGATGACATTCTAAAAGATGATAAAAATGATACCTTCAAATGGATCGATGATTTCATCCAAATAACAAATTTATCTGACATAGAGGAAGCCCTAGAAAGAATTCCTGTCACTTCAACAACCAAATCAATTCTCAAAATAATATGCCAGAATTTGGACTATATCGACGAAGGTCATGAAAGAATCTATAACATTTATTTCGAATCTTTCAAACAAGTTAACGAGGAACCAATATGCAGGCATTTAAGTGGATTCGTTGGGGCTGTCAACAAATTTTTGGATAAACGGCTTAAAATAAGTCGCGTGAAAAAGATTATCGAAGAATTAAAAAAATGGCAAAACCATTCGGATGAAATAATAAAAAAAATTACACCCAAAAAGAATATCGTGATAACAAAAAGAAAAGAGTACATCAAACAAATGGAACTGGTAAAAAGGAAATTTAATAGATACGAAATACAAACACAACGAACAAGCGCGAATAAGGAAAACACAGACTATGACTTCGACTTTTTGAAAATGTTACAGGCACTCGTCAATGAACTTAAAGAAAAAAACATTGCACTAGAAAGTTCTCTTGAACAAATAATACAGATTGTGAACGAATTCAACGAGCAACGTATTTTTTGGGCAGAATCTTTGCTGAATATACAATTTTATCACAAGAAACAAAGAAAACACATTTTTGAAGGCATATTTTGGAAAAGAAGTTCTTAATTTGCGCCGATGGTGGTTTATTAAGGAAATATGAGTTGTAAGAAAAATTCATTTTTATTTTTCAGTTCAAAATTCGTATATGATCGATTCGATCAGATCGAATAACCAACTATTATGAAATATCTTAGCTGAGTATACAATATTGAAATCAATTGTTGAATCGTTAACATATGAAATAATTTTAAAATAAATTCAATTACTTTTTTATTCAATTATTGATTGTGTTTTTATTACAATTTTGGAAATTTGTTCATATTTTGCATGTCACCGTGGTATTGCAACTATCTTTATATCCTTAAAGTGCACGTAATGGTTTGTATAGTGATTGACAAAAATGAAAAATCATCACCACGAAAATAGCCAACAATTTAAAATCCATTTTGAGTTAAACAAGCGTTTAATCGTATAAACAATGTTGAATTGTATAACTTTGTTTCAATTGTATTTCACCTTTTATAGCAAAATTTGTGCACTGATTAGATAAACAAATTGAAGATGGTCCAATTGAAAAGCTGATATGCCAGATGTGTTATATTATATTATTAAATGGATTATCATCGATAATAATAAATCATTTGGCATAAATTACCAGTCACGTGAATGGAAAAACCAAAAATTCAAATATTAATCGCATCATTGTAAAATATTTCGTGCATCAAGTATTTCATATCAAAATAGCATGATGTAAATGCCAAAGGAAACGTTATGTATGTAAATTTAATATCGTACGTAAAGGTGTTTAATGGTTCAATATTCGTAATTTTTCGAACACTTTTCCGGAATATATGAAATTTACGTAAATTGGATGTGATTGACGCAATAACTAAGATGTAATTGCATCTGTTTTTTATTTGAAAAAATGTTTATTTAGTGAGTTGAAAAATGTCTGTATATAGAGTCTCATTAAGCTAATTGTTGGTAGTTACATTTTGTTGTTAACTTCAGTTCTATTATCGAAAGCAATGAAGTCGCTTTTATTTTTGGTGTTTGTGTCGTTGGCGATATCTAATCAGGTAAATTCAATATGATATGCACATTTTTCTTTTCCAGAATAGTGAATTTTCCATTTTTCTTTTCCATATTCAAATATAAAATACGACCACATGATTACATCACCTTTATCAAAAAATGTCATATAAATGGTGCTTATCGTTTCTTTCAGTTTGAATCGGTTATCGGTGGATATGACTATTCCAGTCCTGCATTTACCACTTTAGTGTATTCGTTTGCGCTGAAAGCAAAAGTTGTCGACAATACGATTAATTGGGAAAATATTTTGATGAAGTTTTTCAGTCTCCCCGACGACCTACTTCAAAACAATAAAATTGATTCACTTGAATGGTATGCACCCTTTTGCAATGCAACAAATTTCGCTGAATTGTCAAGTGCTGTGAACAGAATTCCCAGAGAAATTAGGACAAATGGTCCAATTTTGGACATAATACGCAGTAACTTAGAGCCTGTCAGAGATGCTGATGCCAAAATCAAGCAAATTTATGTCCAGTTTTTTAATAAAACTATAGTTGATCCAATTTGCCTAAGATTGGACGGATTTATAACAGCATTAGACAAATTTAACAGCAAAAAACTTAAATTTAGTCGTTTAAAAGCTGTGAACGAAGAGTATACAAATATGGTGCGCAAGTATGATGAAATAGTTAGAAATTTACGAGGCCAATTAGATAACGCCATTATAAAAAGAAGGGCGTACGCTAAACAATTCCAATTACTTCAACAGAAATTGAATCGATATGAGCCTCCACAAGGTCGATCGGAAGCAAACAAACAAAACGAAGAATATGATTTCGATTATTTGAAAATGTTACAGGCTGTCTCAAAGGATCTAAATGAGAAGATGAATTCACTTGAGAATGCTGTTAATGCTGTTGTACTGGCCGTGAATCAATATATTGATCAACGTATTTTGTGGGCTGAATTCTTATTGAATATACCATTTTATCATGCACCACAAAAGAAATCAAGCTTTTCCTGTTTTGGCGGCAGCAAAATTAAAAAATAATGAAGCAATTTGATGCGAAGAAATTCATTAGTGTAAATAACGCTTTGAATACCATATGTACTTACTAACAATAGCAATAAAAAAAATTTCATCAAAACGAAAATTTATTTAATTTATTCGATACGAGTAAACATTGTAACCGTTGTAAACAGTCAACATTGTAACCGTTTGAATTAATATTCAAAAACAATTATAATTTTCAAGCGGAAAGAATTGGGAAGGGAAAATATTACTTTTTTTTTAAATTAAAATGTAGGTGTATTTATCGACTGTGGCGTAAATAGAGGTGGTAAAAAACCTCCCTTGCATTAAGCTTTAGAGAAAATAAGCATGGAAAAATGTCAACCAAGATTTAAGAATTGGAAAGAAATTTTTCTAGATTTTTTTAAATTTTTAAAGTATTTTTCTTTCATTGATGAATAAAAAAAGATTTGGACTAATCAATTTAAAAAATTTAGATACATACATTTTTGCGCATTGTAGTGTCTTTGGAACTGGAAATTTTCCAATTTTTAACATAAAATATGCCAAAGATAATCCTGTCCTATTTTGTGAATAACAAAGATGAGTAACATATTATTCAGCAAATTTAACATCATCTGGTGTTGCTTCAATGTTGTCAGTGTAATAGCCATCATTACCACTCAATTCATGGTGCGAAAAAGTGAAGTATGATTCATCGTTCAAAATCATGAATTTTCCGTTTGCAAAGTGTTTATAAAGAAATAAATACAAAGTCGTTGATAGCTCAGTCGTATAAAATGAAAGGAGACGGAATATAAATAACACCATGTGTTACACGTATTGTATTGTTATAATTTAATTTCTAAGTTGAAAATTATTGTTATAAAGATTCTTCGATATTTTGTAGGCAGAAGAAATATAAATTAGCTGAGTAAACTTTTTAAATGGAAATTTTTGCAAGTTACACGTGAAATTGAGAATTTGAAAAACAAATATCATTGTGACAGTTTTCAAACAATAAATGTGGTATAAATACAATATGGTATAAAGAAAATTTGGTTAATTTCGAGAAATCATCTCGTCAAGATGATATTTTTCCGCAATCTATTGGTAGTAGCTCTGATTGCTTCGGTGATCATGACTTTGTAAGTATTGAAAAAAATTTATAGAATAAATGATATTATTATTATAATTCGGGTGAAATAGTGGCAAAATATGAAAATTTATATTTTTCATTGAAAGTGTAAGAAATGAAAATGTTTAAATTTATTTTGCAGGTTGGTCGAGGCGGCAAATGATAAAAATAGAGCACGGTAAGTTAAAGAAAAATAATTGATGTTTAAATTGTACAATTGGGCCAATAGTATACATATTATGATAATTGAATACAAACTGTTGATTTTAGACGCTTGAAGAAGCTTGAAGATCGAAAGAAAAGTAAGGCTGATTCCAAAGGGATTTCAACTTCAGCAAATTCAAAACCTGAATCAAAGATTCGCCCACTAGTTAGCAAAGAGGAGGCCATTTGTTTGGCTAAACGTCTTTATGGCATTTCAACGCGAAATATATCGGAATTAGTGTCATATGACGATAAAAATTTTCTTATCCACGTTGATACGTGAGTATTTATGAGCGGCGTATTTGGTTTTTATTGAATTCCAAAAATTCTTCTTAAAATAATCATTTTCACAAAATTCTAGGATAATTAAGAATCCCGCCATGGTATGGCCACATGGTTACGTATTGAAAATTATCAATTCGCTTGATACAAAAAAACCAGCTTATTTTGATGGTCAAACGCAATTGATTCTATTTTTACGACAACAAGGAATCGAGTGCCCAAAACCGGTGAAGAACATTTTTGGAAAGTATAATTCAATTGAGAAAATTGGTGGATCTTCGCATTTAGTCAGATTGTTGGAATATATTCCTGGTCAGATGTTCGATAATGTGCTTAAAACGAAACATCTATTCTATCAAGTTGGTCATTTTGTTGCCAAAATTGATTCAGCATTAAAACCTTTCCAGCATGATGGTTTCAAAAACCACACATTTTTATGGATGCTTGATTCGGTGCCACAATTGTCAAAATTGTTGTATGCAATCAATGACATAAAAAAGCAAGCCTTAATTCAAGAGGTGTTGAAAGAGTTCGATGAAAAAGTTTTGGCACATTCGGCCAATTTTTCAAAGGGTATAATTCATGGCGATTTCAATGAAAATAATATTGTCGTAACAAAAACATCATCTGAATCGAACGAATTTCGTGTAACTGGCGTCATTGATTTTGGAGACGCATGCTATTCATTTTATATATTTGAATTGGCAATTACTATTGCTTACATGATATTACAGACATCTAAGCTGGAAACAGCTGGATACGTTATTGCTGGATATCAAGAATTGCGACCAATACCAAATAATGAACGAGACGTTCTAAAGGTATAACAACAATCATTTAGAAGAGAGACAACATTTACGAATAATTGTCTTATTTTTATTTGATTCGAATAGATTTGTGTTGCGGCTCGACTGTGTCAAAGTCTTGTACTTGGCGCCTATACACACACACTTAATCCAGAAAATGATTATTTGTTAACAACACAGGAAAATGGATGGAAGGTACTATCGATGATCTGGGACAAACCTAAGAAAGAACTTGATGAATTATGGTTCACAACAGCTGACGAATATTTTGGAGCAAAGTGACAAACGCTAAAATGTTCTAAAATGCAAAATGTTTGAAGTTTATGGCAAAAATGTCAACCAGGGTTTAAGAATTGAAAAGAAATGTTTCTAGTTTTTTTTTTAAGTATTTTTCTTTTATTGATGAATAAAAAAAAGATTTGGGCTAATCAATTAATATGCAAATTTTGGATACATACATTTTTGCGCATTGTAGTGTCTTTGGGATTAGAAATTTCATGATATTATAATAAATATACCAAAGTCCTATTTTGTGAATAACAAAGATGAGTAAAGTATTATTCAGTCAATATATTATTCTAAAAAAGTAAAGAAAATGTCAACAAATGCTCAATAAAAGCTATATGCACTGAGTTTTTTCTGCATCATTCATGCATAAATCATTTTTACCACCTCTAAATCTTATTATAATTATTCCAAATTTCAATTGATAATGTCTGACGCGAAGAATTATTATTTTATTACACGGGCTTTTTTTCTTATTCTTGAATATTCAATGAATTATCTTTTATATATAAAGGCTTGTTAATCTCTTGTATTGAAGTTACTTCACAATTTTAGCTGATTCTTTCAACTGGAAAATAATGAAGCTGCTTTTATTTTTTACAATCGTATCATTGACTCTATTTGATCAGGTAAATAAAGTACTTGAATATAAAATAAAATCACATTTTCAAATGGTGTTTGTTTTTCTATATCAGTTCGCTTTGATCGTGGGTCGATTTGATTTCACCCAGCCTGCATATGAAACTTTGGTGTATGCGTTTGCACTGAAAGCAAAAGATGTCGATAAAACAACTGACTGGGAATCCAACTTAAAAAAGTTATTTAGCCTACCAGCTCACCTTTTGCGAAATAGAAAAATCGATTCACTCGAATGGATGTCTGATTTCGTCAAAGTAACCAATTATAATGCATTGATAAATGCTTTGAATAGGATTCCCACAGATTACCAGGCAAACGGTCCCATTTTAGATATAATACGCACTAACTTAATTCCGGTCAGGGACGGTGATCCAAGAATCAAGGACACTTACATTAGATATTTCAATCAAACTATAGATGAACCAGTTGGCCGATTGTTTGATGGATTTGTGGTTGCAGTGGAAAAATTTAATAAGAAGAAAATCAAAGCGACCCGTTTAAAAGCCGTAAGCGATGAGTATAAAAATATGACACGCAAGTATAATGAAATATCCGCAAGTTTACGAACCCAATTGGAGAGAACCATTATGACAAGAAATGCGTACGCTCTACAATTCCAGTTATTTCAAAGGAAATTGAAAAAATACGAACCGCCAAGCGGTCGATCAGACGCTAACAAAAAAAATGAAGACTATGATTTCGATTACTTGAAAATGCTACAACAGGTCTCTGCTGATTTAAGTAGAAAGGTGGCACCGCTGGAGAGCGCTGTCAACAATGTTAAATTGACTTTGACTCAATATATTGATCAACGTATTTTGTGGGCTGAATACTTATTGGAAAACCCATTTAACCATGCAAAGAAATCATCAGGACTTTCATGCTTTGGCGGCAGCAAAGTTAAAGAATAATAAAGCAATTTCATGCAATAATATTGACCATAACCATGATGAAATTCATTGGTTTAATGATGGATTTGATGTATCAATAACAATCGCAATAAAAAATTCATCAAACTGAAAATTTATTTCGATTATTCAAAAAGTATTATTATTCAATATGACTGAATATGTCGTATGTGCATGACAGTTTACACCCGTCCACAGGGATAGTCTGCTTAGGTAAGTATGTTCGAAAAGAGATTGCTATACCTGTATACTCAAATGCGTGTTGTGTAGTATTGAATGTATTTTCCTCAGTGTGAAAAGTGAAAACACAATATTGTACGATGTCGAACGATTAATGTCTGTGTCACTTTGAATCTTACTATTTACATGGGGTTTTCATACATTTTGTGGACTGGTAATGTACGTTCTAGTTGAGGTTTTGTTTCATCAGATGCCCACTAAATAAGCAATTTTAAGATACATACTACATACCATGTGATTTCTAGTCGCCTTTACTAGTAATCTGCCAAAAAAATTGTTTAAACAGAAAGGTTTATTTGAGAAACCCCCCACATTCATCCAGAACCGTCTTACACACAGACAAATATATTTGGATTTTGTCATCTGGATATTTCAGCTCATCTGGATAACGTTAGGCTGATATATGGAGTGAAAACAATAGAAGTAATCGCCTAACGTCATCCAGATGAGCTGAAATATTCAGATGACCAAATCCAAATATATTGTCCGCTTCCACAGCATTTTCAAATTGTGCATTTGAAATAGAAATAAAAATAGAACATTTTGTTTTTATTTGAATGTTATTTAACAATTATTTTTTTATATAAAAAAATTCCATTGACATTAACTTAACGAGAACAAAAAAAAAATGATGTTGAATTTATATGCACATCGGAAACATATCGGTGATAATTCGAATTGATTGTTTAGAAAATGAAAACACATTAAAAGTCAACTAGAAATGTATAAATTAGATTCATCGTAGGTAGCATCGTAACATTTTTTTTTTTCTCTCGATAGGTAAAAAAAGATAAAAAGATTGATGAAGAGATATGAGAGACGAAAATAGTAAAAAATAAATAAATAATAAACAATTACAGCAATGTAATGCATTTTAACAGCACAGACACTCGGGCATTGTGAAACAATTGTGTTTGCATTCGTCACACTTCGAACAATTTCAAAATAACTAATTAGAGAGGGAAACCTACTCTCAATCATACCTTCATATTTCTTTTTCTCTCATTCACTTCCATTTTGCAACAATAAATATCATTGGAAAAAAAAATGATTCATAATAATATAAAACTATCTAAAACCTATCAAAAAAAACGTAAAGGAGGTGCGATTTGATTTTGAAAATATAAACTCCACTTCAAAGATGATTGCGAATGTTTAAAATTGTGATTTATGTTGTTGTATGTTGTTTTCGTTGATTGATGTGCTCTGTGATTCGGGTGCTGTGATATTTTATGTTGTATATGTAAAAAAATAAAATGTTCATGACGTCAATTATGATATGGTAGGCCATGTCATTTCATTTTTTTAAATTCAAAGCGCTCGAGATAACGTCGCGTCGCTTATAAATTGGTCCATTACGTACATTCGGTGATGAATCAGACGTTTTTAATGGCACACATTTTGTATCGGTTGTACGTGCGCCAGAACTACCGTGTGACTGTTGCATTGTTTGCGAATGACTTTTTGAAATTGATTTATTTTGTTGTTGCTGCTGATTAGTCATCATTCGTTCGAATTCAGCCGTTTTTGAACGCATCATATCACCGCCAATATTTGTAATCGCTGTAAACAAACAAAATATAAGCGAACATTTATTTATTTATTATTATTTTTTTTGTCGGTATGTACGGAGTATACCTGTCATTACTGGAATACTATGTGTGTGGGGTTCAATTGTATTATTTCCGGTTTGTTTTTGGGCTGCCGAAATAAGTTTATCGACATCTTTTGTTCCCTGATCGATTGGCACGGTGGTCAGTGTAAGCTGAGCTGGTTTAAATTGTGATTTAAGCTTTGTTAACGGAAACCCGCTCTTTTTTGCTATCGAACTAAGTGTTTTCGATGTGGGCGATTGCTGTGGCGGTGTTATTGTTGTTGTGCTTCGATAGCCATTATTTGTTTCGGCATCTTCGATGTACGGAATATCCGATAGATCGGATGTAAGGCTTAATGGTGTGGCAGCAGTCGATATTATATCCGCATGAATTGCAGATGTGTTGACCATTTGAACGGGCAGCTTTAAACTCGCTAATAATACTTCATTATTTGAATTATTGGATTTACTCGTTGGCGTTGTTGGCGGTGATAAATTCAAATTATACCGAATTCCATCGTCTGTTAATGGTGTTATTGTGTTTGAAGATGATGGCACTCGTCGCCTTCGTCGCGAAAACACACTCTCCTGATCCGGAATCAGACTTTTTGTTCGTGAACCACGTTCTCGCCTGAAAATCAATATGGAGGCAAAGAGAAGGCGACACATTTTTTTTTAACAAATATTTAATAACTTTTTAAACACTCGATTTTCTTCTAATTTCTGAACTTCCAATATAAAAAAAATCGTCAGAACATCTTACCGTCTGATGTTATCACTGGGTTCGGCCACATTTCCACGTACGGTATTTTCATGTGTGAATTGTTCGCGAACATACATTCGTCGTGGTTGTTCACCGTCCTCTGTTTGTGCGCTCGTGCCAGGTGTAGCAGATACGTCTTCGTATGGATCGAATCGCTCTTGACTGTGTTGTGGAAAGAAATGCGCGTGTACTTTTGCACCAGGAGATTTCTTAGGACTAGACGTTGTCGATTCACTGCAAAATATATTCGTTTTTTTTTTTTTACATTTTACAAAATTGTTTTATGTTTAAACTTACTCTTTTCGACTGTTGTTAACTTCATAGCTGTCCTTTCGATCGAATATATAGTCCAATTGTTCTGGATGTGTGTCCCATATGACGGTGTACACGTCGTCCATCACATCTGGTGGTATTGCAAATAATTCTTCGTAATGATCGATCATTGTTCGTACAACGTTAATCACATCTAAACGCTCTTCGGCCTGTTCATCGGTAGCGACCGCACTGCTTGCATCCGTATTTGAATGCAATATGTTTGGTGCAATGACTGTGGCCAAATTTGCACTGTCCATTTTATTTCCAACCGATATACATGTATTTGTTGCCAAATTCATGACATCGTCCGAGCAACGGGCAACAAGTGCAAGAAATTTTAATAATACGTACAATGTATCACGATGAGCTATTGGTAATAATTGAATTAAATGTGAAAGTGCTTCCAATTGTAGACGGCGATTTCGAATTTCTGTAACAAACAACCATTTCAATTGTGATTAATTTTGCAAATGAAAATGCGAACGACAATTTGTCAACTCACTTTGTGTTGATAAAAACGCTGGATAAAGTGATCGACAGAGCAATGGTTCGGGTAAATCTCTTAAGTATTCCTTCAGCAAGGAGGCCACATCGTGCGGACTCGTTTCCGAATCGAATGTTTTCAATGAACCACAGTCCAATTCTTCGCGTAACTATTGCGGTGAAGAAACAAATAGTCAACCAAAATTAATAGTCATTGAATTGTGATCACACCATCCATTTTTCCATTTTGGTAATACCTCTCTAATACGCCGTTTTGATGTGCTAACTCGAAATATGCCAACTACGTGTAAACCATAATTAGTGAGGTGATCGATACAAGCTAAAATTAATGGTGGAACTTGAGGCTGTGTTTGTCGTGCGCTGCCATTTGAAAATTTCGAACTGGCATCGTCATCTTCAAGACTGTTGCCCAACCCGCCACCGCTGCCACCAACATCACTTAAACTATCGCCACTGTTTGACGCCGTAAATCGAGAATCGTGCTTCGAAAATAAACTGTCACATGATCCGCTCTGTGTGTTTTATTGAAAATAGACACATTCATAAGAACCAATATTTTTGAGATTGTTTTTTATTTTTTTTTTAATTTAAGCAAAGAAATCTTACATAATTTCCATCACTGGATATCGCGCTACCCGGCAATGCAGCATCTAATGATGTGATTGAGCAACGTGACTTTCGGCTAAATTTATGGCCACCACTGTCATCGCTTCCCTTTTGTTTGGTTGTCGTCGTTGATGCAGCAAACGCATTATCATTGCTTAAACACTTTTCCAACGGTTGGCCGAAGATTAAGCCACCGCTTGCATTGCTTGTACTTCCTTTTCGTCCATCACTTTTTATTTTGCTCGAATCAAAGAAACTGGTGGTTAATGCTTTACGTTTCAATAGAAGTGGCGCTCGACGCTTCTGACTTTTTGGCTGTAAACCGTCTGTTGTTGTGGTTTCTGAAGTTGCATGTCGTGTGATGAAATATGAGAGAACAAAAGAAAACAAAACGCACATTTCAGTTATATGATGAGAAAAAAGAAACCCAAATAAAAACCAAAACACGTGAATTTTAAATGATCATTCACAATCAGCTGATGAATAATCTTCAATATTTTATTACCTGATGGTAATTTAACTGGTACACCAATGTTCAATTGATTAATTCGATCCAATGCAATTCGCTGTAAACTTTTTCGTTCAACATCGCTTAATTCGTGCAAATACGCCTTTTTCAAGTGTAAATATTTTCCGGTAGACGATTTCCAAATGCAATTTCCCTGTATCGTGAGAGAATTTAAATTTCATTGAGTCATCGCACGTATATTTTTTTTGCTTCAACATTTTCTCTCTCTCACACACACACACGCACACAAATGAAAGATAGATAAATGTATCAGATAAAAATGAAATTAAGAAAAAAGCATTTGCATTTGAGAATGAAAAATTCATAAATATTTACTTGTGGCGTCCAATGTGGCTGAGCTGGTGAATCAGGTCGTGTTTGACTTTTCGATCGCGATTTCCATATTTTCTTTGAGAACACCTGTCCAACGTTTGATGATGATTTTGATTTTTGCATATTAGCAATGCTTGAGTCTTCTTTTTTATGGCCAAATATCGAATCCTTGGTCCAGCTGCCTGTGTTTTTTTTTTTGGATTCCATGTTTTGGACGAAGAAGAATAACAACATATTAAAATTTGAATTTCATTCAATTCATATAAGCGTATATTTTGTGATGAAAGCGCACACAATATTGTGAATTCATCGCATTGAAAATGGGAAAAATGGTGTGTATTTGTTTCTTTTTTTCTTCTTCTTCGTCATCGAAACGGTGTGACATTTTTATTCATAACATACAAATTTTTGCATATTTATGTGTGTGCGCAGTGTGTCTTGTAACCACAACCAAAGACAAATGACTAAGAACTTTTCGATGAATACGAACGGAATGAATGAAAATATTTTTTTTTTCACACAAAATTAAGAATGAAGCGTTTCGAAGAAAGAATGATATTTTGTAAATCTCTAGATACAATTCGATTCCAAAGTGAAAAGAGAAAAAAATGTCACAAACTGGATGTCACCGAATAAATTTCTTAAACTGAACACTTTTCTTTAAAATTTAGCTGAATTTTCCAAAATAAAAACAGTATCCAATTTGATAAGCTCACGAATAGTAAAAAAAATGCGTTAATACGCGGTTTATAACATACACTAAATGATAATCTTTGTACCTGTGCTGAAATGTGATATATATTTTTCTTTTCAATGAAACACGTTCGGCAAAACAAAATCAAATTAGTGTTTGATAAGATGATGATGATGGGATTTTTTTTTTGAAATGATCGTGCACAGTCATTCGAACACACACCGATCACACACTCATTAAATCCAATAACGTAGAAATGATACACAAATAATAATAATATCGCAACACTTTCTATATCACAATTAGGCCCGAATGAACCGCGAAAAAACTACAAAAATTATTGTACAATCTCATTGATCAGTGAAAAGTGACAACAAAAACAGCAGGTAACAGTAGCAATAATAACAAATATTAAAGAAAAAAAAAAACGTAATCGATCACGAAATGGACAAAATAAGACATTCAAACTAAATGGAAGAGCGAAATGATATTGTATATAGATATCGTGTAATCATCGATACTGATGAATATGGCTTAGTACTACAATGCGCTCGCTCTATTTGAGCGCACAAATAAAATCACACATATAAGCGAGAAGAAGATGAAAAACGAACGACGAAAATTTTCTTCAAGGGAAGACAACGGCCACAACGACAACAACATGAAGAAAAGCAAACGATCGAAATGAGTGAACAGAGAAAGAACGAAGAAAAAAAAAGCTAAACTCATACTGTGACACACACGATAATATACATGATACGCGCAACGGACATAGAACAAGATTGGATGCGGGCAGCACAGCGAGATTAAACTAGTATATGAAATACAGAGAGAAAGAAAGAGAGAGCAATGACACAAACGATACGAGACAGAGGGGGACAACGAATTTATACATATCAAATGCTCCTATAAAAATATGTGGCCATGTATCATATTTTTAGCTTTTTCACATCAGTTGCTATTAATAAATATAATATTAAAGTGTTGTTAGGACTTTTCTCTTGCCCACATAAACATATAACAATTATATATACGCACACATTCAATATATATGTATATAAATAACATGTATATGCATGGTTGAAAAGTAAGTAAACGTGAGCGAGAGTTCACAGTATCTCTCTGTCCTGCTCGTGTATTTGGTCGTTGTGTATCAACAAAACAACCGAACAAATTGCACGCGCGAGAAAAATCGAACACACGAAGAAAAAGAAGAACAAAAATATGAACCAAATGAAAACTGTTTAAGAAAATTTGTGAAAATGATGAAATTGCTAGACGTTTGCATATGGCTCGTATCTATCGATGAAACGAACAAATCAATGAGCCGAAAGTAGAGCGCAATAGATAGTGTGTCTGTGTAGAAGCACGAGAAGGAGTCACGATATTTCACATACACACGCACATGGTCATCGTTTAATTTGAGTAGAGAGCAAACAAAATATATCCAAGCCGATTCAACATAATCAATTCTCACGAGCAAAATCACAAGATCATTTTTTTAACCGAATCGATATTTTTCAGCAAGCATCTATAAAAAAAAACACTAGTCAATAAACCGAATCGTTCTAATATCGAAATAATAAATATTATGAAAGACTAGTCGAATTTCGATGCCAACAACGACAGTTAATTCATCTTCCAAGTTCTAACACCTAATTATAACTCAAAATCATCGAGCATCGCTGATCGTTTGGTTCATTTTCGAGCCGTTTTTTTCCTCTATGTATGTTTTTTTCATTACATTTTTTTTTCTTCTACTCTCTTTCTCTATCGTTTCTTTTGTAAATGCAATTTGAATGATTACTAAATACGTGCTTAAAATGATGTTCCCATTTTAATGTTGGTAATAAAATTAGCAAAATCAAAATAAACGAAACATATTCAACGAGAAGAACGGGCATTAAAAAAACGAAATGAAAATTTGATCAGGTCTCTCTCTATCGCTGTGTGTACAAGATGTTCAAGCTATTGATTTAATTCGTTCGTTTGCTCGATCATCCTTGCGTTCGAGTCAATTTTCAATTTGCCAATTTGTGTTGGTCATTGAATTCAAAAGAAGATTTTATTAGATTCACACTAAAAGCAGGCGTAAGTGTTCCCATGTGCGCGGTTGCACACGCGCGCGCACACACCCATTTGAACACGAGACTTTTTTTTTGCACATACCATTGATGATCAATGACGTAGAATGATTCCTTGTAACAGTCATGCTACGTCATGACGATGTGACTCAATGAATTTATCACTTTCGAATGTTTTATTCGATGTCGAGCGCCGTGTCATGTGTGTGTGTAAATTTGGGTGTGTGATTCATGAGTGCCGTGAAATTTGGAGAAAAAAAAAAATGAAATGACACTTTTCATTTTTCACTCAAAAGAAAGATAGAAATGCGTAAGCGATTTCATGCGTGTTGAATGACAAATGACGATCACTTCACTAGAAATTAAAAGCCGGAAAAAGAGCAAGGACATATTTCTTAAATGAATTGACATGCAACATGATTAGAATGATGACAAATAAGCTTTTCTGCTACCATTTTTCTCTTCTATCGTCTTTGAAGCCAAAAACTGTTTAAGAAAAACCGTTTTCAACAAGCATCACTGCTAATCACTAATTTTACATCTGTTTGATGTGTTTTTTCCCTTTCGATTTACTATTTTCAACATATTCAATATATTTCTATTTTTTTTCAATTTTCATTTCGTGGTAAATCGTAAGCTCGAAATTACGCGAGCAAAAAAGTAAAAAAAAAAAAAACAAAAAACACACGTGTGACACAAAAGGTAATGTCGAGGGCACCAAAGAGAGAAAGAATATATATGTGGATGTGAATAAGTAGTGTGAATGATAGATAAAATTTAGAATTTGTGCGTACTTGTGTGAAAGAATCCGGTTGGTGATGTTGGCGTTGATGATGACGTTAGCTTTCGTTCGCCACTAGACGCTGATGCATTATGGTGATAATTTTCGGGGCAATCACTTAACGATAATAATTGTTTATATTCATCGGCTGACATATGGGCTTTGATCTCTTCAATTACAAGTTCGGTCCAATTGTCATTTGTTTGCGTGTGTTTGGTGTTTCCAATGTCAAGTTCATCTGGTTTCTCTATTTCACCTTTCGATGTAATATTTCGTAAATTTGTATCATAATTGATTCGTTTAAATTGATTTGCTGTACTTTCGCTGCTTGGTTTTTTGCGTGCCATGCGTAAATAACGTTTGATTGTATCGCTAACTGATTGTGATACATCCTCATTATCAATACTACTTTTGCGTTTGGAATGTTTTGTGGTTGAATCACCGAGACCGGATTTACATGCACCGGAACTCATCGATTTACTGAGAATATTCTTATTTTTTTGCGAGTGTTCCTTTTCGATTTTTTCCTGTTCTTGCCGTTTTAAATATTCGTGATACTGTTGATAGATATTATTCACTGGGATTGGATCGGTTTGTGTTTCTTCTGTATTCCAGTGTGATGGTTTTTCTTGTGATGCGTATTTTATTGAGATTAATGGAACACGTGCACATAATGCTGCGACTTCATCACTTTCGGCCAATTCATCGGATGCCAATGGAATACCAGTCAGTGTATAGGTTATGCCATCCTTTTGATCTTGACTATTTCGAGATGGAACGGATTTTAGAGTTGGCAACATAAATAATGATGTGGACAAACGTAGTGGTGCTGATGAATCAGATCCCATCGGTCGTCGACTATGACGTTTTAATATTATATCTAATTGCTGTTGTTTTAATTCATCACGTATGCGCCGTAGCAATTGTTTATCCTCCAAAACGGCCGGCGTAAAATGCATTGTACTCAACAATGAACTTCGATTCGATCGACCATAATTTCGTAAGTTTTCCAATAGCAGGGATGTATGTTGACTACCGATCGGACGTCGATTCAGCCGTGATGATGAATACGATGATGGATCAGAACTGCCAAATGTCGTTTGATGCGATAATTTTGTTGATGTGTTGTTACCTTCAATTGATCCAAATGAATACTTTTTAGCGCTATCTTCACCGCCAATGATACCACTGCTGCTCATGATACTGCTGCGAAATTTTTGGAATTCAATACCGGCATCGATTGAACCAGATTTTCCATATGCTGGTGGTGACATATTATCAGGTGAATTAAAAGCACTTGAATCATATTCATTTGGCGACGAGCTACTTTCTTTTGCCAAATTTAAAACATCCGTTTCATTCAATGGTTCAGCATCACTCGATAGTTTCAGATATTTTTCCAGCATTTCAATGATCAGAAACATTCGTTGATTTTCATTTGCTGAAATACCTTCATCTTCCGATTCATCGGCCGAATTGAATTTGGTGGGTGGTGATGAAATATTTGATGAACCACTGGACTTATTATCGGAAATTGGTGCCAAACGATTTGTACTACGTCCAAACCATTTATGGGTGTGTCGTAATTTTCCGCTTCGTCGAAACGGTGACACACCTAGTGCGCCCGGAAATGATTGTTTGCGCCGGAAAATGGGCAAAAATGTTGGCTCATTAGTGCACACATGTTGAAAATATTCTTCGATTTTTTTCAAATCTTGTGGATCATTTGAATTTCCACGAATATAATCGGGTATTAGTTTGCGTCCAGCATCGGTCATGTATTTCCATGTTTTACGTGTCAGAAGCCATCGTTCACGGGGCGGTTTTTCTTTATCGACTTTTTTTCCCATTTTTCCCTTTTTCGATGATCGATGCGCGCTAAAGCTTGAGATTGGATTGAAACTTCGGTGGGTTGTTGGTGGTGGTGTGGTGGTGGTGGTGTTGGTATTGGTTGTGGCGTCACTGGCCGTCGATGCTGTCGTACCTGCTGAAGCATTGATTGACGCATTCGAACCGGAGAATAGTGATTGCAGTGAGGCTGTTGGAGTGATCAATTGCTGTCGTTTAGTTCGTTTTTTAAATGCAATGTTTCGATAGGATTTTTTATCGGCCATTGTATGTTATGTGTGGTTTTGTTTTGAATGGGCTCACTCTTCCAATTCACCTCACAAGAAATCACGCTTTGATGTCATGGGATTTTTGATTGTTTGTCTTGGTGGTGGTAGTAGTAGTGATGGTGGTGTTGGAGCTTTTTTTTAATTTAATTTATTTCATTCGAAACGTGGACTCTGTCACTGGCGTTATAGGTAAGTTATATGTAAAGTGTGTCGATTGTACTGTTTTGTTGTATAAATTGGATTTGAATGATCTGTGTGATGGCCTAACGAATCTCTACGGGATAAATGTTTGCTCGGTTGTTGTGAATGTCCAAATGAGGAAGAAGAAGGTCGCCTTGGCATTAAGTTTGTATTTTAAATCTAATGGAATTGAAAGTGGAGTCAAATTTAAATGGTTTTGTTTGTTTTTTTTTTTGAAAAGGGATTTGAATTTATTTGACGCTATTAGTGACTATAAACAGAAGGAAAAGCTCACGTTTGCTTTCAATCCAAAATGTCCAAAGATGAAAGTAAATAACGATAATAGAAATCCTAATCCGGTTGGAAAATGCAACGATTCGACGTTGTCTGTACTATTGCAATTCGATCACAATATTTACGTGTATCACTTTTTAGCGACGATTTTTTGTGTATTATTATTATTATATTGTATAATTCTCTCTCTCTCTATTTTTTTTTTGTTTTCAAAAGCACAAAAGAAACATCGTTTTTTTTATTTTTAGATTGACAATTTCGTCATTCATAACATTCATTCTGATTTCACCAGAGAGAGTAGACAATGAAAGAGGCGAGATACAGAAAAAAACGCACTCAATCAAATACTTGGGCCAAACCAAAGTACAAAAGTGGTTTTTGACATTTTCAAATTCATATCGTAGTCTCTCCCTGTGTGTGATGTGTTTTTTTTCATATCTTCATCTGTTCATTCTCTATTTCATTGATTGCTCTTCACTGTTCCCATCTATATTTATGTGTGTATTGCTTCATTTTACCTATGACGATAAAATCAACCTAGAAAATAGAAAAAACAACGTTTCGCCCAATGTCATATTGCTAAGAGCGCGCGGGCTGCTATTATTACTCTTGTATGTGTATGCATATACGACATAAAGATCCGGGAATCGAAGTTTATGTTCGAAAACATTTAAATTTCCCCCTTACGCTTGGAGTTTGTTATTTTTTTTTTTTGCACAAAACACGGACATTTTTTATTTGTCTGCTCTGTTTTTCGTCTTACGTCTGTTGTCTCCAATAGCACCATTTCGAACTTTGTTATTTGAATCACAAAACACACAAATTGGAGAATGAATGACTGACTTGTGTGCGCCAAGAATGTTAACGATTTTTTTTTCATTGTGGTAATGTGTTTTGATTACTTTACCATTCTCTTTCTTTCTCTCTTTCGCTAATCACTGTTCGAAAAAAAAGCCAAAGGAAAGCGAGAGAGATAGAGAGGGAGAGTAAGATCATGAAAATTATTTTCAAATGTGTTGACAATCCTGTTCAGAGGCACTGATTGTTTTGTTTTCAAATAATTATACTGCGTACCCACCTAGCAATACAGATCGATCGACTGTATGTAATATGTCGGTTAAATACATTTATTTGGATACGGTGAAAATCCCAATGTGGATAATGACTATGGTGGTGACAGTAGCAGTAGCAATGGTGGTGGTGATGGTGATGACGATGATGATGTCTCTCTCTCAGAATTTTCTTTTTGTTTTGCACGCACCGTATAAATCTAGATCGAATATTATAAAAATAAATATTACATTTGTTTCTGCTATTCGACAATCAATTCTTTCTTCTTCTTCTTCTTTTTTGTAATGCACAAGGGGCGAGGTGTGTTCGATTTCCAATCTGTATGCTTATTGCCCAACATATAAATGCTGTCAATGCACGAACGAAACTAAACTGCTGTTGCTATTCACGATACATACACTACGTTCGATGTGACATTTATTTATTTAAAATTTATTATACTACGGATATTTAGCATCGTCTTTTCTCAATTCGACGAATTCCTGATATTTCTTCTCTCTTTTTTTGTGTTAAATAAATCTGAACGATTGATCTTTGCATTTGAAGGTATTGAGTTGAAGAAACAAAAAAATAAAGAGAAATCACTAAACTAATTATATATTTTCAAACGCAAGTTTCTCTCACGGTTTTTTTTTTGTTATTCCAAATCGAAAAATTCGTTTGCCAAATCAACAACACCACCAAAATATTTATTTTATTTATGGATTTCGCTGGGTCGGAAAATTAAGTGAGTCTCTGTGTGTGATCGTTACACTTAAATCATTTATTTCCACTTTGAATTCGAACTGATTTTCGATTGTATTGATTCCATATTCAAATATCAACAACAGCCACAACAAAACATTTTTATCAACAAATTGGCTTCAATTAAAATGACATAATTAGTAATAACACACATTTTCACTTTCAACAAGTCATTACATCTCGCCTCTATTCTGCCCAAGAATGTTCTCGTTTAATTTATGAACTGAATCTTTTCTTCTTTTTTAACCGATCTTTACTCTCGTTCCGTTTTTTTTTTTTGTTGTTGTTCATTTAACGACATACAACATTTTCTTTTCTCTTCGTTCCTTTTTTTTTGTATGAAAGAATTAATTGTTAAAACAATGCGTCGTATATAAATTAAATGAACAGTACCAACGATGTTCGTTTGTGCAAATTGAGCACATTTAAGCGTTTCAACGGTTTCTCGACACCTGAACGGGAATGGCTAACCTGGCCTCTCCAATCAACACACACTACAGCAAAAGTCTATTGAACGAATTTAGTATGTGAGCGTTTCTTACAATCGATTCACGGGATCGCGAGACGTTCCGCATACAAATTCTACACATTATCCCAAAATCTCTCGGTCGGTTCGCGATAAATATTTTACATTTGTTTTGTTGATTTCACGACGACGGCAGCAGCATCTATATTTCTTCTTTTCGTCATTCATTCGTCGTTGGCGTCGTCGTCGTCGTCGCCGTTGTCGCTTTTCTCACACACCGAGCGATGGTATTCGATTAAACGGGCAGGCGGTCGGAAAAGCGCGCGCACGCGATTACGTGCAAACAATTTGGTATAGTCGCGCTCACGAAATCAACGATGTGCCACTCTTGTGAACTATCAATATATGTGTTTGCATGTCACTTCGATCAAAGGAAAAACAAGTTGTTCATAAGCACTTAATTTTTCGTTACAATTAAATTTAATTTAACTCAATCACATAATTCGTCGTTTGTTGTTTTCTTGAGATAGATAGACGGATTCATACCTCCCGATAAACATACACATAATATATATTTGGCATCTATGTATGTAAATGTTTTATTTATAAACGTTTTTGCCTTCGCGTTATTTGAAATTTTATTTTAGCCTAGTGTTATATTCTTTTTTCATTCTCTCATTCGGTCGTTCTTTGTTAATTCAATTTTTTTTGCGTCTAAAAATAATTATGCTCTAAAATTAAAATCCCACGAAACGGACAGAAAAGTACAACAATAGAATAATCGTACCGATTGTGACGGTAAGCAAAAAGAACCAAAAAACAAAAGTACAATGCATACACACAACGTGTAACGCAAGTTTGGGAGCGAGGAATTGAGTGAAACGAAAGAAAATAATGCACGAAATGCCATCCATATAGGTTCAACATGAACACCAAATATCGTCTCACTCTCACATCAATCAGGGGCCAAAGGATATCGAATATTTTCTATCGTTTGTTCACAAATAAAAAAAAAGAATAATTTTACGTGAAGAAAACAAACAGAAAGGAAACAAATCAGAATGGAAAAGCGTCAAGTAAATACAAAAAGAGGAATAAGAAATCGTGCGCACTCGACTGGATCGAACGTATTGGAGGATGGGAATTTGAGAGGCAAAAACAACGGAATGGCGCTCCCGATCAAGTGCCCGCACACTCGTTTAAAGGAAGTATTTGCGAGTGTGTATCTTATTTTAAATACAAACAGCTTTGTTCAATGCGGTGGCGTGTATTTTTCAATCATTCTGCTCAATAAAAATTCCGGATCATTTGATTGTTAGTTTGAACAAAAAAAAATAGAAACAAATAAACTACATTTATAATAGCACAGCCATCAAAACACAAACGTTCAATCAAACTAATTTATTTTGTGTGTGCGGTGTCTGTGTGAATGTGTGTGTTTTTCCATTTCTCAGTATGCGATCATGATCACACACAAAAATAATGCGTGTGTCAACAGCAAACAGTTTTTACGCTGTTTTGTTAAGATGCAATCTCCTTTTTTTGTGGCATTTTAAGTGAGGCGCAATTTTGCATTAGATTGTTATCAAAAAAGAGGTCGATAAAAAGCGAATTTCATTTTCATGTCCATATGCGAGAGTAAAAAAGGGATAAATCCTCTTGTCGTGACCATAATAACACATTTCTAATAATGAAAATACCGAATTGTTTTTCGGCTAATCAATCATTAAATAAATACACACTTTTATCATGGCTTACATGTTTTCGATGCGTCACTCAGCCGCCTATTATCTTTCATATCTATTGTCAGCAAAGTGCATGCAAATAATTCCAGACGATTGGCAGAACCGTTTAGATTGCAGAACCGTATTTTCACCGAACTGCAAACAAAATGAATATTATTAAAATGAATTTCATTCAATTGCTAGCATCCAATTCTCATCGAATACACCAAATGCGATCATGCACTGCGAATGCAATTTTAAAAGCAAATGTGGCATATACATTAAATTTAAAAACAACAATAACCACATCGATAATATGGAGGAGCGCAATGATCTTTGAAAATTATGATGCACTTTATAACGACTCACATGAAATGTGTATTGAGGAAACTGCAGTTACCACATATAAATAATATCACTCGACCATCACTCGATACGAATAGAGAGTAATGCAACAAATGTGTGCCCGATCCAAAGGTGAAAGTTCACATAAAGATGTTTTGGGTACTTATTATCTTGATGACGACAGAGATTTTCATGAATCGTAAGTGATCATTTCAGCGTGGAATTAAAAGGAGCGTAAAAATGTTCTTGTTATTGTTGTTTGCTGACGATGCAAATTTCCACACTCACCGACAACTTCGATTTCTTTTTCTTATTTTCTTTTTTTCACACAAATCAACAGATGAGTCGATACAAATCGAGTTAAACCGCATAACACCACAAGTTCCCGAAAACATCAAAATGTATAACTGCCATTGAACAAAATATGTTCACATCACATCACCACTCACATACACAAATAAACGTAGTGCAAAACGTAATGATAATAGGCTAAAAATTGCAAACCATCACACGGCAAATTACGTATAACAGACTGAGAAATAGAGAGAGTGCGAGATAGAGAGAGTCTACGAGCACTAAGCCAACGAGTGAAATGAATAAAAAGAAGAAGAAGAAGAAGAAATAAAAAAAACTATGTGTAGAATACTATTTTTTCTCAAATGAAATACTTCATTACGACTTTAGCAACGCCGTTATACTAGTCCGCGTGATGCTCTTTTTTTCGTTTCATGCTCTCCGACGGACAGCTTATGAATTTTCGTTATTTAAATAGATGATGAGATGAGAAGAAAAATGAAAGAAAGAAAGGAAATATTATATCGAATACGACACTGACAAAATAGAATAGCGGCAAACATCTTAAAAATGGAAGAAGAAAATACGGTAGCAAACCTAGTAGCTAGTGTTTTATAGCATCGATCAAGTGGATATGATGTGCGTTGCGCGCCACAATAGTGTTGCACGTATATGCACGGTGAGCTCTCATGCCATCACTTTTCCTCATTTCGATATTTTCTCTCAATTGCATTCGGTTGATATTTTGGTTGGCAGTTTTGATGCGCACGCCCACGCCATTTCAATCCATTCGAATAACGACAGTTTAACTGCATTTGGAGTAGCGAACAAAGTTGCTACATTTTATCATTTTTTTTTTTTTTTTTTGGTGAGTGAATGACGCTCTAGGGAATTTCGAAAACACCGAAATGGAAGAGTGTGATCGAAAGTAATGGATTTTAAGAGCGAGACAATATAACTTAATTCACACTTCAAAGACGATCAAGAAAATGCCGAGCGTGGTGCCCATTGAAAATTCAGAATATCCGAAAATATTTTGGACATTTTTTTTACTATTCGGTTGAGTCGGGAAAATTATGATGAGAGAATTTTGTAAATGTGTTTTTCTTTTTCTCTTTTCGGCTGTGCCATTTCATGTCATTAATCGAAAAGAGTTTCAGACCACCTTTGACTATCTCTCTCTATGTATATATTCATTTTCATGCGTTTTTATGTGCCTGTCGACCGCAGCTCATACCATTTTATCCAAGCATTCTAAGATAAACATGAAATGAGAATGTTCGGTTCAGTTTTTATGTTCAAAACACCCAAGCATTGCAGGCGCTCTCGATTTTTCATCAACTAAAACAATAAAGTTAGGAAAACACCGTTGAATATTATAAAAGCGATACAGAAGAGAAAAAAACAAGAAGAAATATTTAGAAAAAAAACGATCTAAATTACAGCGCGCGCAAACATTATACGATCGAAACGAAAGAGAACAGTCATTGACTCAATATTGAATCAAAATTGATAATTTAAACAAAACATTAATAGAATAAATAGAGCACTTTTTGTTGCCTTTACATCGTACATTTCCCAATCGCCCATGTTTAGTCGTTTTGCGTTTTGTTTATAGTGTCCTGCTTTTTAAATTGATATACACACATATATATATATATTTGCATATCATGTGACGTGCGCATGATCGTCACTCTTCATCTGCATGGTGTGTGTGTGTTTTTTCGCGGACAGCAATTCGTGCAAATGGATGGAAATTGCTCGTTGGTCGAGCTCACTAGTCGAATGCACATGGTTTAAGCATGTCGATCACACTTTAGTCTCTCACATTTCTATCACACATGATAGTTATGAGCCACTCACAATCAATCATTTAATGCATTTCAATCTATGCACTTATCGTTTGAATTGGTGTTCGTTATAAGAGAAACGATGAAACCACAGCAGGTGGCTTGGTTGTTGTTACAAAAGAACATTCAACATTCTTGAAATGGCAGCTAAATTTGTTTACTTTCGCTTTCAATCCGGATTCGATACACTTTGGGTTCGTGCTCATTGCGAGATGAAAAATCGCCCAAAAATGAACACGAACGAGATAGAAGCGCAAACTGGATTTCAAATGAATTTGTTTCTATTTCTCATTCGGTTTGGCACTTGATTCACCGCACATTTTCTTTGATACTTTGAAAATCCATTAATCAAACTATTCAAAACAAATGAACATCAAAGAGTAGAATGCTAAACGAATAAGAAAAACTAAAAAAATTGTTATTTATGAGATCTGCTATCATAAATTTGCATCGATACACAAGAAAACATAATTATTTTTTTTACATTTTGTTGAAGCGAAAGTATGGATTTTCTTTCTCTAACTACTTGTTTACATTATCAATGTTTCTGAGTTAGTTTGGATAATCGACAAATTTTCCATTTCAAGGAACAAAAATGTACAAGCTGTGAAGCACAATGCAATGAAAATAATATTGAAACAGCAAAGAGATCGATCGATTTATTCAAAAAGTGCCATTGTGAATGGCATGGAAAATCCTATTAAAACGAAAAGCTTTAATGTTTGTTCAAAACACACAAATTTGTCAAAAAAAAAACATTTCAGTTTATCAATGTTTCTGTTTAAAATGGATTTTTCTTGTTCATTCGTTGTTCTTCTTTCAAAAGGAATGGATTAATACTTTCAAAATACAATGAAATTTGATGTGAATTCACACAATAAAATCGTCGTTCAAATCGTCTACTTAGCGTTTTTAGCTAGTATGTACATGAGTTTTCGGTGAATTTCGAAAGGAACAATTGTAAGTGACGCGACATTTCGGCGAAGTGGATTGCCATAACAATATCAAGGATGTTGGAGACAGTAAAAAACCATTTATTCGTTATACACATTCAACCGAATGGACAAGTGCTTTTAATGAAATATTTCGATTGCACCCCATGCAAGTCGCAATTCGAATAACCCTATACACATTTCGTGTGTAATCGGAAAAATATCTATATAGTATCTGTTCGCGATGTAACGAGTTTTGTATGTCTGAACGGTTGCAGACAGTGAATGAGTGAGTCGGAGTGTTGTATAAGTTGTGGCTGTGGATATGTCACTAAATATAAATGTGATAGTTCGGTTATGTGTATGTTGTATGTGTATGATACAATTACGATCAACTGCCGAATACATTGTCACCATTGACTGTATGTACATTGTACATCGATTGGTACAGTATGGTTAGAGAGTCCAACGGAGGTATATCGCATACATTTACTCGAATTTTCCTGTTTTAACGTTCAACATATCTATAGATGCATATATCTGTTATAATAATGATGATGCTTTCCATTTTCTCAGTCTCTCTATTAACACGCTGTAGATAGATATAGGGCCAGAGCATTGTAGTGTGTCCGTATGTATTTGCATGAGTATGCCGTATATAAACCAAATATATGTGTTCGGTGTAGTTTCAAATAGAAGCAAATGAATTTTCTTGCGCTTTTCACTAGTGCCCAGCACTAATACACATGCACCAAATACATTTTCTCAGTTCTCAACATTTAATCGAACCGAAAAGGAAACTAAAAAAGAAGAGAAAACGATACAGACATGGGAACTAGTGACCTGTGTGTGAATTCAGCATCTTTTACTATGCATTTACGACACAAAGTGCGGGAGAGTGAGAGATGTGGAATAAGAAAAATGTTGAAAAGATGAAGTAAATTTAGAAAGAGATTCGGTGGCTCATGAATTCAGGGCCATGACTGCATTAAGATGTTCGATGTGAACAAATACAACGGCAAAACATTTGAAATTCGGATTTTCTCTCTGTGTGTTGCGCGCTCTTTTATTTGTTCAATTTCGTGTGTTTACGATACGAATCGGCGACTATTTGCTATATGATGATTAGCTTTGTTGCTGGTGCTTTCTGCTTGAATTCGGTAAATGCATGTATTTTGTCAGTGTCTCTATCTCCTCTACCTCCCTACCTCCCTCTTTCCTCCTCTCACTCTATCGATGTCTCTCATCGTACGATTTTTCATGAGTTTTTCTTTCCCATTTTGATTTTATTTCGCTTTTATTTCGTCGGTTTTTATGGTTTGTTTGCCTGTTTTTGTCGCACTCTCTTTCGCTCATTCGTTCATAGATTTCGTGTGCAATCGTGCTTGTTCTCTTTCTTGGCCGAAAGATATTTTTTTTTTGTTAACAGAAAAAAAAAAAACGTTTTTTGCAAAACCATTTTCAGTTCAATGGTGCTCATATTTTGTATGTATATGTGATTGTGAGCGACGCGCATATGTGTACCCAATGGATTTTCCTTTTTCACACACAAAGTGTCTCTTTTTCAGTGTCTGTTGTACATTTCGTTGGTGCATTCATAACAATTTACACACCAAAAACAAAAAAAAAAAAAGAATGAAACAGATTTACTCTTTTTTTTTTAGTCGTGTAACTACACATTCACTTTTTAATATCAAAGCACACAATATTATTATATAAACGCCTTTTGCCACATTGCATTTTTTTTGTATAGTGTACATAGAGTTGAATATTAAAAAAAGTTGGTCGTCGTCGTCTTGATATTTTCTCTCTCTCGTTAATTGTAAAAAGAGAAAAAAAGTGCAAATGTCGTTGAATAGAGTGAAGAAACGTAACGAATGAAAATAAGTAATAATAATAATTACGAAAAAGACTTTCCTGATTCTTCAATTCATATCTTCAGTTCAGTCTCGTAAGAAAAGTGTGTATATTTTTTCAACGTTTTTATTTGGCGTGTATGAGTGTATGCGTGTGTGTGTGTACAATTTTTCTTAAATGTAAGACATTTAGAAATTAATTAATTGGGCATAATTAGTATTTATTTTGAAAAAAAAAAACGGCAATTTTCCGATTCAAAATCATCGATTTTCAAATATGAACTGCAGCGAAACGGTAGTAAACGAGATTTACGTAGAAAGAAAGCTCAAGTGAAAAGTGTTGAAATAAATAAACGACAATTGTAACCATAACAGATCTCAACAAATGAAAGGTGATGCGATTTTGAACGAGGTCAACATCACAAGGAAGTTGAATGCGTGCGTATACGAAATTTATTGTGTGTATGATTCTCGTATTGTGTGTGTGTGTGTCTGTGTGCTTTGTAGAAGATTTTCCTTCCGATTTGTCGTACATGAAAAATCTGATGAAAAAACATTTGTCCATTCAATTACCACATAATTTAATCTGCAACACATAAAATGATGCAAATTTTCAATTGCAGCTGTTTCAATCAAAATATTTTGTGTGTGTGTGAATTTAAAGTCGCATATCATTTGACATGATTTCGAATGCAAGATATGTGTATGTTAGTTAAATAGTGTGTTTGTAATAGAAATAATAAAGGAACTTTTTTGATGCAGCATCAAGTGCAGTGTTAGTGTGTTCGAAGGAAGATGTGCATTTGAATCTCTATTCATGGGAAAAGCACACGGAAAAGGAAGAGAAGAAGAAAAAACATGAAGTTAGTCTTTGTTTTGAGTAAATAACTTGAAAATGGGTGCAAAAAAACCGTCATGATAATTTCAGTTGTGGAAACTTTTTCGTTCACACGTAAGTGTGTACATTTGAAATGACATATTCGATTTTCAATGCTCAATTTCACATAAATTGTCGAATGTTGCCATTCAAGTCCTTATAAAGTGTACTTCAATGTAGTAGCACATATGAATATCTTAATTTCGGTTGAACATACAAATCTAGATGTTTCATTCGATAACGCAAAAGATTTCGCGTCGTTGTCTGCTGCTGTTGTATAGTGAGTCTTAATATAGGATTCGTTGTGAAAATCACATTGAGAAAATCTTCTAAGCTGAATGTGTCGTCTATACAGTAATATATACGTAGATGTGCCTCGATTTGATATGTTAGACTAGATCGAATAGCGTGCAACTGTATGCGTGTGTGTGTGTGTGTGTTTGTGTTGTTGTTATTTCATCCAGTTGCATGTATTTGTGAATTTTCTTCTATTTTTCACTATTTTATGTCCAAAATTTTACAAAAATGTTTACACATAATACTCGATCGTATTCGGCCGACACAATATTTATGTTTTCTTTTTGTTCGGTATGTGTATGGGTGCACACGAAAAAAGGCAACATTCACACAACCATGGGAAATAACAACAGTAAAACACATCGTGCAAAACCCGTTGCTGTTGCTTTAAAGCTGTTCTTATTTGAAATTAAAAAAAAAACACACACATTCACATATACGCACACACACACACACATACGAGCGCATATTTCATTACATAATTTTCACATTCGATAGTTTTATGAATGCTCCTTTAAGTTTACAGTTGACTTTTTTTTAAAATTCACATCCTCTATTTTGATTGCATTTGACATTATCGAATACCTTTATTTTTCTCTCGCTCGTATGTTCGTTTGCTATACTGATCAATCGAAAAGAGAAAAAGATTGTGTTTAATGACACGTCTCTTGACTTTCAACTTCGATACAGTACGGATTTTTTTTAGAGTGTAAAGTGCCAATCGGTGTGTGCAAAGTGTTTTTTTTTTTTAATTATTCTTCTTTAATCAAAGGAAGCCAAGATCGTAAAAAAATTTATATAGAAGTGGTGATGATTTTACTAATTTCGAATTTTCTTCTTCTCTCTCTCACTATCAGTGATTTTATTTTATATAAAAATTTTGTAGATAGACATTTTTTTTCTTCTTGTAAAAAATGCGTATTTCATAATTTTTTACTTTTTTGTTTCTCTATTTTCTCTTTCTCATTGTGTGCACTTTAATTTACAGATCTCGTTGAATGTGGCCCATTACCAGCATCATGTTCTAAGGGCATAGGCCTTTGAAGTGTTGATGAACATTTAAATATTTATACATCGACTCTTGCGATATTATATTCTGTGATCACACCAATTGCAACACCAATAATTTGTCAACAGTGCTAAGAGAAGGGACAAAAAACAGACAGACAAAAGTGAAGATTTTGGTAAAAAGCTTTATTTTTCATCGGCGATTGTTTTTTTTTTAGTTCGTCGGACATTCAAAATGTTTTCGATTAAATTTTTATGTATAAATGCTTCAACTAGTTGAATATATATTGTGATCATGGATGCGTTGATTTTACTTCTGTACGACAAATTAACTTGATTTGTACGTTTGATTTTAATTTCGACAAAGAGAACTTATTCATTTCCAAATTGTCAATAAAAAACAGTGACACATAAAAACAAACAATAAATTAATTAAAAGAAATAAATAAATAATAATTTATAGCTTGAAAAAAGTATAGAAATAATTTGCCCGATGTATACGATGTACATAAAAATGCAATAAAACAATAGTGAATGTATACAGAATTCAAGTGAAATAATTCAAAAGAGCGACTAAACAAGAATATAATCATTTGAATAAGGTAAGATTACGATAGCCAGCATCTGCGGTGCTGGTCAAATGTAGTGGAAATGACGCATGGTTGTGATCAACTCAAGCAACAACAACAATAGTACATCGAATACGACGACCAAAAAGTCAATTCAAACCAAACAAAATCAACGACAAACCGACCGAACGAGTTCCATTGAGACAATTTACAAGCATCACACACACACACAACGGTTCAATTCAAAAGGGGACACAAACACCAAATTGTTGTAAAAAATCAAACAGGAAGAGAAAGAAATAAAAGGAGAAGATATCGGTATTGAAAAGAAAAAACCAAAATTGTTTGCGGCGTCCGATATGTTTATTCCAGGCTCGTTGCAAAGTTGCATGATCGAAACGGATGTATCATCGTATCTGCAAACTCCATCCTCAGGACAGGTGCTTGTGCTCTTCTGCTATCAGACCAGCTGAAATCCATATCATATGTAATTAACATATGTCATTAACATAATGATGTTGTACGTGTACGTGTATATGTTCCCTCTACTTATCTTTACACTTTATCGTCACAAATTTGACTTTTTGATTTTCCTATCGTACGAACGCAAAAACGAATTTACAAAACAAACAAACAAAAAGACAACGGAATCTTAATGTTTTATGATTTTTGTTTATCATTGTTGTCGTTTAATTGTTGTTTCTGTGTCAAAATATTTTCAATGTTCGCAATTCGGAACTGTATTCGCAATCGTTTCTTTTGTTTTTTATTTTATATGGTTCATTTTCTGTAAGTTGATTTCATTTTATTTTCGTTTTTTTTTCTCTCTCGGGTGAGAAATCAACCAATTCTTTATTATACTTTCCTTTGTTATGTGACGTTTGATCTTCTTTACAAAAGAAAAACAATTCTCTGTTACATTTATTTGAATGACAAAACATTGGCCACTTTAATTGATTGAATAGTGGACGCGTTGAACATTGTTTTTGTTTCTCTCTTTATTTTTCGTTGATCTCTCTTTGTTCACACTTTGAACACACTTGGTTTTTGTTGTCTACCTTAATTTCTTTCTTACTTCTTTTCAAATATGTTTCTCTTCTTTTCTATCAAATCAAACACGCACCTACACATTTATTGATGTCAGAATTGATGTTTTGATGTGGTTTTCTGTACTTAACTTTACTAAAGATAACTATTTACATATTTCTATATAAAAACACATGCTTCAAACATTTGTTTTTATTATTGAATCAAATGTTTGCATTTTTTTCATTTCAATCGTTGTTTGAAGTGGGTTTTTAACAAAGCTCACTTAAAATGATTATTGAAATTGCATTATTATGATGGATTTGAAGTTAATAAAATTACAAAAAGTAATCGAACGCCCGGAAACAATGGACGATTGAACAATATTGTCCAAAAATTAAGCGGAAATTTGAAAACAATTATACTCGCATTGAGTTTATATTTTGAATTACAACCAAAAAAATAATATTCGAAAAAGTTATTGACAGTCAACTTTTGTATATATGCAACATGTTAATAATGTTTTTCGTATTTTTTTTTATTGAAAATAATTCGAATCCAACATAATGATGCATTAATTGCTGTTGCTTCTTTAAAAAAAAAATCAATTCTTAATGCACACGACACAATGTGCACATATAAAAACCAAACGGAACTTTATATTTCTTTCAAGTTTTCATTATCAAACTATAAAATTCGGACGGATAACTCACAAGCTCTAGAGAAATATGGGCACAAAAATCGTTACAAGAACTAGAATTGAAAAAAAGAAACATGACATTTTGTTGAATGAGAAATATAAAGTTTGGTGGGTTGATTTTTAAGCTTTTTTCTGGTATTTAAATTCACTTTGAATTGATTTTATGTCTTATGTGCGTTTGTTTTCTCTTGACTATTGCTGTCAAATCAAACAAAAACTGTGTATTTTTCAAAAATCATTAAGAAACATTTTTTTAAAACTCAAAGTGTACAAACGCATTGAAATGCATTCAAAAATTTTGTGTAAATTGAATGCTCCCGAGATGTGATAACCAAAAATGAAATGACCACAACCGAAATTTCACGAAATGAAAATAAATTGTATTCAAAACTGAAGTAGATCACATGGTTGGAAAAAAAGTTCAGAATTTTTTGTGGTCGGTTGCTGTGAATTTTGTTTTTGGATAAAATGTGTTTTAATTTGTGTTGCTTATTCCTGCTTGCTATTCGTTTTTTTAGTTTTCCTTTGAGCATTTTATCTAATTTTGCATTCCACGAATCAATGTGTCACTTCACTCGAGTACATAAAATAATGCAAATTTTCTTCTTTCTCTTCCTCTTTTTTTCGAATCTCAAAAAACCAAAAAAAAAAAAATCTCTTTTTTCCCCGTTTTTCAAACCAATAAAATTTCAAATATCACATTGAACTTACCAATACGAAATCACCACAATTTCTCGTCGTCACATGAATTTTCTTGCTATTGAATTCAAATCGATTATTATTGATGCGATTTTTGGTGGATGTTACTCTCCATGATGAACTGGTCGCAGGACGAGTTTCACCCATTTATCGAAGCACTTTTGCCTTTCGTAAAATCATTCTCATACACATGGTTCAATCTTCAAGCGGCCAAACGAAAATTCTACAAGAAACATGAGAAACGAATGTCGCTTGAGGAAGAGAAAAACTGCAAAGATGAACTTCAGGTAGGATGCTAATTGATATGCAGACAATGGATTCGATGAAATTGAATTGACGGTATTTTCGTTTTTGGTAAATGATTTCATTGTAATTAGAATGAGAAAGCGGAGGTGAAACAGAAATGGGCTTCACGTTTGCTGGGCAAGCTACGGAAGGACATAACGCAAGAATGTAGGGAAGATTTTGTACTGAGTATTACAGGAAAACGTCAGTCGATATGTGTCTTATCAAATCCAGATCAAAAAGGAAAAATGAGGCGCATCGATTGTTTGCGACAGGCCGATAAGGTATTCATTGACATTCGCGTCCAACTACAAACAAGTGTATTGATATTCAGTGTATCTCGTGTTTTTGGATTTTAGGTTTGGCGTCTCGATCTTGTTATGGTGATATTATTTAAGGCAATACCTTTAGAAAGTACCGATGGCGAACGCTTGGAAAAGAATCCCGAATGTTTGCATCCTAGCTTATGTGTTAATCCTTATCATATAAATGTGTCGGTGCGCGAGCTGGACTTGTATTTGGCCAACTTTATCAATGCTTGTGGTAAAATAATAATATTACATGATATCATACGATTCAAAGGGAATAATTTTTTTTTTTTTTTTTTTTCGAATTTATTCATTTGAAAATGTGTAGATTCGATCAGTCCACCACTTTATGGCACAAATAACAATAACAACAATAACGAAAACAACAATCGAAGCGAAAACGATCGAAAGCGGAAAGGTGAGAGGCAATTATGTTCTTTAATTTGTGTACGATTTGCTAAAATTCTAAACATATAAACATTATTTATCCTCCCACAGGAGGAAATCACAATCCATATAATGGTGTTGTTTGTAACGATACAATTTTAGCTACCGGAGTTTTTTCATCAAAAGAATTATGGAAACTTTCCAAAGGTATTTTAAATAATTTTACTTCCAAATTTCTTTACAAATAGTTAATTCGTGTGCATTTAAATGATGTCGCCGTAAGCAGCTTCGATTTTAGATGAATCAGGTGATGGTAGCGGCCTTGTTGGCGCAAATGAATCGACAATAAAATTAGAAAGCTCAAGTGGTAGTTCGGTTAGCGGTGCGGCTGCAATTGCTGCGTATTACTGTAACAGTTACCCATTAACAACGAGCTCACCGGGACTTGTAACAGCTGATCGGAACAGTTCAATGCTTGTTTCAGGCACATACAGTAATTTATCAATCACTTTTATCAATTTAATGATGCTTTTGTTTTGACTGTGCTTTTTTCTTCCCACTTTTCCCAGTTGATCCTCGCACAATGCACCTATCAACAGGTATGTATGGCATAGTTGAGGTGACAGTTGAATGCATATTTTTTTAATGAATAAAAAATAATGTAATTTTGCACAGGATCACCTTTGTTGCGTGATACAAAATCCGAGTCATGTTCATCACCATCGGATGATGCTGGTGTGATAAATAATTCGTCGTCGAACAGTTTTTCGGTAATTTTTCGTCCAGGTGAAACACCGATCAGCAGTGGAATTACCCCGACATCCGATCACGATACATTGTCATCGCATCGATATTCAACACATACCGCTTCTCGATTGACTGGCGTCCATTCAAGGCCCGAAGAAGGTAATTTTTTTCATTTTTCAATGATTTTAAGTAACTGGACTTTTTTGTCAATTGCTTCAAAATGCTCATTTAAGATGCACTTGAACCGACATTGCATATTAATTTCTGGAGTATACGAATATTTTCGCTCTTTTTTTTAGTTCTAATTCAAACTAGTACACAAACGCTCAGTCCAAATACGGCTGTGTTATATCAACACAGTCCATCCGAACCAACGGAATACCATACATCACAAAATGATAATAAATCTCAGGTGCAACAGCAAAATGCACAAATCTCAGCCGAACCATTACAATTGCAACGGTAAGCGAATTGGCATTTGATTTGTAATTAAAATAAATGTGAAATTGATAAATTGCATATATTGAATAGACAAACGCACCATCAACATTCGAGTCATGGGGCCGGTGGTCACCATGGTTCTGGAACGTCTCAATCGGGTCATATCGAGGCAAAGTATTCGGATAATGTAAATGGCCATGACACGCTTACCGATTTTGTTACATTTGTTTGCCAAGAAACTGACAATAGTCCACAAAGTTCACAGGTATGATCAATACATTTACAAGAAAAGTGACCACACCTCCGTGGTGCCTATTTATCAGCTCAAAATGTTGGATATATTGGAAATAATTAAACGGAAATATTTGATTACAGTCTCAGTGTATAGCGCGACCGACAAGTCCAAAATCACACTATTCACAATATAGTTCAATGTTGCCGCCGCCACCATTACCTCCAATGGCTCGACCAGTTGCAATAATTCGTTCAACCGGAGATTTATCAATTATTAACTCACCGCCAACGTCAATAACACCGCCATCCGTCAATAATATGAATTCACCACATCAATCGGAACATATTGGTGAAACCAATGAATTGGGCAATGCATCGCCACCAATGAGCCCGCATAATTCACATCAACAACAGCAACAGCAACAGCAGCAGCAGCAGCAACAACTACACTATAAATTGTAATTGAATACATTGTATCACATTCACACAACGACCAAAATAATATAATGCGTTTTTATTTCATTTTTGCAGTGCCGTTGCAAGTACAGGCAGAGAGTACTCATTTAATCCATTTCACAGTACATCGAGTCAGGTAAAATTTTAAATTTACAAACAATTAAATTGAATTAATTTTTATCGAAATTTTATTTAATTTTTATATCAGCTATTCAGCTATTCAAGTTCGCTATCGAATATGTCAGGTGTGATCAGTCCAACGAATTTAAGCCTATATTCGACACCAATAACGGCAGCACCGCGTACAACAGCACGCACACGATGGAATACATCGGTGATTTTGGAAGAGGATTTTAATATGGTGGCACAGCATCCGTCAACGATGTCCAATCCGAATTCCGATGCAAATTCAATTATCCTAATGGAAGAAGGTAAGAAAAAGCTCACATTACATTTACATTTCGAACGAATTTTAAATTGACCATTTTATTTACGGGTTCATTTCCGAATTATAGATAGATTTTTTGCACAACAAAACAGTACAACACGTCATGATCAAAACCAGCATCAACATTCACAACAGCAGCACAGTCAATCTCAACTTGATCTTGAATAACATTGTCATTCACAGCGCGCAATTGTAGCCAATTCGTTTGTCGTTAATTGAAAGAGTCAAACGTCGTGATCCTTTTGAAATCCACCTCAAATATTCTACATGCCGCAAATCTCAAGTAGATTTTTGTTTTGCTTATTTTTTGATAAACAACAATACAAAAAGCCAAAAAAAAACAACAACAACAACAATAATGTCAATGATCTCAGTCCAATGATTAAAATCAACAATTCGACGATGCTTTTTTTATGCTGACAACAATGACACCGCACACGCGCCCAAATTATAATTATAGAGAATAAGTGATTTTGTAGCTGTGTTGTGTGATGAGCGCGTGATTGATAAGTAGTAGGACAAGAATATAATTAATATGAGAAATAACCATAATCCAGATGCTGAATTTCGTAATTCAGACATTGAAAATGGGCAGATCGCTAACATTAAAATCCACTTAATTGATTCTCATTTCCCAACACATACAATTCCATGTGATTATCGAAGATTGGATAAGCTGGGAATCAATTCAAGTTTAAAATGAAAACGATGCGCATCGTTCGCATACGAACTCACGTTCTTATTGTGGTACATTTCTATCAGGGGATAACTTACATCAAGTGCGCACAATAAAATTTATTGAAAACAAAATAGAAACCCAATAAGAAAAGATGAAAACAAAACAATGAGTTCCTTCGACGTCATTCGTTCCACAAATGATGAAATAGAAAAACGTTTGATATATCCATGTAGATTAAAGGAGTTTATTCATTTTCTCAAGTAGAATAAAAATGGATAATACTATTTTTTGAGACTCGTATAAGCGTTGATTCTCGTTTTGATGTCTTTAAATTTTTGGCCCATCCTGCTAGATCGATTAACGATCGAAGGCTGGGAACCAATAATGGAACATTATATATATTTTTAACTTGTTTTGTACATTGAACAAACACGTGTTTTCCGTTTTTTTTTTCTGTGGGATTTTCGTGTCGCTTTTCAAATGGATATAGATCACATAAAAATATTTTTTTTTGTTGAAACTTTTTTTTGTAAATAGTTAGACATTAGGCTATTGTGTATTTAAAACAAATTTTTGAAACAGAAAAAAATCACCAGTATGTGAATTTTAAGGCACAATTGTTAAAGTTTTTTTTCTTTTCTTTGGTTTGATTAGTACATTGTAAGGCTTGAAATGATTTTTCGCTCATAAGCGATTAGTTGAACGTAACGAAGAAAAATAAGCAATTGAAGTAATAGTCGTGATGTGATAAACAAAAAAGAATAACTCGGCAAATTGCCGTTAAAAAAGATGAAGAATAATTTGAAAATCAAAAGCCAAAACTAAACACAGACTTAACAGAAAATTAATTGATCAAATGAGAATAAAACAAAATGGTGCAAACAGTGTTTAGACGCTCAACATTCGACTGCAAATGTACATTTTACAATGACACAATTTATAGCTCTTTGCATAGGTTTATTATATAATCCATTTCTCGAATAAAAATTCGAAAAAATGACGAAAAAATTAACGACACACGATAATCTTGCTATGTTCCTGTTGATGGCTTTAGTCGAATCGGTATTGAAATAAATTTATTATATTCATATTCGTATTGCGTATGAAGAAAACAACAACAACAATACTAATAATCAAAGCGCTTTTAAATATAAACCAAAATACATATAATTTAGGAGAATCATTAACGAGATGATAAAAAAAACATGCTTAAATAAAATGATGAGAAAATAAACAACAACCAATATGCAATAACTAGAGAGTAGGACTGTTGAATCATATTTATATTCGAATCATATACAGACATCTAGGTCATTCATGTACATTTGGAGGTCATCAACAATAAGCGAAAAGTGCCTAGAGTCGATGCAAAAATTAAGAGGAAGAAAACTCTTTAGAATTATTATATATAAAATAATATTTGAAAAAAAAAAACGAAGCAAAAAAAACGCGATAAAAAAATTGAATTCTATCGAGTGTGAGTGAATTTTCCACGACGCCTCAGATGGAATTTCATTGCGATCTTTGGTGAATTTGCGACGCGATTTTGTTTTCTCACTATTTCTGATACCGGTTTCATGCTGTCAAGCATTAGGTCACTTATTTCTCAAACATTTTCAGTTATCACTTTTATCCAAGCGCTCAGGCAACCAGAATGAGTTTAAAATCTGATGGATCGGTTATAATAAACTCAAACTAAATCGCCTTACAAATTTACTTGCACCATTGATCGTTGCCTCGTATTTTCTTTGCATATCAAACACACAATTGAATTTTGATATCAAATGAAACATGAAATCCATTCGAATCGGAAAATCATTCGTCACTCGATTTGAATAAGAGAAATATGGGCGAGATGACTTTTTACCTGTGAAATCAAATTGCCTGGAAATGGTGAAATTTACAAGGGACAAAATATAAAAATATACAAGGGACACACGAAAAACTCGATTTCCATGTAAAAGCATCTCGTCATTTTTGTGACAAATGAATTTACACTCAGAGTCGATCATAGAATTAAACACGAACTTACGAAACATGCTCGTGTGTAGCTCTATAGAAAAATCGAATTTTATGTTTGGTGCTCTCACATACATATATAGTAAAACGAAATGATGTAAAGTTAAAGAACGATTATGCAGCAAATGCATAAAAAAGCAATTTATGATTAGAAATGAAAATGAGAGAAACACAAAACACTGTAGGGTAGTTTTAGAACATTTATTTAAATATAATCAACACAAGACAAATACAAAGAAAAAAAAAACCTACGATTACTTCCAATAATGTGTGCTAAATTAAGAAAACCAGCAAGACAGTAAGAAAGAGCGAGAGAGCGAGAGTGAGAGAGATTGATTGAAATGTGTTGAGTCGGTGAAAGAATGTCGATGTGAATCCGTATGAATGTGACTTGTCTTCCTCATGCGTCCCCCAACATGAAGAACAATAATCTTTTGCTAGCAACTTACACTAGATTTGCCATTTAATTTATATAGCCAAAAATGTGAGACACACAGAAGACGCGCATATTCATTGATCGATGTGCGGGATTAGAGCAACTTCTTTAGCTAATCAAAACGAAATGATATAAAATAATGCTAGAATCCAGTCGCCAATTATCCAAAAATTTAAAAAAAAACGAAGAAAAGGCTCAAATATAACACCAAAGGCCGTTCTTTTTATAAATAAACGGTAAATAGAATTTTAGTGCCATAAATCAATCGTGTTCAGGTGTTTAGCCTCAATTTGAACGAAAAAGAAAATAAAAATGTGGCGTATTAATTAACAATTATTGCAATTTAAAATGGGCCTGCCAATGGGCGACAGTATGTACTTTCCTCTGTTAAGTGATGACCTAAATATCATTCTCTTTATTAATTTTGCATAACAGTAAAGGAGGAAATCTATATTCAAAATCGATTTATCTCTTTTAGTCTTATACTGACGATAATTACATTATGGACACTCAACAGTTGAAAATTCCGGCTGCATCTATTGGCAGGCATGTTTTGAAGAACAGAAAAGCAAAAGAACAGCGCCAACAATAAACTAATTATTATTATCATTATTAAATTATTACTGTTCAAGTACACACACACACACATTGATAATGGAAAATTATATAACAACAGATTTATTTGACAAACTGTGAAGAAAAAAAACACACACACAAATTAATAAGAAGAAAACTTACAATTGTTATTGCATATACAATGCTACAAGACATAGATTAATACAATTGAGAGAAAAATGCAAACAAATTGATTTAATTTAATATGAAAAGAAACTCAACTGAAAAATGAACTGCATTACGATGCATCGTAAAAATGATGGGGAGATGAAATTGTTTGAATAACTAATAATTGAGCCTAAGGTACTGTGCCTTCGCAAATTTATATACATAACTTATTATTATACCAGAAAAATTAAACATAGAAAATATAAAAGAAACTATGGTTTTTTTTATTTCCATTCATTTAATACCATGCGATGCGATGAATCTGTTGAACTCTTCGGTCGAAATCATGTAAGTATAAGAATGTGCACTGCTTCACTACATATGAGTTAAGCGAATATCTGCTTTACCGATTTCTTTTTTCTCGGTATGAACTGGCATTGAAATACAAACAAAAAAAATTGTTTAAAACAAATGTTTTCAGTTTTTAAAAATATTTATTCATCGTCATAATAATATAGCTTTATAAAGTTTTTTTTTTCCTTGTTATATAATTATTTTATAAATTGGCAAGTTAATAACTTAAAATTAACATATTAAATTAGTGTCCTGTATTTTCATTTCGTAATTCGGGTGTGCACGAATTTCGAAGAAAAAATTCCATCGTGCACACGCTTGTATCGGTCCTTAATTTGTAAATTTTTTGTTGTTTATTCATACCTTATTCATTTTATCTATTCACCTCTAAGTTTTTATATCATTGTTTTTGTTGTTGTTGTTGAAATTTACACGTATAATTAGCGTTTTTATTTTTTGCGTTGCAATTTTCGATCTATTGCAATCGGTTCGTTTTATCAAATTTTCCATTCGTTTATGTCTCGTAATTAAAAGCCATTTTTTGCAATATAGTTTTTATATGTTCTTGTTTTTATGGGGGATTATTGAGTGTGTTTGTGAAAAAAACATCAACTTTTTTTTCTATTTATTATTACTGGAACCCAATGTGCATAAAAATGTCATCGTTTTACCCTGTGTATTTATGCATTTTTTTCAAAAGTTGCTTCAAATTTGTATTCATTATAAAAATGTAAAACAAATGAAAGAAGAAAAAAAATACTAAAATTGTCTATATTGTTGAGTTTAACTATGTATCCATTACGAATGGTTGCCATCTATTTTTCTATAGGCCTTTGATTTTATTTGATTTAAAAAAAAAAAAAACAAAAATTAAATAAAAAAATGTTTGTAAAAAAATTCAATAAAATGTCCATTTGTTTCTTAGAATGTATTTTCAATTATTTATCACTAATTTCGAATTTAAGATATTCATTTTCAATTTTCGTTAAGTTATTTTAAAAAAATGATCTGATTAAAAACGACATACATGTTTGGAAGGTTTTTTTTAAACGTAATATACGTTTGAGTTTTGGAAATGACAACATTTAACACTTTTTGTGCATGTTTTTTGTTTGTTCATTTTCGATTTCGGTTTGTTCATTTTTGACAAGAAACGAAAAATAAAATATTTTTTTTTTAAAGACTGACTAAAGGAATCAACTCAAAACAAATTTTGATTGATTCAATATAAAAACAAAAATATTTGTTGAAATAAAATTTAAAAAAAAAAAAAAAAATTAAACAATGTTTCACATGATTCACTCCAATTTTTATCTGTGGTATAAATTCTATCCAAAATTTGGATTTCAAATAATTCGAAATAAAACCATTGGATTTTATTCTGTTCATTCCTTTATCCTAGTTTTTTTTTTGTTTAAATTTACACGACGATTATGTATAGAAATAGCGTGGTGTGGTTTTGTTTTTATTTTGTTCATCATCATAATATCATTTCTTTTGAAAGCCGAATTTCAAAAAAGTATGGTTAAAATGTAGTATAGATGTTCCACATAATTCATTTTGTTTTTTTTTTAATCTTATTAGATAGTAGTTTTATTACACATGGCATTTTAGAATCTTATGTTTTTTCTTTGAATGGCTCAGTAATGGGAATATTATCGTTTATCCATGCAGAAACCATTCACATTTGGATTTTGACAGCGGAATATTCGAGTCTCTTTATTTTGTATAAATTGTGGCATAAATCAGTACAAAAAAAACATTTGGTATAAAATGGTTTTTGTGTTTTTCTTCCGCCGGAGATTGTATTGGCTTTTGTCAGTAAAAAAATCACTATGTTGACTTTTTTAAAAATGAATCGCATAAAAGCTTTGGAAAATTAACTCGAGCGTTTTGCATTTTATTTACCATTTACTAAAGTAATTTGTGTTGATTGCGATTTTTTTGTTAAAAAAATTGTTTTTTCCAAATCTGCAATTTTAAAGTCATCAGAAATGGTATGCCAATATGTGCAATAATTCGCTGATAGTGACACCATCTCACACAAAGGCTTTGCTCGCATTTACCAGTTTTATTTGTCTGAACGAGGTAGGGGGTAAAATCAACAATGAAACGAAAAAAAAGAGAGAAAAAAATGAACAAAATGTGAATGTGATTTATAATAATTGCCAATTTTTTTTTTAAATTTGAACGAACAATGTGAAAAATTTGGTGCATTTGTGTTGTATTGTGTGATGGTCTGAAGTGATTTTTGTGGGTGCAAATTCGATTATAAAAATTCATTTTTTTTTTTGGTTTCGCTCACAAAATGAACAATTACAATCATATAAGCCGAACAAACACATAAACAATGTTTAACAAAAAAAATGATAACATTAAAATCAAAATGAAGAACATGTACACTTAACTTTTTGTTGCGGTTTATTAATGAAACAAAAACAAAAAGAAATATATAGCGAGAGAAAGTATAAAATAACTGCCCAAGCATCAAGTACTATTTTGCTGCGATCAATCATTCAAGATGAGTCTTTGTGAGGTAAAAACAAAACAAGAAACAACTACTTTGAAAAGCAATCGAATGCCAGGCGCATAGCTGCCAAAAAATCAGTGAAAATTCAATTTTTAAATATTTATTGAATTTTCACAAAATTTTACACATTTCAAATAATAAATTGTGCCAAATGGATTTATATTATTATAATTTTTGTAAAATAAAAAAAGTTAGCTACATTTGTTTAACACATTTTCGATTATATACAACAGAATACGAAATAGAATTTTGTTCACGTAAATTATACACAAATTATGACTAAAATGTAGAAAAGTAGTTGAAACAAAAATGGCACTCATGGTTGAAATGGGAGAGATAGATAGAGTTAAATGAGCAGTTTCAATGCAATTGGTTAAGTGCATTTTGTTTTCTTCACCTAGTTGTTTTCTATTTGCTATCTAGAAGTGCCTCTTCTGTTTCGTGTGTGTTTGCGACATAAACAATTACAAAAGATAACTAAAAACTGAAAAATGAGAGAAAGAGAGAGAGAAATAAAAAAATGGTCGTTGAATTAGACGAATAAGTGTGCTTGAAATGAAATTTAAAAAAAAGAACATGTAATGATGCAGAAATGAGTTAGTTACACACAAAACTAACGATATGTTAGCGTAGCAAAATTCTAACAATTAGATTACATTTGAACGCTCTCCCGATGGTGTCGTGGCCATTGCGGTGATATGAATTATCCATATACATATTTGGTATTTTCAATGGCAAATGAACCATAACTTTTCTTTAGAAATTTGTTTATATTACACAAAAATTAAACTAATAAAATGTAAAAATTCCATCAAGTGCATCAAGCCTGTATGTGTGCGAGTGCGTGTGTGGGTGTCTGAATGAGATTCATTTGGAGAGAGTGTTCAAGGTGGGTGCAGTTGCGAACAAAATCTGATGCCTGATATTCGCATCAAAACACACTTTAGCGACATTGATTTTTAGTTGAGAAAATATTTACCAGATATATCTTGATCATGATTTCCACCGTTACTACTACATGCCAAATTTTCACGATGTGATGATCCCGATGACTTATTCGATCCATTTGTTATGGTCACTGCAGTTTATGAAAATTAAGCAATGAATAAACAAAACGATGAAATTGGTACAAAAAAAAGAAGCACGAAATAAATCATTATTAACAATGTGTGCATGAGACAAAGAGATAGAGAGAGTTAAATGGTTAGTGAATGAAATTACTTTGATTGGTTTGATGAATGATTGATGTTATGTCACTTTGAGAAGCTGAAATATCTTTGCTAGTTAGTACGTCTGAACTAGATGATCCTGTGAAAATAAGAAAGAAATGTATTATGAGCTGTTTTTACTGAAAATGTCTGTTTTTTTTTTGTTTTCAAATTGATGGCGAAATATGTTAAAAATATGATATACAAACTTTTGGTGTAAATAACCAAAAAACAAACTAACCAGATGATATGTGACGTTCACCGTGACCATATTGAATCGGTTGATAACCGTGACTTGTATTGTATGTTCCTGAGTAGGGCATGTATACTGGTGGATTTGGCAGTGGTGCAATATCACTGGCCAAACTGTCTGTATCCAATTCGGGTGCTATTCGCATTTGTCGTGAACCATCGCCCACAATATAATAGCATTGCTCGGAAAAATTGAGTTTATTGACTGTATGCTTGATTAGATTATTTCGTAACATTGATGAAACGATGCGTCTTGCTTCGCGTCGATCATTTACACCTTCAACATTGGCCAATACCCAATTTACAGCATCAGCACCGATGAATGCATTTGGTATAACAAGTTTTAACCACATACGATCACGAATCTCTAAACCACTGTCCGGTTTGGTCATTGCTTTCACAATCTCTTCCAAATTATTTCGATTCAGTCGCTCTTGAATGATTAACGATGGATTTTGTAACTGATTTGTCATCGTACCAGCCAAACTGCCAATTCCAGTGGCATGCATATGTCCATGCATACTTGCAATTTCCGGATGATAACCAATTGATTCTTGAGCTGTAACCGCTTGTGTGTGTGCCACCCATGCACCTGGATCAATTGGTCGAACCGGTTCCGTTCTTGGTATTGTAAAATATCCTTTGGGATTTGGATCCCAACATTTTGCTACAACTAATTTTATAGGACCTGGTTTTTGTACAACTTCACGTAGTACACGCACCGCTTCGTCATTTGTCATATTTTCGAAATTAACATCGTTGACCTGCCGAACGTGAAACAAAGAAATGAATTTTTTATTTTAAAACGCTTTGTAGTCAACGAATGATTTAAATGATTGTGTACCTGTAAAATCATGTCTCCCGGTTCAATGCGACCGTCTAATGCAACAGCACCACCTTTCATAATGCTACCAACATAAATGCCACCGTCGCCACCGCGATTCGATTGGCCAACTATGGATATTCCTAAGAAATTCACTGCTTCCATATTAATTGAAACGGTGATTATGTTCAATGACATCGATGAATCGGTAATTGAACTATAACTAGATGTACGGCTCATGCTGGGCGCTCGTTTCTTTCGTCGTTGTGGTTTTTTTCGTACTTGTAATCGATGTACACTGCTACATTCAGTCATATCTCTATCTAGTGTAATTTCACTTTCGGTTTCAAATAGACTCGTTGCATCTAAATCGCTTGACATCACCGACGCACTTTGATATGTTAACGGATTCGGTGGTATGTTCATTTGATGCTGTTGATATGAATTCAAATTTGCGTTTCCGCTTGTAATGCCGATGACGCCGCCGCCGCCGACACCGCCCAGTCCAAGTGGTTTCCGTAGCGTTTGCAAATTTCCTACACCATTGCCCTGTTCACTGTGCGGCACCTCCGAGCAATTGTCCGATTGATTTGAACCATCGGCTGTCACAAGCTACAATAAAAAAAAAAAACAAACATAAACGGAACATTATTCAGACCATCAAATTAAATCCATGATTACGGTACGGAAATTGAATTTTGCATTTCATCAACATACCCATGATATAACACGACCATTGAAAACAGGCAACTTGGTCGATTCATCGACTATTTCCTCTTTCACCACCCTATAGCGAGAAGAAAAAAAACGTAGGGAGAAAAAACACCACATGAAAATGTATTCAGAGCAGACAAATGGATTGAATCATGGATTGAAAACTCACCCGAAATCATCGTCAACTGATTTAAAAAAGTACTTATAATTACAGCTTTGTTTGTTTAAAACCATTTTAAAATCCCGTAGAGTGACTTGTGACGTTGACAACGGAATTTTGACTAAGTATGGTGTTTGCTCATCGTCAATGTAATAGATAACTTTTGTTTCTTCCATTGTGTTTTTTTTTGTGTGTGTGTAAGAGTAAATTTTGTCGAATCGATTTTACGCACGCATTAAATTTATATTACAAAATAAAGAGCAGCAGATGATGAGAATCAAGTTTGAGATATAAAGTCTGAAACGAAAATGAGAGAAGAAAAGAAAAATAAATATTTTTTAAAAAGAAAAATAAGCTTGAGAAATCATCTCAATGAATTCAAAGAATCTTTGAAAAATTGAAAAGTTATTGAAATAACATGAAATGAGCGATTAATTGAAGTGAAGACATAATAAAATCATTCAAAGCAACGTCTTGCCCATTTATCATGGTTCGATGAGTTTTCAATTGAAAAATCAATAAAAAATATGCCGGTCGAATGTGAATGAACAAGTAAGGGTTGATGGATTCATCGTTTGCAAACTATAGACAATTGCAACTGAGACGCAGCTTGTAACACATTTCACAACAATCAACATCAATTCAAGGCTCAGTGCATATATTATCACACTCAATTGGAAGTGAGCATTGGATGTAATTTGTTGACGAAATTTTGTGCCGATCAATGCGCACACACAAACATCAAACAGCAAACATTTCATTTGAAAAAGCATCTTGTTATACGAATTGCTTAGAGAATGCGTTTTATATTTTAAGTATTATAATTTCATGTCTCGAAGCTACTTATTGTTGTTGTTGTATTTTTTTGGTCTATCATTTGTATACGTGCGAGGCGAACACACCCCGGCAAAAATGTGTGTGGTTAAAATATTACACGCGCGTAGAGCAACGTCGTCATCGTCGACGTCGTCTAGATCATATATTCAACGTCCATTTGTTTGCACGGATTCTCAAATATATGTAATATACCGACATGCGTTTTATTTTATTTTATAGCATTTTTTTTTATTCGTTCTCTTGTCTTCCTTTTTCGGCTGTGCAATGTCCCTGTTGTTCATATCTCGCGCGCGCATTCAGCGTACAGTACATCCATGCATTACATGCATTGCATGTGTACACACAATGTTTTTTTTTCATTTCTCTTTCTTGAATTCCACACACTCTGGCGCATAACCAAATCGTATTGTTCTTATAGTTTGGCTCTGTGTCTCTCTGGTTCAGTCATTCTATTTATAACGTCATTATTATTTATACTGTCTTCTTCGTATTGTTTCATTTGGAGTTGTTCATATATATATAATTTTTTTTTCGTTAATGTATCATGTGGTCGAGAAAACAGTATGTACATGCCTCCATTGCACTTGTACTCTCCTCTCACTTTTATTTAGGTGCCCATATTTTTCGAATTGATGTTTTGATTTTTTATTTTGTGCTTTGTTGATTTTGTGTTGATTTACATAAAGAGCGGAGGGAAGAAAATAAATCGAAAAACAACCAATGCATTTAAGCTATTGAGTTTCTAATGGATATGCACAAATGTATCAAAAACATTCGAATGAGCTCGTTATTTATTCACTGAACGAAAGTGAGATAAGTATGTGTAATTAATTATAATAATATTTATTCACCGCCAAAAACTGGCTGAATCATGTTTGAGTGTGTACATTGATTTTTATACATTTATGGTGGGAAAAAGGTTTAATCATTAGTGTGTGCACATCTGATCACCGTTAAAAACCACATCTTTTCAAAATTTAGAACAGAAAACATTTTTGAAAATTGAGAAAATATCATAGATATATAAATAAATAAATAATTGAAATATTCAATAGTTAATATTCAAATTGCACCCAAATACAATGAGTCAAAAAAATATAAATATAGGGAAAAAAAATATCACATTAATTCGTTAAAGAAAACAGTATTATGATTAGATATCATTGACAACTTTGAAAAATGTTCATCGCTTAAGGCTAAAAGTTGATTTTTGAATGTTGATCTCTTTGGTTGCGTTGAGAATAGTTCTTGTACTTTGTTTGACATTTTGCACATTTGATTGATTGGTACCGATGGATTTATTCTCAAGAGTTTGTCGTTAATTTTGAAAGATTCCACATTTCGCAAATTTCGTTCGTTTTGATTGAGAGAGATTTCTGCTTTAAGTGATGGGCAATGGATGTTATTATGCAGTAAGTCAAATATGTATAAAACTGATGCATTTATGCGGCGCCTTTGAAGTGACTGCATATTGAGTTTGCCTAGACGGGTGCTGTACGATGAAATTTTAAAGTTATTTGAAATGTTTGGATACTCCTTGAGCGCAAACATTGTGAATTGACGCAGGCACGATTCAATTTTGTTCATGTGTATAGCATGATATGGAAGCCATACCAAACTGCCATATTCCAAGATTGATTGTACAAGGGCACAATACAATGATTTTAAAGTATGGACATCAGGAATATCGTAGCAAAATCTTTTGACAAAACCAAGTGCTGATGTCGCTTTGGCCACCATTGAATCGATATGTTTGACAAAGTTGAGTTTATTGTCAAAGATGATTCCTAAGTCCCTTTGTTCATTCACTCTTTTAAAGATGTGACTGCCGTAACAGTAAGAGTTAACGATTTGCTCTCTCCTTTTGGATATCGACATAATGGAGCATTTATCCAGGTTCAAATGTAGTTTGTTTGCATCGCACCACTGTTTCAGTTTGTCGATTGTTGATTGTAGTTTGGTTGTGTCGCTTAAGTTAGCGACCGATGTTGCCAATTTCAAGTCGTCAGCAAACAGAGAGATAAAAATGTCATCATCTTTGATGGCACTCACAATGTCATTGATGAACAGTAGAAATAGCGTAGGGCCCAAGTGGCTTCCTTGTGGTACCCCAGAGTTTACCACAAACTCACTTGACTCCATCTGACCATATTTGACAAATTGACGACGATTTGACAGATACGATTTAATCCATTCGATCAAGTTTAACGGCAGATTGAACTTGCATAATTTTTCTATCAGAATGGAATGGTCAACAATGTCAAAGGCCTTGCTAAAATCAGTATAAAGCACTTCAATTTGCTTATCGTCATTCAGTTCTTTTATGGAATAATGTAAAAATTCCAGTAGGTTTGACGAAGTTGAACGACCTTTCATAAAACCGTGTTGTTGAGGTACGATTTTATCCGCCACCAATTTGCCGAGCTCACGATTGATTAGGAACTCAAAAAATTTGGCTATCGTTGGCAATTTGGCGATGCAGCGATAGTTTTCAACGTTAGAACGCGATCCTTTCTTGAAGATTGGTCCGACGCTGTAACGCTTCCATATGGTGGGAAAATGTCCAGACGAAAGTGATTCATTGAAAATCATTGATAGCGGTTCGTACAATAAGGCAGCACAATTTTTCAGAAGAATTGGATGAATCCCATCAGGACCGGCACCTTTCTTTGAGTCTAATTTCAGCAGCCTGTCAATTTATTTATAATAATTTATGGCATGTGTTGGGCAATCAAAAGGGGGAATATATATATGGTGGCAAGAGAGACAGAGGCCTTTCTTGGATCGGTACATAATAAATTCAAACGACGAAAAGAGTAATATTCAAGTATTTCTAGTTTTGGCATTCACAAATATACTGCACAACAGCGTGTGAAACAAATACATGCATTGATTTTTCAAACTTTTCTAAGCACAGATGTTTTTTCATCGCTTCGATACTTTCATGCTACCATTTCATTCTGCATCTTTCATTATCACAATTGATTCCATGGCTATTTCAATAACAACAACAACAACAACAAAAAATGACACTGGCAAACGAGCTATTTCATTTTGAATATTTTGAAATGCATTTCACTAAACACGAATCGCATCTCTTTTTGTCTGGAGATCAAGCACAGCATGAAATTTAGCCGAACACTGTAAATTGACACTCATGGCCTTTTCAACGATTTCTAATCACATCGCCAGTCGAGCATACCAAAGAATAACAAAAAAAAAACATACAACACAACAATAACGATACAAAAATTGAACTCTCAACCAAAACCAAAATCAATCACGACTTCTCGGCTTGAATGGAAAATTGCAAACGAATAAAAATTAGCAGTAAAACAAATTCTATTTACTTCGAAAAAATTGTTGATGTTGTTTGGTGTTGTAACTTTTATCTTTCTTTTTCTCTTTCTCACTCTCTTGTTTAGTTGATATTCGACACACAATACACCACACACCACACCAAATTACTGCCGATTTTGTAAACGCTCTCAGTTCTCGTATGGTTTTTGGTTCCTTTTTCTGCTTCTTTACACTTTTTTTGCACTTCTTCCGATTGTATATTAAAATTGAATTTATGTGTAGCTTGTTGAAATTTTCTATTGGGCGCTCGATGTGTCAAACAAAAATGTTTTATTGAGAGAAAAAAGAATGTGAGACGCAAACGAACCGATGATAAACTACATCATACGACTTTTTTTTTTGTTTTACAAATTTTCCCTCGATATGCATACGAAAATGCAAGCAAATTATTCAAAAATGACAATGAGGATGACGATGATAAAAGGCAAACACGCTAACACTATCATGGTATTTTAATTAATTGTTTGTTTTTCAGGTAATAACCCTGCAAAACAACAGTTCACAAATTTTTTTAACTCTTTTTATTTTCTAGGCGAACAGAAATCAGTGACTTTTTTTTTCTTAGCAGCTCTTTAACACTCACTTTTGGTTTGTCTATGAGTTTTTGTTGTCTTATACACTGTGATTCGTTTTTTTTTATTTTTCTCTGTATCTTGACGATTCGACGGTTCTTTTTTGCCTTTTTCTCTTTTCTTCATTCGTTCGTTCCCTTTTTTCTTGGTAGTCGTCGTCGTTTTCGATGGGCGAATGCATTGGTGTGTGCGTAAAAATTGTTAATATGGAGGCTCAAATATCATCAGTATACCTTTTTTCTGCTTCTTTTTTATTTGCTTTTGATTTTGTTGTCGCTGTGCTGGAACAAGAAAACTATGAACTTGGCACTGTCGTTGTGATTGTGTGTGTGTGTCCGTGTATGTGTACGTGTGGGCATAAGCAGTTGACAACGAATAGCGTGCGCACACACAGCCACAGCACTACATTGCAAACACATAAGCGCACGCAGAACAGGCGACTCTCAGTATATCCAGTACCATCATCCCACCGCTTGTGAACGACAAACGAGACATAGCATATATATAGTTTTCTCTGTCTATCCAATGCATCACGTCGATGAACGAGTCATAGAATGAACGAGAAACGTTCTTCGTTCAAATGTCGACAAAATACGCTGTAATGGTATTCGGCACACACTTTACACTTTACATTTGTATGCGTACGAATTAATGTTGTTTTAACGTTTTGTTTATGCGCACACACAATCACATACTCTGCCACATCCAACCGATATATTTACAGACAAGAAAACAAAAATCAACAACACAACTACTGCCAACAATAAATTCTATACAATTGAGTGGGAAATTTAAAATTCCACGGTTGAATTACTATCATCTACAAATAGATAAAATGAATAAAAAAACAATTTCTTTTTTTTTCTGTTTTGGTTTTTGTATAGAATTTTTTTTAACTTCATGCCATAACGTCTCGAAGAAAAAGGCCATTATGATAATGTTTGAAAGAAAATCTGAACTATGTGTAATGCTTTTGGAAAAGTAGTAACGGTTCACATCGTTTGAAATTGTGCTACTATCGAATCTGCATCTTTAAATTGATTGTCAAAAATCACTCGATCTATAATATTTTCTAATTGGTTCAGCCGTAAAAGAGCTTTACATTCTTTGCGTTTTCGACAACTGCCGAAATATCTTCATCACTAACGTTCAATTAAATGGTTCGCAACTGTGGATTTGATGACAATATATAAAAAAACTTCTTGATCTTAACCACTTTTGCATCGGTAACATAATAATAGTCATTTGAAGGTAAAAATAAAAGCTAATAAGAATTTAATGTGAAATTTCGGCTTTTTATTGAATGTAAACATCTAATTATATTGAACATGTCATTTGAAATGATTGATTGGAACTAGACGATTTTCTAGTTTCCTTTATTTATATTTTTTTCATCAGTTTATTATATGTAAAATTTCAAATGAATTTCCTCACGATGTGTGAGCACTGGAGCGATTCGATCCATATCACTCGCTTAACAAATCGTCATCATTTATATCCTGAAAAAGAGTAAAAATAAAATTCGATAAATGAATAAGTCAAGCGAAGGTGAATTGAAATGCTTACGGAAGTATCTACATTATCATCTAATTGAATGCCTTCAATTTCCAATTCAAATTCATCGAGTGAATTTTTCCGCTTGATTGGTGGCGATGATCGTTTCTCTGCGGTAGTTGAATCGGCTTGTTGTACGGCACTTGGTTCGGAAAATGGATTCGTCGCTGGTGCATCTGTTGCAGGTTTTGAGAAGGTTTGTTGTTGTACAATGACACGATTTGCAATTGGTATGACTCCATCAATATTATTATTGGTCGCTGATAATTTCAAATTCGGATCATATTCGAATTGGCCACGTTCTTCAGCTTCTTGCATTTCATCAAAGGCGTGTCGTGTACTGTTCAAGTGTACTTGTGGTGCCACACTTGCTGGTAGCGTTCGATTTTGTGATAATAAAAACTGTTCGGTTTTCAATGCATCATTTAAGCCAGGGAATAGATTTTCATACTGTTCGGGATCGGCAAGACTTTGGCCAGCTTTTTCATTGATTTTAGCCAATTCATTTCGCCACAATTTAACGACGTATGAAATTTTACTTGGAATGTAAGTGCGCGCAAAGAATGCTGCCTCTGGCAATCGATTTGTATTTATTAAAATTTCTAGACATTTATCCAAATCACCCAACAGGAACATTGATAAGAATGAGATGTTATGTTTTCCTTGCGTCGCACCCATATCACCGAGATTACGTACCATATTTGCATCGCCAGAACTGGTGGCCAACAATAGTAAACCACCAAAATCATTGGCACGTTCCAAACATTCTTTTACCAAATCGAATTTATTTTGTTTCGTTGCAACTTCGGCCAATTGCGACCATTTTTGTGGATTTTCTGTTTCGCGTGCCAATTCAATGGCCGTTTTTAAATCACCAATTTGCAATGCCAAATCGAAACGATGCTCACTATCGGTGGACACTTGCAATGCTTGCTCTTTGAAACCTTGTTTCTCAAGGAAATGAGCGACACGAGTTCGGTGCTCTTTTGGTATTGTAGGCAACACACGATCAGCTGTCTCGAAATCTCTTCGCATAACAGCCGTTTGATACTCTAATACTGATAGCAACAATGAAAAGCTCGTCACATTCAATTCCTTGTCACCCAAATACAAACTGAAAATAAGAGACACATTTCGTAAATAAATCTCAATGATATTGCTTCCAGCAGCTTTACTCACCGATTATCTTTTGATACATAGCCTAACAAATACATTGTTCTATCCAAATGTGATACTGTCACAATCTCACCACCAACATAGTAATTAATTCGATTCACTGAATTTGTGTAGATAAAGCAATCGCCCACCCACAAACCAGTCTTCACTTGCTCTGGCACCTCTCCGAGAACCTGTCAATAAACGCGATTTTTTTTTTTGTAAAATTTAAAAATTAGAGCCACATCTGAGTCACATCTGAAAACAAGGAAAACTTACATCAAATGCTTCCTCAAGGCCATCTTCGCCAAGACCTTGTTTAGCTTCGATTGCAGCTGCGATTGCGCCGGTGTCCACTTGAAGAATGAAGTAGCAATCATCGGTGGCCAAACATACCAAATTACCGGTTTCGTTCCAGAAAACATTTCTGCAAATGATTAAAGTCATGTCAATATGGTTCAATTAATTTGAAATGAATCAAATTCAAACTTACTTTGGTTGCACTTCGATTCTTCTGATTAAATCGAGTGATTCCCAATCGTAGAATGATAGTCCCGCCGATGTTTTAACGCCCAATAAGTAACCGCCAAATATGCCTTCGGCTCCATAATCGGGTTTAAATGATTTTCGTTCTTTGAAATTTCGGAACAATTTAACGGCACCAGATGTTTCGCGTATTGCATATTCGCTACTTTCCAATGCCCAAACAAATTCTTGAGCCGCACCAAATGCTTTATTTCGCAATGCCATCGATGTATAAATGATGTATTCACCATCGCCGCATACAACAACAAATCGTCCATTTGGATTATGTGCAATGGTTTGTGGATAAATTTCGCATGCGCCCATATCCTTGGCAGCAACGGCCAAACGTTCGCCATCCTTTATTTCGGTGCCTTCTGGAATCGCTTTTAAATTGACTTGTTGCATTTCGGAATGTTTAGCCCAAATTATTTTGCCACCGTTCACATCCATTGACATTGCCGGCTCTTCTCGTCCCACTTTAATTATAATTGAACCTTCATCGTATCCAAGTGCAACGTTATTTGTACCGCGCATGCATGCAATCGTCCAAACACGTTCGAAACCATAGTTCAACGATGTTTCCAAACGATATGTGCCCGAATGCCAAATGCGAATAGTGCCATCCTCTGAGCCGGTCAATACAATCGGTAATTCCGGATGGAATGAAACGGCTGAAATATTCTGTGCATGACCTTCGAGCGTTTGTACGCACGTCTTATTTTGATAATCCCAAATTTTAACCAAACGATCATCGGCGCCGGAAATCAAATACGGCTTATCACCGCCATGATAGTAATCAACACAATTGACACCTTTGTCATGGCCATCGAGTGTGAAATTTGCAACATTTGAACCTAATTGCCACACTTTCACCGTACGATCCAATGATGCACTGGCAAATGTATTATTGTCCTTTGGATTGAATACAATTTGCATAACATAATGTGAATGACCTTCGAATACACGTTGGTTGGCCCACAATTTATCCCAATTCCATAATTTAATCAACATGTCATCACTGCTGGTCAAAATTAATGGTTGTGTTGGATGCACGGCAATACATCGCACATAATCCGAATGCGCCTCAAATGAATGTACCTTTTCTAGTGTATTGTAATTGAAGACGCGAATCTAAGCGGAGCGATCGAGAGGAGACAGAGATGGCATTTAAAATTTATTGTGAGTAATTATGACAAAATAATTCAATTACTCACTTGCATATCATCAGAACCAGTAACCACCCAATTTTTTCTAGCAATGAATCTTGCACATCTGACGGGCAAATCACACACCTGAACAAATAAAATGTGATGAAATAAACACACAGATTTTATATCGACGCAAATAAAAATAATTTCACATTTTGAATATATATTTTTTTTGTTGTTGTTCGCAGACATAACATACCTCGAAATCTTTGAACAACTGTTGGTTTTCATAATTCATAACATGAACGTGACCATTGTACAAAGCGCATAACATCCATGGTTCTGTCGGATGTAAATCAACACATTTCACTCTATCTGAACGAGACGTCAAACGTCTTTTGATATCTAACCGAAGCGGCTGTAATTGCGAGATTAACAAAAAAACCATACATTAAACTGAAAATTCATAAAAAGAGTCGATTAAATGAGTCGGAAATGTCCGCATGTGTGTGTGTGCGCTCATATCAAAAAGATTTGTGGTTTACAAATGCCACGCCGATTACTAATTGGATGGAATGTGTTGAAAGTCATTCGATTTGACACATAAACAATTTTTGGGTGTCACTTGGAAATGATGAAATAGAAAGACTTTCATTGAAACAGTCATTTATTCCAATGAATTTCTATCGATTTGTCATTACGTTCCAATGTCACAATTTGTAAAAATGATTTCACAAAAGTAAATAAATTCAACTGTTATTTTGATTGAACGACATGGATTTCCTCTGTTTTATGGTTTCCATCAGTTTAGTTTGCACACATACAATGCACGACATTTCGATTCGTGGCGATATTTTTTTGCCACTCTCCTCGGATTGTATTTAAATGTTGGAATAATTACCATTTTGTTTGGATTATTTCGAGGTTTTGTTAACAAACAATTAACAAGTCTCCGTTGATTTAGTCAGGCAACTGTCTTTCCACTTTATGACTCCTGTGTGTGTGTCAGGCTGTGCCGATTCCGAATTATAAAAAAAAACAATTCTACAAACACAAAATATTGAATGAAATAAAACTGAAATAAAAACACGCACTTCGATCACCACAATTCAATTTGCAATCGGATTTCACTGTTTTCTGTGCACGATTCTCTTTCAATTCGATCAAAATGGGTTATTCGTTTTACTTGCCGAAACTTTTTTGCTACGCTTTTTTTCTCTACTACAAATTAAAGACACCGAATTTTCTTCATAGCAAGCAAGTACATATCAAGTCTTCGGAAATTTTGACACATGACACGTCATGAACATTTTGAAAACATGAACGTAAACGTTTGGGCTTTCGTTTCCCCAATCCAAATGTACGATTTTGTTGTCAACTATGACTTTAACACATTGAGTGTGGACCGATTCGATCGGCAATGCAGACGCATTCAAATCAGTTTGTGCGCGATTTTTAAAATGTTATTAATACACCGGCAAGAAATGTGTAGAAAATCTTTCAATGGCAAATCGAAATTCGATTTGCAAGCAGAAGGAAAAATGTTTTTGTTTTTGTTTAGTGGTAACATTTTATGTTCATTCACATTTGTCCATTCCAATCTTAAGTTGGAAATTAAAATTTTAGAATGCACAACAATCCCAAAAATGTGACAAAATGTTCCTTCCTTTTTCTTTTGAGAAAAAATATTTTCGGCATTCCAAAAGTTTTAGAGTAATAATCATATTTTATGGAGAATGTTTGTATTGTAGGTGGGAATATGAATGTTAATAATTCAATTGGAATTTCGGTCAAAAAACCACCAGAAGAATTTTCCAAAAGCCCATTCGGAACAAAAAACCACAAGCAAATCGAAAGAAATTGCTGGAGACCATCTAAATAGATTTGGGGGCTTTAAACTATTTCAATAGACAATTTCCTACGAAAAAAATTCCATTTTTGTTTGTAAATAATGATTTTCTAGCCAAAATATTTAAGAAAAACTAAAAATCGCAAAATATGCATTTAAAAAGAGAAGATCGAAATATATTAAAAAAAATAATTTATATTTTAAACAATATTTTGAATTACTTGATAACAACCAAATAGTGCTTCACTTATGTGTGCACAACGCGCATTCTTTATCATTATCGTCGTCTACTGCTTACACGCACATTTTTTTGGTTCATATATTTGAAATATGTTTGCGATAAGAAAAAAAAAACACTTTGTTATTCATTTGGTGGAGTCTTAAATATTCTTTTATTATTCTCATTTTATTACATTATTTTTTTGTTGTTTGTGTGTGTTTGTGATGGTGAAATCCATCGCAGAGATGCCATTAAATTGCATCAGACAAAATATAACATTTGTTAAAATGTTCTAAATTCAAATTTCGTCTAAAATCTGACCCATTCTGCATTTGGTTCTTGATGAACGAATCCATGTCGTGCCTTCTCCTGTTGTTGTTCAGTCTCATTTGAACTGGTCCATTGATTGTACAACTGTAAAATAAGAAAAAACCTATTTTGTTCAAAACGCACAAAACGAAACCAACATAAAGAGAGAGAAAAAAATGTGAGTTTGAAAAACGACATATCGCGTCCATGTTTATTGTTTTGAGCAAAACTAGTTTCAAGGGAGAATTATGAGTCAAAATGTTGAGAATATTAAAAAAAAAAAAATCTTAAAAACTATAGTCTTTTGAACAAATCGGCATTTTTTTGTATATATGTCACATGGGAGTATTGATTTTTTCAAAACATTCAAATCATTTCAAACTAATAATCAGAGGTGCGCACTGGGGGGGGATTCAGGGTTTTACCCCCCACCTAGCTTGGTCACGTCCGGATTTCCGGGTCTAACTTTACCCCCCTCAAAATTTCATCACGTCCGGATTTCCCTCCCCCAATGATTCAAGTACATTTTCTAAATACACATTTTTCTGTATATTCATTACAAAATTGCTTTGTTTTTTTCATTTTCTGGCTAGTTTTGTAAAAAACTATCATTTTTTGAGATAATCGAAAGTACGTCATATTATTGAAACTTCATTCATTATCATTTTCGTTCTCAGTCAAATCGAAAGTCAATCTTAATACAAGCGGTTTCAGGTTTTCGGAAGAAAATCCGGATTGACCCCCCCCCAAGAATTGTTTTTTTTCTTGACCCCCCCCCCCTTCCAAAAATCTGAAATTTGACAGCTATCCCCCCCAAAAAAAAAATGCGTGCGCACCTCTGCTAATAATAGACCGACTATTTATGGCATGAAAAAAAAAATCTTTAAAAAAAGTATTAGTTAAAAAAAACCGAGAATATAAAAGAGTACATCGTTTGTTCGCGAATAAATGCAATTTCGAGTATTTCATTGCAAGTGATCTTATAAAATAGTATCTTTTACGTCTTTGGCAACGTTATAAACCTTTTTCGTAGCATCAAGTGTCCATTCGACGCCATCGCCAATTTTTGAGCCAGTGGCACGTACAGCATTACCAATCGATGCCGATGAGAAAGTTTCTTGGTCAATGTGAATATTGTAATTATCTTCAGATTCTTTTGGGCAACCGGTTTGATTAATGATACTCAAATCGTATGGGTCAACGTTGAATGAACCAAGACGTGTGCGCATCTAGAATTGAAAAAACCGAAACAAAAACAAAGCATACATCAATATTTATTTCATTCGACGAACACGTTATCTAATCGAAACTTACTTTGTCAACATACAACTTATCCAAATCGCGAGTACGTGACAACAGTGTTGCACTTTGACGATGAGCAAATGTTACTTTTTGGCATGTGAAAATTCCAGCATAGGTCTCGTAATCGGTCATGAAAATGGTGAAATCGGATTCGCCGATTGGATCTAAAATTATACCAAAGTGAAAGGAATAAATTAATTAAATATACACGACACCGACGAAAAGTTCGAAGAAAATATGCAAAAAATGACTCATTCGAATGACAAAAGAAAACAACAACACATGACTTACTCAATGGAAATTTGACGCGCATTTTTGCTGGAAGTTCTGGAATTGGTGCGGTTAATTGACCAGTATAACTGTATTCATGTTTGAGTGGTGTTAGACCGAGTGCAAAATGTTGTGATACTTGTTCGATAAAATATTCACCAGGTTCTTCGCCTCTGGTCACATTGTAGATCAGACATGATGATGCGGTTGATGTTTTTTGAATTGCATACCAAATGCCCAAAAACTGTTTTAAAAATATAATAAAATTGAAAATTATTTCTTTCCGTTTCGCTTCTAATTCATGTCGTCCGTCAATCAAATAAATCTAAGACGACGCATTTTCTCTCCCCACTTAGATTTGATTTAGTTTAGCAGTCACTCAAACAAATTATTATTATCAACAGTTTATCGCATCGTTTGTATTAAATTCAATCTATCAAGCGGAACCGCATTTTGCTTACAGCACGTACGGATGCAAGAGGGAATAAAAGTAATCATATGTGTCGCAAACAAAAGAATTTTTTTAATACGTGCACAACACATGTTTATCAGGCGATGAATTCATTTGAAGAATATTGTAGACAGAGAGCATTGATTTAACGGTAATTTTATTTTCAAACGTGTTTTTAATTTGGCTTATTTTTTTGTTGTCTCTTCATTTTTTTCTTTTCTGTTTATTTCAGCGAAAAATAAAAATCTAAGGAAATATTGAACATTGATCAATCTTATCACCAAGAGGTCAAATTATGACCAGAAGAGAGAAAAAAAAAACAAAATAAGTCTCGAATCATAATCGGTGTGTGGCGTCAGAATGTAATTGCGACTTGTGCTTGTTATTAAAATTATAACAAACAACACATAAGCCAATGACATTTGATTTAGGCGTCTTTTTAGGCAAAACACCGAACAATGCAATTTAAAATATACATGATTTGATTACGTACACTATTCAATTAGTCAAGTAACGTAATAAATGTCAAGATCATTGTTAATTATAAATGTAATTTTTAAATCAACAATTAAGAGATTGTGTTCCCGTGTGCTCCTTACCTTTTTCATATCAAAATCTGGCATCGGTGCAACTGACGGACATTCTCCGGAATGGTATGTGTGACCATTTATGGTATGGACCAACACTAACACTGCAAATACCGCAATTTTCAGCATTTTTCAATTTTGTTGTTTAAACCACAAACCAACGAATTTCTAAAGGTTGAAGAAAACGGAAACATTTTTATTTTTGAATTTACAAACAACAGTGAATCACCACAATAATTAAGTTATTGTAGTGTGTTTGGCAACAAAGAATTTATGATATGTTTTTTTTTTTCATAGCGTAACAGTGTACATGATAAATTTCGCATATAACAAATGATAAATGAAATAGGCGTATAACAAATACCGTATAAATAACACATCAACATAACATTAAATTGAATGATTGCATGAAATACGTGAAATTCACTGAATATGAATAGTTTTTATATATTTCTTTTTTTTTTATTAGAACAAATAATAATATTCAAATAGAAAAACGAGAATCTATTCATTTTGGTTTTCCTGTTTCGGAACCTTCTTTTTCAACTTATTTTCAGTTGAAATTATACTAATTTCATGTTTACACACTTACACAATAAAAAAAAAACGACGAATTGTATGCTCAACGTATGTGAATTTGAATTTTGTTGTCTGCACTAAATGACGGGGACACAAGTGAATTTTGAACGTGATGTAAACGGTATGAGCTTTGCTGATCGAATGACGAAGCCGACACATAAAATAGTTGTTTTTAAAAAGATTGTCTTGTTTGTTGATTGTGTTTGTTTGTGTTCTCGCAACCAAGTTAGTGCTGAGCTGATATGTTATTGTTGTCAATGTGGTGGTCGTATGTATGTACATGTGTTAAGCATACTTATTCATAAACAAATAAAAAAGAAATACAAACTGAATATCTCATACCTTAATGTATTTATTTGTCTATGTTTATCGTTCGTTTCTCTGCCTCTCTATATACCTACATCTCTAGACCTGTCACGAAGCGCAAGTGCACATAAGTAATATTAAGGCTATCACTCTGGATTTTTCTATGGTGATTAATATTTTCGTCATTTTTATGTTTATATTTTGTTTGCCTGTTTTAATCATGTGCATTGGTTGATTCATCCAAATACCGCGAAACATTCAATAAATTTACAAATTTGTAAATTTATGAGCCAGTTTTTCATCCTGTGGATTTTAATATGCAATTTTATTGATGCGTGATTGTGATTCGTTGTGCAACATCTTTTCTGCATTAGGTCATTCATCATTGTTGCGTATGCAAATTGCATTGAATGGAAATAAATATCCACATGTTTTTACTATGATTCTTGCGTGCATATTCACTTTCCGCACTTTTAATGTGGTCACGCATATTGATAATTAGTAGCTTTTTTCCCTTTCTGAATGAAACAGAAGAAAACGGCCTACAAAAGATTTACGATGATTTTTGCATTCGAAAAATACTGTATCTTGAGATATAATAAACCATACTTGTGTAGCTTTTTATTATATAGTTTACAGTTGTAACAATCAATTAAAGCATATCCCCACGAACGGCGATTTTTTTCTCTTCTCTTTCTTCTTCTCCCTTTTCATCATCATCATCAGTCGTCTTTGCATTTGCAAACGAGCGCAGTGACCACGTTCATCATATGGAAATGACTAATCGCTACAAATTAATACTCGTGTATGTATTTGTGCTAATGACGAACGTAAACAAACGATACAAAAACATATCTTACTACTGCCCTTTTGCGAATACTTTGAACTCATTGAGGTAGAAATGGAACCATTGCAAAAAAAACGATATTAGTTTTTCTCAACTCGGAAATGTCTACTTCATTCACGTCATTGACGTTTTTTTTCTTCATTTTATTTTAGAATTAACAAGTGACTTCGAGTGACGGGTGAATTCATTCATTAAATCGACAGAGTTGCAACTCTATGACTCATACACATATGATTGTATCACTTAATCCAAAAACATACGTACGAAAGAAATGATATATTCTTTTTAGAACTTTGAGTAATTTAATAAGCTTCAATTGGTACCTATTGGTACAAACAGTCATCGTTGGTTGATGATAAAAAATGTGAACAATTCATATGGAGAAAAATGTAATGTCTCAAACGATAAGCGCTTTACATTAAGAGCTAATTTAGTGGAACATCTGAGCTCAGCACTTTTTTCTGCTACATGTTGTAGTCAGTTTTGTGTTAGTTTCGAGTTCAAATCATGACCTCCAAAAATGCGATTCAAGACTTTTTTCATCATCATTCTTTTCGAAAAATAATTCCAACTTGGAATTTCCATGTAAAAATGTTATCAAGCATTATAAAAAATGGAATGGAGCATTAATTTTTCGTCATTTTTAATTTCGACGTAAAATTTGGTTTGCTGTCTTAACCTTTCTTAATATTGAGATTGGAGTTTCCGTAAAATTCCCCAAATGTTTCTGATTAAAGCAAATGTTTTTTTTTTTTTTTTGGATTTTCTCATTATATAAAAATTATTTATTCTTTCATCGAAATTTAATTTGAAATTTGTCATTATTTCTTAAAAACTTGGCAACTTTTATTATCACTATATGATATTTGATTAAAAAAAAATTTCGAAACCAAAAAAACATTTTTTTCAATCAAAATTTGAATGTTTGAATTCAATCTGCAAAATAAATGTCACTATTTGAACTGTCAAACCAACTTCATGCCGGTTTGACAGAGACTGTTGCGACAATGTTGAAAAAATAGCCAGAAAAAGTTTCATCAGCACATTGTGTTCCAAATAATTTGGTGCATTTCATAATATTTTAAGAAATTGTGAGTATCTAAAAATCGCCGTTTCTTTGATGCTCCTTTGAAATGTGAAGCTAAGATTTGGTGTTTTAATAGCAAAATAGTTGATTGAAATATGTGTGTTTATAATTTGTTTCAGAATAGCAATATACGAGACAAACCTGCGACCCTTTGGTTACCTGATTTAAAGGCAATAAAGACGAAAAAACGAAGAAGATGTATGAAATAAAGCCGACATTCGATCGATCAACGATCCAAGTTGATTTACCAACTTGCATGTATAAAATGAAGAATACTAACGATTTCAACCTGAAAGACTCACAATCATCAAATGTTCAGCTAACGAATGGATTGAATGGTGCTGTAAGTCAACTCAGTACTAAATCTCTGCCGGACATTAAACAACAGATTGAGAAATTCCTCAAGGTTTATGTTATTTCCATCACATTGAAGATAACTTAATTAAATAACAAACCAAATTCTCCATCTAATCCAAATTGTATTCCAAAGAGATCTCTGAAAGAATCTTGCAAATTTTTCTTCCGAATTTTTTAAACTTTCATATTTTGCAGACTTCAAATGGCAACGATTTAACTGCCTTGCAATTGCGTCAAGGAGAAATTATAAAGCAATTGGAAAAACTGCGGCTGAAGCTGAACGATATGCAAGGCAAATTGGGTGTTACTGCCGAACCAGTTGCTGTGCCAAAAATGCAAAAAGTGCAAAAGAAGGTCGCACCCGTAATCAAACCAATCGATGTTAGTTTCATAAACAATGATCCGAGAGACGAGTGAGAAACACCAATTTTATTATTGTTTTAATTTTTTTATTTCCAGGAAAAATACTTGCAAGATATTGTTGTTCATGTGAATCCAGCCAATGTTCCATATTCATTATTGGGATTGCAAACATTGTGGACGAATCGATTGAATTTAGTAATTGAATGCTATACGCATTCGAGTATTGCAGAATTACCAGTTGAAAATCAAGCGTTTGTTAAACGAGTCGGTTCATTCAAAGCAAATGCAACAGCACCAACTCTAAATTTATCATTAATTTGGAAAGATACGCCAACTACGAATTTGGTTTGTGCACCGGGTACATTTATTCCAATTTCGGGCGAAGCGAACATTTTACGATATTTACTACGAATCGGACCATCAGAATTTGGTTATCTTGGTGCCGGTTCGATTCAAGCACAAATGGAAATTGACGCTCTTTTCGATTTGATACATGAATTAGTATTGGCATCAGCGAAAAAAGATCATCGATCATCGATTTTAAAACGCTTATCACAACGGCTTAACACACAAACAGCATTCGGCGGTGATTCAACCAATGTTAGTGACTATGCCGTATTTAGTACATTGAAACAATTGAATTTAACTGCCAAGGAGCTGCCAGCCAATGTTAAAACTTGGTACGAACGTAACAAAACTCTTATTCAAGTTTAAATATCAGGGTCACGCGTTTGCTCTCTCCCTTCATTTTAATCAAATCAAAAATGCAAGTTCAAATACATGTCGTCAGCAACAATTTCATTTACAAGAAGAAGAAAAGAATGTGATTTTGAATAACATTTGTCAATGAAAATAAAATCGGTTTGAAAGCATAGAAAGAAGACAAGACATTTTCTCTTAGTCATTTGATTTTCTCTTATTTATTTCATTTACAAATTGGTATTTCGTTTCATTTATCTGTCGGTCGTTTGCACACATGTGACCATGAGAATGAACATTCTGTCAATATCTAAACAACTTCAGGGACATTTGTGTAATTTTTCATACGTCGATGTGACAGAGTAGACATTCTGTTATGTATTTTTAATTGGCATAACGAAACGATTATACGGATTCAACAGTAAATTATTCGAAAAGAAATTGAAAGAGATAAAGATCACAAATTATTTATATATTTATATTATTAATTGAAATAAAGAGTAAATGTTAATTTTTAAAAAAAATAATTTCAGCGCCCTCTGACGTCAATGAATCGAACGTTACATGTTAGCCTTACACAGATCAAATACTGTTGGTACAACTGCACTAACACTCATATCGAGCGTATGTTCGCTAAACGTTTTCGATCAACAATCACGGTGTGTGCATGTCTGTCGTTCTCGTTTCCGCAAATATTGTGTGCAAAGAATTCGTTGTCTCTCTTTTTTTTCGGTTCTTCTTCTTTTTCTTGTTCAGTGTGCGTTCTTTTTCCATGAAACGTGAATTAATCTAACGAAAACGGAGGAAAAACGTTCATCACTTTGAAGTTGTGTGGTTTGGTGTTGCTGTCACTTTTTGTTGGTTGATATGGCGTTTAAGTGACGAAAAATAAAATAAATTTAATTGTTTTCTTCTTGGCTCCTGTTCGAACAAAAATAAACACGTTTCATCGGTATTCGTAGCCCCATAGTTGGCGGAATCAAATCACAACTACAACAAAATCTTTCTTGGCCTCCAAAATAGTCGGTTGCCAATGGGAAATTAATTGAGCGCAATTCTACGAACAACAGCAGCAGCAAAAGAAAAAAACACCAACAAAAACTCCGCACATTCGAATCGAATACCATAGACAATTAATTTTAAAAAATTGTGTTTTATTTTGTGTGGTTATATAAAAAAAAATACAAATATATATACTTCAAATCAATAAGGATCAACAAATTTCTATTGGAAGGTGCCGTGAGTTACTCACACAATTGCACAAAGCCACATATACACAATACAACGCACCATATTAACTTGCAAACAAATCAACGTTTTCTTTTCCCATCTTGTCATTGATAAAACAAAAATCATTATTGTTTTAAGTGTTTCGCGTGATAATTTTTCATTTTGTATTTCAATTCCGTTTAGTTCGTTTATTTCTTGCTTCAGTTCAGCTTGCGTGAACTTCTGATCTGATCGACTTAAGTTTTTCGGTTCCGCAATCAATCGGTTTGTTTTTTGTTTTTGCTAGTGTTAATTTGCTTGATTGAAAGAAGTGGAAGTGTTATTACCTTTGACAAACGTGTGAATAGACAAATTCGCACCAGATAGTTTTGATTGACTTCGACCCATTAAAAGAACAACAGTCCGGTTACATACAAATACCAAAAAAAACCACACAAACCAGCTTGAATCAACCAGCACATCTATTCCATCGAGTGGCAGAAAGATATCGAACAAATCAACTAGGTTCCTCAACCTGAAGAATTGATGGTCGTGTTGTCGGTGTTCAAATCATCACACGCAGAGTAGCTAGTACACAAAACTCATGGCAAACTCAACTATGGCCGCATATGATAGGTAGGTTGTCAATTTTCAAATGTTTGTAAAAACAAATGATTCGTCAAATTCCGGAGTTTTATGTTGCTATTTAAATCAACAACAGTCATTTATTCGTCAGAAAAATGGCTTGCGTCATGAAAAACGCAACACAAATAAAAATAAAAAAAAATACTCCATGACAAACCATTTCGGTTTTTAACAAAATTGAAGAAACAAAAAAAAATCAAGAAGAAAAATCAAGTGCAACTGGAATAATCAGCATGTAATATTTGCAAAATGTCGTGACAAATATGCTCTTATCAAACATTAGAGTCAGCATTTAATTCGAACTTTTAACATATTCGTCTTTCGATATTGACACATTTTGCAAATATATATAACGAATACTTCAGTGAGTCAAATCTCTATCTTTGGTTTGTCTTTGGTTTTTTCTCAATCAAATTAAAATCTTAGTCGTATACTTTTTTTTTGCTATATTCAAAACTTTTGATTGATTTTTTTTTTGAAGAAAAACTTATGAACTTATCTAAAAAAAAATCAATTTCTTACTTCTTAAGATCTTTTTGTCGAACATATTTATTCATTTTCATTTTTTGATATGATTGCATAGGCAATACTGATTGCATATGAACTCACATGAAACATCACTCAATGTTGTTGTCTTGTTGACCCAAAGGATTACGCTCTAACTCAAAATCTGAATCAAATGAAACCAAAACCAAAAACAAAAATGCTTTAAAAAAATATGTAAAACCAAATAAAGAAAAAAAAAACACACACACAAAACCAAAATCAAAGCAAAATAATTTGTCAAAATGTGAACAAATGCAACGCGCCACCGATTGCATTTTAATCGAACGAATCGTACTTCACCCGATCGCCCAACTCCGGAATAGCAGCTGGTATGTGAGCGAATAAAAAGCCAACAGATTCAAAATGCACACTCGCGCGCACACACGCACAAACACGGCACATTCAGCAATCTTTGGGATAGTTGCCCTCTGCCGACCAAAATACCAACACGAATGAAATTACGAAAGCGGGCCACTGCCAACGTGATGTGATCGCCCGATGAAAACAGTAAGATAAATATGGCCCGGCCATAAAGCGATTTTGAACATGCATTTAAAACAAACAAAAAGAACTTTTTTCTTTTCATTTTCGCAACCAAAAAAAAAAATTATTAACACATACACACAAAAATTACTGAATTTACTGTAGCTGACTGGTTTGTTACCGTGTTTAGTCAACAATTCATCATCATCACGGTGATTTATAATCCATTATTTATAGCAAGTGCCAAAATCAATGACAAAACATAAAAAAAAACTTACGAGCATGCACGAAAAAAGTTCAAAAAATTACACACAAAAAAACAGAATTGGTGAAATCGTGACAATTAATTTAAAGAAAAATAAAAAAAAGTCAAAAACTTTTTTTCATGTTACATACAGAATTGATGGTGATTAAAAACAAGTGCAAATTCAGCCGAAGCAGGACTAATTTTCAATGTGAGAAAAAAAAGTTTGAGTGCTTGAAAATGAAACAAAATAAAATAGTTCAACAATTAATATAAAATAAAATTAATTCGTTAAAAAACCATTTCAAAAAAAAAAAAAAAAAAAAAAAAAAAACAACCAAAAAATAAAGTTAATATCCAAGCGGACGCTGTGTTTGTGCTATTTTTATGAATAAAATCAATTTTGTGCAATTATTTCATGAATTTTTAATTAATATTTTTCATGAAATTGAAAAAAAAAATACAGAAACAAACACCAAATTCAAATCGATGAAAATTAGTGTCGAATTCAACAACAATCAAACGTTTTTTTTAGTACATATTTCTTATCAAATATGTTGAATGAGAAATTTATGAAATAATTATTTATATGACCATTGATGGGGTTTGAAACATAAAAATTAGTTTGCGCTTAATAAAAATTAAATGAACTAGTTTTGAGCAGCGATGAACTAGTTTTGAGCAGCGACCCAACTACTGAATACAATTCAATTTATTGTGTAATTTTTTAATAATTAAAAAAAAAAACAAATATTTTCTTTTCATTTCTTGCAATTAAAAGAAGAAAATGGCAATTTAGATTGTAGATTGAATTGTCAATTAGTTGAATACAATGCAACAACAAAAAAATTGCAAATAGATGCATATTATCGCGTTAATCTGTGATCATCGGCCGCGCACACGTTTCGGTATCGAGCACACATTCATCGGAAGAGAATAACCATATTGGGTTCGGCTCATTTCTTTGTTGCATATTCAATTCCAACAACGAAACGCTCAAACCAAAAAGGTTTTTTTTTATCATTCCATTTCAATAATTTTATTTATATTCAATGAATAAACATTACCAAAATACAAATATTATATATTTTGAAACCAATGCTACTAATTGATTGATGTGTATATATTTTTAGCATTTGAACAATTCGCGTGCGACACTAAGAAATAGAAACAAATGAATCCTTCCTAGTCACCAACATAGTCGATTTAGATGCATCTTAAGAATACTCAGAATATAGCAAAAAAAAGCCAACTACACACACATAAACAAAAATTATTTGTAGCTTTCGTTGCCATAACCAGCATTTTTTTTTCTTTTCCGTTCTTTTTTTTCTCTCCCACTTTCATTGCATATTTGTCATTTCAATTGAATCGAAATCTAAAGTAGCAATGATGAAGACACAGACTCATTGGAAATAAAACCACCGCAAATGATAAATCGATACGATAAGCACAAAAAATCGTCACGGGACTCATCGTCACGGGATAAAAAGCATTCACGTGGCGAACATCGGCACAAAGATCGAACTCGTGAACGATCCGATCGTCATTCAAGACAACATCATAGTACTCAATCAAGTGGACGGCATCATCCTAACTTCGATTCGTCGTACGATAAATATCATTTATCGTCCAGAGATTCATCGCATCAGAAACGGTTTGTTTGAAATCTTGTTTTTGAATGTCGTTTTTATTTGAAAAATTAATCATTCATTTGTTTAACCACATTTTAGCCGAAAGCGATACAGCCCAGAGAAAACGGATGGTGAACGTGAGTTGGAAGATCTTCGAAGTAGACTATTAAGCAAACGCAGTAAACAGGATATTGAACGAAAAATTGAAGAACATCAAATGTACCAGCGAAAGTAAGTTTGATTTCATTTAAGCCATTGCAATCATTCAATTATTTTTATTTTATTGTTGATGTTTTTTTTTTTTTTTTTTTTATTTGGTTCCGTAGTGGCGAGGAAGAGAGAAATCGACCGAGAGATGAGCAACACCAACACAAATCACATTCAAAACGAAGTGTTATTGAAGTAATCGATAGTCCAGAAGATTATGGAGACCTTGATCCCAGTGAAAAGTACAAATCGGTTAAATATAATAAGACAACAGAAAAACCACCAGAAGATCCGGAAACAATAAAACGACGCGCAAAATTTATTGATGCCGATCGAGAAATGACAAAACGAAAAGAATTGGCACGAGAAGAGCTTGAGGCGCGTCGTGTATCACGCCGCGAAAAGGGCAACATTGATGAATCACCGCCATCGTATTCGCATAAACATCATAAATCACATCGGCGACATCGATCACCTGGGGAACATTCAGTTATTCAGCTATCAGAAAGCGATGATGATGATGAAGACGACGACGACGATGACAAGAGGTACAATATCTATGACACTTTGGTGGAAACAAATGATTTTTATTTTTATGCTTATAGCTCACATTCGGAAAAGGATGACGACGACGACGATGACACGGATTCGGATTCCGGTACAAATACAAAATCAAATTACTCTCGTAGTGATGATCAATCAGATGTTGATGTACCAGCCAGTCCACTTTCTGTTGGAGATCTATCGAAGTCTGAACATAGAAGGCGACACAGTCGAAGTCAATCGAAAAGCCGTTCGAAAAGTCATTCAAAAAGCCGTTCCACATCACGTAGCCGATCAAGGAGTCGCTCGATCAGCCGTTCAACACGATCACATTCAAGGTCAACATCACGTGAATCCCGATCTGAGTAAGTATTTTCGAACAACAAAATAAATGTTCATGCATTTTAATTTTTTTAATTTTTTTTAATCCTTTTCAAAATACAATAAAAACCAAACAATTTCTATTCTCTGTTAGCCGAAGACGTGATAGTTCAAGGGACAGTGAACACGATAATGATAAACATTCACCATACTCAAGGAAACGTAATCGAAAGAATTCAAATGTGTCCGAATCGGAAGATGTGGAAATGAAATCTGTGGAAACGGCGGCCGAAACAAAACCATCAACCGAAACAAAAGCAGAGACTTTACCCGAAAAGCAAGCAATAGAAGAAGAAGAGCTACCAGATTACTATCCTGGTTTGCAAGGTTGCCGTTCGGTCGAAGAGTTTAAATGCTTAAATCGAATTGCCGAAGGAACATATGGTATTGTATTTCGTGCTCAAGATAAACGTACCAATGAAATTGTCGCATTGAAACGCTTAAAAATGGAAAAAGAAAAGGATGGATTTCCGATAACGTCGTTGCGTGAAATCAATACATTGCTTAAAGGTCAGCATCCAAATATTGTGACGGTGCGTGAAATTGTTGTGGGTAGTAATATAGATAAAATCTTCATTGTTATGGATTATGTGGAGCATGATTTTAAAACGCTCATGGAAACAATGCTATCTCGTAAACAAAAATTTATGCCGGCCGAAGTGAAGTGCTTAACAAAACAATTGCTACAGGCTGTCGCACATTTGCACGACAATTGGATTTTGCATCGAGATTTAAAGACATCGAATTTACTGTTATCACATAAGGGTGTACTAAAAGTGGGCGATTTTGGTTTGGCACGCGAATATGGATCGCCATTAAAAGCATATACATCGGTTGTGGTCACACTTTGGTATCGTGCACCAGAGCTTCTGCTCGGTGTCAAAGAGTATTCAACACCGATCGATATGTGGTCAGTTGGTTGTATATTCGCTGAATTTCTATCGATGACACCATTATTCACGGGCCAAACAGAAATAGATCAACTTAATAAAATTTTCAAGGTAAACAAACTTAATTTTTTTTCTCGCTCAAATCATCATTTCACTAATAATTTCTTGATGCATTTCAGGTATTGGGCACACCAAATGAAAAAGTGTGGCCGGGCTATAATCAATTGCGTGCTGTACCAAAATTTGCCGAATATCCTGTATCAAATTTACGTGAAAAATTTGGTCGACACACGACTGATCTTGGCATTCAAATGCTACAAGGCCTTTTATCTTATGATCCAAAACAACGTTTCACCGCCGATCAAGCATTGCGTAACAATTATTTCAAAGAGCTGCCATTACCAATTGATCCGGCAATGTTGCCAACGTGGCCGGCAAAGAGTGAATTAGGTCCCCGAAAAGCTTTGGCCGCATCACCAAAACCACCATCTGGCGGTAGTCAATTTAAAAATCTTCCATCTGACAACTATGAAAATCGCGGCTTCATTTTGGGGGCTGCATTAGATGCAAAGGCACGTCATGCGATGGCAATGGGACCTGGATTTAATTTGAAATTCTAAAACAAAACACTACAATCAGATCGAATACGAAATCAATTCAAAATTCGCATTAAACACTCAATATCATGATAATCTGCAGAAGATAAAAAATTCATTGTGTATAAAATAAAGCAACAAAAACAACAAAAGAAAAAAAGTATGGTATCCAAATACTTTTGTAAATTTTGAAATTAGTGTTTTACCATTAGGCAATAAGTTGTTAATTCAAGAACAAGGAGAAGAAAAACAAGAAAATTATCTAGTGCTATGAGATATGAATTTAAGACAAATCTAGGAAACATGAGAAAACACCCTCTCTTCACAAACTGGCTACACCGGCAACACATATTTTAAGGAATTCACTTTTGAATCAAACATCAATCCATTGAAAAATGATGATTTTGCTTATTGAGTCAGTCAGGCAACATCTTGAACGCTTTGATTTATTTCACTGATATTTTTACCCTCTTTATATTTTTTTTTAAATAAAAAAGAGAAGCGTACAAAACCACACTTTAGCAAACAATTGCTTTTTTTATAAACAAAGTATAACAAAAAAAATATGAAACAATTAAATTTGTGTTTGTAACATTTCCACATCCGAACTCCTAAAAATATAATATATATTTGTACACTTATGAAAGAAACAAAAAAATACAAGAGTCATCATTGAATAATATTGAAAATTAAATTGTAAAAAATAAATCCAAACTGCTTAGAGAGAATAAATAAATAGAATAACAAAGATGCTCGATGCGGCTACTTTGCTTACAACAAATGGCAAAGAAGTTGATTTTGAATAAAAAAAATTCTATTTCATTAAAAAAATCGTTCGTTTCCAAATATACTTTCGAAAAAAAAGTGTGTCCCTGAATTGAATCGACAACAGATAGGTCCAATAAATTTTCCATTGTACGCCATCTATGGAATATTTTGGGAAAATGTCTGGAACATGAGTTCATTTCATTTTCCTCAAAAAATGTTCCCTTAATTCAGTAAGTATGTCCCCTTTTGTTTTCGCCATCATATGCACGCGATGATTGTGTGCATTCGTATGTGTAAATATTGTGTCTGTCTATATGTCGCGCGGTGATGCGATGTTTGGATGTGTTGCGCGAGCGTACTCGTAACTGTTTCTGCTTCGGATGTTTGTTTGTATTGTATCCACATATGGTATGTTACACAATGTCTATAACGGGATATGTAGCGAACCGAACCGTTACAGTGCGCATCCGTTTGTGTTTATATGTCATTTTCTCTGTTATGCACATGTACGGTATCAAAGCATGGTTTTATGTTTGAAAAAGATGGAGCGAACATTGAACGAGTGTTGTCTTTACTTACACACAAACACGGCCATTTGTTCTTTTTTGGCTAAAAACCACTGACATTTGATTACTATATGAGAATAGAATGGAAACCATTTAATATATTCGCATACGCAACGACAACAACACCAGAGTACGAGTGTGATACCAACGATGATGACGTCTATGTGTGGTGGTGGTTATTCTGTTCTGTCGATTTGAAAATTATGATTTAGTTTGTTCTGTTGTTGAACCGATCGGAAAGTGTGAGCACACATTATACTGTGACGCTTGAAACGCGATTCACTTGTATGGAAACAAACGTGTGAAAACAGTGAAACACATTCGTAACATATTCGATAAAATTTATTTCTAAATCGAACCAAAAAAAAAAAAACGCAGAAAATTCCTCCCGGAATTGTGGAAACGAAACAAAAAACGGTATTGAACAAACTACGGTACGCACATTTTTATGTAAGAAAAGAACACCAACTTCATCGGGATTGATGTGTGTGCCGTGGATGTGGAAGGTTGCTTTAGACAAGTAGTTGCCAGCATTAAAAGTTAAATCACAGAGAAAGAGAATGAAACAGAGACGGAGAGAAAAGAAATAATAACATTTAAAAAAAGGACAAAAAGCATTTTTCGGCACAAAGAAACCATATCAAGTACATTGAACATAAAAACTGTATGCAATATATAACAGTGTTATAGTTAATTGAAGCTTCTAAAGGCCATTTGTTTCAAGTGAGAGTGAGTGAGTGAATGAGCATGTTCGATGAATCCACGAGGCTAGCAGAGTGTTAATAATCGAATTTAGTCCGAAATATATACGGTGTGAAATAATCGACATTTATTGGTGGTTTATCGTATTTACAATATAGCAGCCGAAGAGATTTACTCAGGAAAAGAGAAAAAGAGAGAGAGAGGGCGAATAAAAAAACGCTTTAAATATACAGTACGCGATCTGTGTGTACTGTACGGTATCAGAATTTGAAGAAGACGTTTATTGTTTCCGCGTGTAAGTGTTTATTGTGTGATAACATAAGCCTATATTTCATATCTACACATATATCTCTATTTTGCAAATGCAACTTTACAATATTGAATTGGCAACTAATAAGAGGCAACATATTTTATAGGCAAAAAAAAATATTTAATCACATAACGCATTTTAACATTGAAAAGGAGAAGAAGAAAAAAAATCATTCGATTGGCTTTCGTGTATTTTCTGTTGCTAATTAATTTTTCGTTTTTTTTTTGTGTTGGATGCTTATTTTTCTACAAACCTAAGACGATAAACACTACAATAGACATTTTTGTGTGCGAATCATTTTTGATGGTGTCAGCTTCGCTGGTTAGAGCAACTGTGTGCTTAGACTTGCTTCGATTTCTGGTTCCTTCGCATATTTTTATTTGATAAGAATCTGTTTTATTTTTTCACCACGTTTTGAGTTTGTGTGTTTTTGCTATTGCCATTGTTATTGCAGACGTGTTATTCTTGCTCATCGGTATAAAATAAAATCAGCGTAAAACTGTAGCTGGGCCATGGATCATGTAAGTACATATGCTTTTCTTTCTACAACATTTTTGGTTTTATATTTTACACACACATACACGAATAATCATGCAATGCACACTGTATGCGCTCCCGCCTTTACGAAATTGCAACAAATTTCGAAAATTACAAATGCAGGAAAACGAGAGGTTGCATCAATTCCAATCGCAACCAACACGCTGGGACATACATTTTCCTCAAGGAAATAAAGAAACAAAAGAAATAAATGCGAGCTCTTTCTCCGATTGGAAATTGCATATACATAAATCCCAGTTCGCTCTCTTTCTCTCTCTCTCTCTCTCTCTCTCTCTCTCTCTCTCTCTTTCTCTCTCTCTCTCTGATAAGACACAAAATCGCGTTGCATTTTTCATTGACCATTTGTATTCCCAGGCATTTGGTTGCCTCGTGCTCTTGTGTGCACTCGTTCGTCCTCTAACTCATTCGTTTAACATTTGACATGTTCCCAATGTTCAGATTTCTGTTGTTATGGTGTCAAAGCATACCATGCTACACCATTTCATTTATACGCTAACACACATCGTATCGAATACATACGTCATCCCGTTCGAACATTTTTGAATTTTTGTAATTGTGTGTGAATGAGAAATCATGTGAATGATATGTGGAAATCGACCATTATTCCCCATTATCCAATCTCTTTCGGTGTGTCTGTCTAACCCTCCTCTCGTCCGTATTTGTTCACTTTAACACCGCATGCAGCCCCAATATATTAGACGACAGAGAGAAAAAGCGATAATCTTATTGCATTATATAGAACACATCGGTGAAAAGTATTTCGACTCGATCCAAAATGGTATATTCAATTTGCATTTTACATTGTATGCAAACGGTCATGTGAATTACTTTCATGGTAACACGTTTCACGTTACAATACGAACCGAACTTTCGTCATTCGTTTGAAAATTTCCTGAATCATTACATTCTTTCATGTGTGTATGGGTTTTGTGCGTTGTACCTTTCAACGTCGACCTGTATTCTCTCTCTCTCTCTCTCTCTCTGTTCTTGTTCTATTTTCATTTTTCGTATTGGTGTCGAGGGTTGAATGATTGATTGAGACAAAATGGAGAACAGAAAATATAAAACGTGATATCCAATACGAAAATATTGAAAATTATTTCCGATCAAATACCCAAGTGCACAGACACAACAAGTAATAAAGTAAATAAGTTTCGGTCGTTGGATTTTTCGTTATAATTCTTAAAACATAAATAGAATTGACGGTCATTATATTAAAATGTATGTGTTTGCAATTGATATGGCGTTTCATTGTGTTTTCACGTTCGACGGACGGTGACTTTTACCTCTCATCGAATTGATTTTGAAGGGAACACTAAGCCCATCGAATAGAGAATGTAATGGAGAGTTTTCCGTATATAAGGGGCTAATTTCCACATTGCACATCAATCACACACTTTTCGCGCTGGTCTGCACATTTCAACGCATTCCATATTAAGTGCCCCATTGTGACCATTTTCCATCGATGACATTAGGTATTAGAAAATGTATTCGAATAAAATATTCGGGTTTCATTTTTCTCTTCTTTCTCTTCTTTCTCTCTCTCTCTCTCTCTCTCTCTCTCTCTCATGGCAATTTCTCGTGCACAAAGTGAGAAAAAGAAATAACGAGTCCACACAGAGGCGCACACACACATAAAGTAAACAAAAGAAACGAAGATAATAAAATAATCGATACGAAATGTGTGTGTGCTTGCATTTTCAATGTGTTACCATGGAACGTCTCCATATGATAAACATCCATCGTAACCGAGTGGAAAAGTTTTTGGATGTTCCCTTATATTGCCTGCGACTCACGAACACACACACTCGTTCAAAATGTTCACGTTCAGTTTCGAATTCACGATTCATGCATTTTGTGTGTATGCTATTTTTTGTTTCGTCATTTTTACATTTCTTATTGCTTTTGTGTCGCTTATGCTCTAAATATTGTTTTTTTTTTCTTTCTTCACCGTTTGATGATGATTTTGCCGTGAATGTCTAAGTTTTCTGTTTGTTTCTTTTGTTATTTTCCATTTGTTTTTATAATGCATTCGAGTTGGTTAACATGGTTTTTGTTTTCTTCGTTCGGTGTGCAGCTGTAGATTGAAGGAAAAAAAACACTGCCACCATTCAGTCACTGCCACAATCAACCCAAATGCATAATTAAAACGTGTGTGTGTGTTTATCATGTTCTTTGTTCACTCTGTATTGGAATGAAACTAAACGTGTGCATCAAATGTGTGGTGTGCATTACATTTACTCTGTTTCATTTCTATCAACAAAATGACGACGATGAAATTGTAAGAGAAGCAGTTTGCTTTATCTTTCTAATGTCATTTTAATGATTCAAAGGAAACTATTTCACATTTAACCGACGAAACGATACGACGGAAATCATTTAAACTTTCATTCTCTCTCTCTCTCTCTCTCGCTCACTCTCCATCCATCGTGTAGCTTTAGCTTCCGATACACCTCATACCGAGAGACAGCAGGTTAAAGAGTGTTGAGCTTTAAACTCGAACCTCGAACTGACATCGACCATTACATACTTTGAAAATTGAGTTTGGCACGCTTTTTGTGCGCATCACAAAAAAACCCCGAACGATAAATATCATTTATATTTTCGGCAAGAGTTGAGTTGAGCTGAGAAAAGTGTGCACTAGATTGTTGACGGTGACTTTATTGTGCAAAAAGCACTCACACATACATACACATGAAACACACTGACCACGGCGATTTTAAGTGAAAATAGCAATAAATGGATTTTACATTCATTCTCGCCTCTGCCTCGTTCTAGCGTCAAACAAAATTGAAAACTCAACACACATACACCCGGCCACCCGGGTACTCTAGTTATTACAAATAGGAAATAGAATGAAATACAGTCATTTAATTTACCGCTTGTTCCGCTTTTGAATGCTATTGCGATGTGCATAAATTTAAGGGCCGTTTTTCCATTCATACTTTTACTCAATGCAACATGGAAGTGAATACACACTATCTCTCTCTCTCTTTCTCTCTCTTTCACACATACTTTGCATTTTATATATCATGACGACCGGTCCGCGACGATTTATCGCGGACCACAAAACGATTTCGCGTAGCCCATAAATTTCGATTGGGCAAAATAAATTCGCACATAAAATTTGGTCAGCCGCTTTTTGCATCCGACATACACACGCAAACACTGGTTGGCCATGAACCCATATATTCATACACAACACTCAATCGCAAGATAATATATGCATAAACAATGGCCATATTTTCGGTGAAAATTCATCTTTTTCTATCTCATGTTCTCCCTCTTCATCACTTCCCCCCTCTCTCTCTCTCTCTCGCAGAGACACACACATAACTGATACAACTGTCAAGATTATCGAAACATCGGAAAAGAAATTCGCGAAATTTATTAGAAATAAAAGTGTAATCACATTAAATCCAGAACCAAATCGATTGAGTTTTTGTTTGAAGAGCACAGTGAGGGAGTCGAATAAGATATTGTTTTTAAATATGGAACGAATGAGAGAGCATGCAAACCTCTATTTAAATTATTGTCTACACATTCCATTTTATTACGGCCGCAATATTCGAATCGATTTCAAGCGTGATACACACTAACAAAACTTTTTTCATTGTTGAGGCAAACTGGGTTCTGGAATTTTCTTCATGCTGACGCAATAAAGTCTTTGTTCACTTCTAGTTGCGGCACAAAGTAAATGACTGTGAATACATATTCTTAATGAACGTCCAATTTTACAATGAGCTCAATTGTTTGTTACGCAAAATGAAAATTATCGCAGCGGAAAGTAGTTTATCGAAAAATACGGTTATTTCTTTCATTTAAAAGTGAAATATTTCTTCTTGGACGTCAGAATAAAATAAATGCCCCATAATTGGATGTTTTCTGTGTGTATGTTTTTCTTTCGCTCTCTCTTTCATTGCTGATGATCAGCATGCTGGTGATAACTCTGACTGACGTCGACACAATCTTCAAGCATACATTAAATATTCTCATGAAAATTAGATTTCGTCTATATACATGATACACATACATAGCACGTAGTCACATTTGAAAAAGCAACACACATCAACATCGTTGAAACGAAGTAAAATGCTGTTCGGCAGCATAATATAAGCGTTAAATGCTAATGAAATTATATATACTATGTTTTTTTTTGCTGTTGTTGTTTGCTTCGATTCCATTTAGCCCTGGTCAGTTTGTGCGATAGAGTGTTTACATGATGCGTATTAGGCTCATAAAACCACACCAAAAACCGATCGGTACGAGACCTGTGCCATTCAAAGCAATGAAAATCCAATATGTTTTGATGAGCGGTCATTATCGAAACCACATGCTATTCGGTCGGCACAATCGAAAAATGACACTATGTATTGCATATGGATACGCACATACGGAAAGACAGAGACACAGAGAGAAAATGATTTTTCGATACATTTTAGTCCATTTGCTTTCTGTATCGCATTCTCGGAATACACTGAACACCGCAAATATTTCGACATGCAATAGCACTAAAGAGGTAGTTTTTATGCCAATCGACAAAAAAAAAAAGAAGAAACTATTGCCTTGTGCGAAAGTAAGTGTATTTCATATGAGTTACGTAAGCTTAAAGTTGTGAGTGTGTGTCTTCCGTCAGCCGAGATCACGCAATGATGTTTGATATTACAACGGAAATAACGATAAATTTGCGACCATTTCTCATCCACAATTGGATGATCGAATGGTTTTTTTGGCAGTATTATCGCATCAGTTCGCTCTAATCCTGATGTCATAACCATTCAATAAATGTCAGTAGTCGTCAAAAAATGCGGGTTGGTACGTTACATATTCTTTGTGTTTTTTTATTTTTGTTTTCGTTTGCTTATGCAATACAATACACAATCGGCTTGACATTGTATTACTAATTTGAAAACATACGGATTTTATGGATTTACTTCGTGATTTCTTTTGTTTTTATCCTCTG